GTCCGATGTATAGTTGAGTGATTTGTGAGATGTTTCTCCCTCAACCCAGTAAGGAGTGTGATATCAAACTCTCGTTTAGATGGTTTGCGACGCAGTGGCTGGCTATACTAAGCTTGGCTCAGTTGACTTTTACGACAAGGTGACATGGTCTGAGACGAGAAATGACGAACGACCGCTCACGAGCTTGGCGATGACCCTGTTCTGTTTGATGAGGACGTCTTACAAGTGGGATAACATCGTGAAAGTAAGTTTCTGTGCCTCTCTCCCCCGAGTCAGTCTGCCGCAGAAAGTTGGCAAGCTACCTGGTCAGGTTGAATCTGGGAAAACGTTAGATGATACTCGGCTAGGCGGCAAAAGCAAATAGGGATCACGGAAAAGCAGTTGCTTCCAGTAAAGCCTGGCTCTAAGTTGACAGGCGCCGGGCGCTACGGGTTCTAGCGGAGCTTAACCTTTTGCATGGTAGGGCACTGCAGTATTAGCAGCAGCATTAACATCAGTCAGGCTACCTACATGTAAGTGTAGCATGGCAGGATAGGAGCCCTCGTGGAACAGGGTCTCTGTCGATCAATATCCTTGATTGACAGAAGGGATGAATCCTCCTGAGTGGACAAAGTGGATGTCGATATGGCCGACGGCACAGCCATGAGAGGAAAGGACTGCGGCAAACTCCGTAGTCATACTCCGTACTCCATGCCATAACCATGGTCCATATTGATACCCCGTTGCACTGCGTTGACACGCCACCCTCGATGCTTCAGCTGTGATCTCGGAGTGTTTGAGGTGCGGGATGGATCGAGGATTTTGGTCAAGAACGAAGAGGAGGGAGTGACTTGGCCCTGCGGTGACGAGTGTGATTCGGTGACCCCTATGCTTTCACGGCCCGACATGCCACATCGTTTCCAAGAGGATGGATCATGGATGGGTAGATCTCCCATGCGTAACAGGGAACATGACCTTGTGTCGCATCTTCATGAGGTGCCCACAGCCTTGCAGACGATCCAAGCTTGAGAACGTTGTTGTTCAACAAACTCAGTTATTGACGTTTAGATAAGTGTAGTATATATGCAAGCTGGATTCTTATGTGCGCCGTTATTGTGATGAGGCCATCAGTGGCGGTCTCATTGCAACCACCGCAACAAAGGGACACTCCAAGTTGACATGACAGTTACACAAGGCGAAGCTGACTTGCTGGACATGCGATGCATGCGCTGTTGGTCCCTCGAAACGATGTCATTATGTCATGCAAAGACGGTGAAGAGCAGATGTAACGGTTTCCTGACTCGAAGCGAAACCCAGGAACTCCCTGGTTGGTATCCGCCGTTGCAGTGCCATCGCGGGTGGGCAATGGAGTGATTGTCCTCCTGCACTCCGTCCTATCTCTGTCTCTTTTTGCCGCCAAGGGGCCGCAAGATGAGACGCAACAAGCAATCAAATCACATTACCATTGGAAGATCTCAGGGGGGCAAAAAACGAAAAGACACAGAGAGGAGAGAGAACTCAGAACGGAGTATCAATCAAGTTTGGGAAGAACCCGGCAGTTGAGCAGAGTTGGCCCCTGCGTAAGCAAGCGAGAGCGTTGTGATGACGACGATACATTTGGCATGGTTTGTATTGGATGGTCTTTGATGTGAGTGGGATCGTGTGAGGTTGGGGATGGAGAATGATAGATTACACAGGACGGACCAACATCGGCAAACCTGACTCTGTCTACGGTAATGATATGTTCTTTTTCACCTCCTGCTTTTAGCAACAAAGTTTAAGACACGAGTTAGCCGAAGAGATTGAAAATGGATCAATTCGATGTGATGCGATACGATGCAATACGATAGATGACAAGGTAGGGATAGCCCGTCTATATGTCGTCCGGACTATAGCTTTCTAAGGGCTGTAAAAGCGTCAGGCCATGATCGCAGAGAGGCTACTGAAAAACTAAATTACGATATCAGAACCCATCAGTAATAAAAGCAAAGACCATAAACAAACACGGACAGCATCACGAGTCTGGAATCTTGGGAGTTTCAACAGGCTTGATCCTGATAAAACCTCGTGCTATTACAATGGATGTCATCCATGCCCTGGCCCCTTTGCCCGTTTTTGGAACCAGGCTAAGGTACGGCAGTGAGGGAGGAGGGAGGGGTGCGCATGCTCGTAGCGTGCCCTCTCAGTGTCTGTGTGATTCCAGGGTAGAACCCCTGCTGGGAGATCCCCGCCCCGCGCCGCCGGGCCACACACCCCCTGTGACGGGCGTCTGGCTGCTGCTGTCCCCCTGGGGTTTAGCGCGAGGGCGCTAAGATGAAGATGCAGGCATCCTTGGAATCTGCTACTGTAGAGGCGCCCTCGGAGCCGGGGGTAGGTAGCAGCGAATCGGAGGTGTGCGGCTATCATCAAACGTCTGGGCGTCAATCCTCACCCTCGGGAACTCTTAATAATGAACCATCGATGAGGTGGTACTGGGCTGTAGGTAGTGGTGATCCAGGGAATTTTATATGGATGCCTAGCTGATATCTGGAAATACCCATGCGATACGTCTCGTACCGCCGTGGTATCCCACGCATGTCCCGTACCTCCCTGGTATATGTCGTCGATTAATTCTGAGCCATCTCCAAACAATAGATCTCATCCATCCCATGGCCATGGTCCTCTAGCAAGCATCACCCCGGGAACAAGACCATGTCTTGCGATCATTCTCCCCCTTCCAAACGATCCAGCGTCTTTCTTTCTTTCCTTCTTCTTTCCTTTCCTTTCCCTTCCCTGCGCCCGCCCGTTATTTCTTAACCGTCAGAGATGGATCCAGAAGTTCTCCGCTCAAGTGGGAAAAAACGTGGCCCTGATGGGATCCCCCCTTGAATGAATGGAGCTGATAACACCGCTTCTTTGAGATGAGCTCTCCATCGCATGGGAACCTTGGACCACAGTCAAAGCGTAGAAGCATGAAAGAAGAAAATGTCCGAGGTTCTCTGTGATTTCCTTTTTGCGAGTTCGTGGATCACGATCAAGCTCGTGCTTGGTTTATGCAATTACGGGTTTCCCGTCGTATTATCAATCCGAAGCGTTGAAGATGTCTGTGACACGACACGTGCGTGTGCGTGTTCGTGTGCGTGTGCGCATTCAAGTCCAAAACAAAGCTTTGAGGCTATCGCAAGGTCAGCCGAAAAGGAATTAATCACTTCAGCCTCCCCCAGCCCAGCCCGTGGACTAAACTCTAGCTTGATCAATTACCGTGCTAAAGAAACAGCATCATCCGGTGTCATGGTCCTGTTTCTGGCCTGTGCCGTTTTCCTGGCTGACTGCGACGTCCCTTGAACTGACTGACCTCCGGCTCTCACACGCACTAACTTATTAGCATCTTTTTTTACCTCAAGGTACTTACCTTAGTGATGGGACAGGAAAGAAAATCACTAGACTAACGGATCTGCGCCATGCTTTGTTAGGAATCCTCCTCGTGGCCGTGGCCCCTTGATTAAAATTCAATTCAATTCAAACTCCCCCAGCCCAGCCCAAGTCAATGTCAAGTTATTTCCTCCGATGCTAGTCAATCAGTATCACCCGCTTGTCTCAGGCGAGATGGCCTATCGCGTTGTGTCCGAAGTAACACTACGGAGGGTAAGGTACAGTAGCTTATTTGTTTTTTTCTCCCACTGAAGATCGCCATTAATTGTGCATGACTATACCCTTTTCCGGTTACATTCACAATTGCAACTCTACATACAGAGCATGCACTGTACAGTACAGCAAGGCATTCAATGCTGCTCATTTCGCTCATTTGCAATGTTCTATGCTGCAATATTGAGTACGTACTAATAATTACCGAGGCCCTACTATTGATCCAAGCATCAAATAAAGAAAAGAATGGATGTGGAAGTCGATCATTCAAGCCCTTGTCCCAGTCCATCAAATACCTTGCCCTTGCCCCTGTCATAACTCACCAAGACCAAGTCAACAGTCAGCTTCTCCAAGTTGACTAAGTCAACTCTCACACAGACCATAAAAAGACACGAGGCAGGCGGAGTAACAACCCGAACCGGTCCGCCCAGCCTTGACATGAGCATGAGCAGCAGAAGGTGAGGGAACCCCAGGTTTAGCATACCCCTACCTTTCCCTTCCTTAGGTACCTTAGCTGCTTAGCTGCCCTACCCCTACCCATTGCATTCCTCTTTTGGGTGCCTCTTCTCTCCAAGTTCAACATTGCGCCGACACATCCCCCGATGACTTCCTTCCATTCTTGTCCAAGCTACCCAACTTGTCATCAATGACAAAGAGACCCGATCCCTCGGGGCACCTTTTATTTTCGCTCTGTACCCAGAAATTACAGGGACCCTCCAGGCTCTTGTTAGATGAAGTCGCAGTAGATAATTCCAATTCTTTTCAAAAACATCGTATAATCGTCTTGCACGAGTCAACGACGTCACTTCGCTCAACAATATGGATCCCTCTGAGACCCGTTCATGCATCCAAGGTCCTTGAAAATGCAGTCATTGAATGAATGAATGAATGAACGGCCAAGAATGCACTGAATAGGCATTGTCATTCATTCATTAGCTGATGTTACAGTTGCAGTTGCAGGGAGATCTTCTCGTCATCACTGCAGCGGTCAACCCTTTCTCAGACCAATCAAGATCCACTCATCTCGTGGTGTCTCACCCGCAAAAGCAACGGCATATGGCAGTGGTACCTTTGAACTTGCAACTAACAGACAGACAAGTCATAACAATCACGACAATAGTAATAGCACATGCTCAAATTTAACCGTTGCCTGTCCTGTCATGTCCTGCCTGTCCTTCCTTCTTTTGTCTGGTCGCCTCATCCATGTCTATCAGCCGATTCCATCTTTGATGGTCCATGCTGCGCACTCACCTTCTAGTTCTCCCCGTTTCGGCCACTTCTCCTGATATCCCTATTGGCTGGCGTACGTGGACATCGGTAGAGCATTAGACCGAATTAATTTACTCCGTTGCTACATGCTCCTTCACTTTTCATGTCTGCATGGCTCCGGATTCACATCTTCATCTCGGGCAACGATTGTGCTTTGATCTTGTAATATTTTGATATTCATGGCTCCATAGCCTCCCTGGTCTCGGGCGTATCGTATCCGCCTCTCGCCATCTCCGTCGCGTCGACTCTCATCAGTCGATCTCTTCGTGTGCCGATAAAAGAGCACACAGTAGTAAACTAAACGCCGTGCATGATGCTTCGCTAGGTTCTCAAGCCAGTTTCCACCTCTGCGCCGTCTAAAATGACCATAGCTGCCTCCCAAAAAAGTAACAGACAGTTTCCGCCAAAGAAATACAATAATAAAATAAGACAATACACCAGACTTCCAGTAATACAGACCAGCGTCGTGAAGAGAATGTAGCTTTTCCTCCCTCCGACTTTTCCCCAGTTGACCGCGACGCCAAGCCGGGAAATCCTTAGACATGGGTCTAACCAGGATTTCCATCCCAATAACAAGTGAAAAGACCGGATCCATCCAGGTCTTGTTGTAATAATGCTCGTTCCGTGAGGCATAATCATCTCGAGCTTTCTCTGGTATTCATCCCTCTTCGTAGAACCATCTCGTCGTCCGACATATATCCCTCAACCCCGAATCACAGACCCATTAAATTCGAAGCTGTGACAGCCCCTCTCATGACGTTTCATGTTGCTGCGTACACTGAAAGCCTTGCCACATCCAGCATGGGGACACTTGAAGGGTTTCTCTCCGGTATGTGAGTGACTGTGGATTCGGAGACTGCTGGGCCTGCTGAAGGCTTTGTTGCAAGTCGGGCAAATATACCGGTCCTGGCTTTGCGGGAATGCCGCCGCTCCGGTTGGGTTAAGATAGTGATGGTGCTGCCAAGGATTTGCTCCCGAGGGAGCAGGTGCCGGCATGCTCACTGGTGGGGGATAAGCCTGTGGGAGAGGGCGCTGGTAGTAAGGGTTCATCTCTTGAGGCTGGACAGCAGGAGGCACCTGTGCCGCCGGGTAATAAGCGCCCACTGGTGCTGGGTTGGCGTATACCGTGGGGTGAGCTTGCTGAGGATAAGGAGCCGTTGCTGGAGGTGTTGCTCGAGGAATAGCCGTTACTGATGCCTGACGCTGTGCATCGGCTTCTAGAGGTGGTGTGGTCTCGTAATAGTATGTTCTTGGTGCTGAGCCTGGATACGCCTGGTTGGATGGTTTCCTTGTGGGGGAGCTGTAGCCTTCGAAAGATGCATCTGTGCTCATAGGTGGTGTAGGGGGAAGCCCACGGTGCGATGATTTAGCCCATTCAGATCCAGCTCGGCTATGACCATGTGAAGGTGGAGGAACTATGAAATTGTGAGCGAGCCGCCCTCGTGGTCATTAAGAACGACTTACCTTCAAAGCGAGGAGAATGTTGCCGTGAAGTTGGTGAGGACTCACTCGTGGGTGAGCCGGCATCGGCCAAACCCAAGAGGTTCGAGATTGAGGGTAGAGAGCACTTTTGTTCCTCCATTGGGGGCGAAGGAGGCTGATACTGGTCGCGTCGAGTAAAAAAGTGTGTTTCTTGTTGATTGTATTGGTTAGGCATGAAAGATGCAGCTGCTGTATGCATTTGCGGGTGGTCTCGGGATTAATCAGGATTTGCTGGTAGAAGTAATCGGAGCAGTCAAGCCAAGTAGCCAGTATATTAAGGCAGTATCGTGTCTGGTAAATACCGATGATATTATGGGTGGGAAATGGAAAGGCGCTGGCAAATATTAATGATGAGCCTTTTGTACTGCCAAAGTCGTATTCGATGTGAAGAGTTCTTAGAAGCTCATGCTAGATGCGAAATAGTCGGGGACTTGGGAACTTAAGTAAGTCCTTGGTGTGGGAAAAGGACCTGTCAAAGGGTGGAGGAGACCCGTCTATCAGATCTGAAGACCGTAGACTTGTTTTGATGCGCCTACGCCCCCTCCAAAAGGGCCTTCCAAGCGCAGCTGTCACAAAATTGGGAGTGGAGCCCTACTGGTGCTCAAATCCTGGGACTCAAGGGACATCGTTGGCAACTGGACAGGGTCACAAAGGAGACGATAGGCAAGGGCAAGGGCTGAAGGATGCTGACGGGAGGTTCCCTGATGCCGCTCGATGGACCTAACCTCTTGGGTTTGTGTTGAACATCTGCCCCGGCAGTGACGTCCCCACTCATGAAGGAGATGTTGTGACGACTCTGATGGTGATCTTGAGCAAGGGAGGTGCGGTTTGTATGTCTGTCTTGGGTCAAGAGGGAGTGTGTGGAGTGTGGGATACCGAGGTACATGCACACGCATCTCTAAGTTAGCGCTCGGCGTATGGGTGTGAGTGAGATCCACGAGTGTGTGTGCTAGAATGCTTGGCCATGCGCCAGGATATCCGTGATCGCCCCGTGGTCAAACGGTCGATAGGCCGGATGGCTGGTTGGCAGGTAATGGTACGTACAGCACCGTCTGTATCAGTATCAGTCGTTGTAAATCGCTATCCCTGCCCTGCTCCTAGGCATGGCTTTCGTGGGGTCTCATTTGCCTGTGTCGATGCCATCGAAGACATGTCCCCTGGCTCTAACGCCCGTGCCCTTTCCCGCTCCTAAACCACTGCCTGCCCTCAGGCTCACACTCATCTCAATGGATCGTGCATTAAGTTCGCCGAACAAGGCGGTAGTGTTTGTGCGTGGTGACCTTAGCCCCAAATCAACCAGAAGCTGCTCTCCGGCGCCGGGAGTTCCACGCGCCCGGCCGAGATAGGGCGTCCACCTAACCTGGAACCTTGAGCCAGGCGTGCGATCCCGACCGCCGCGCTGCATCGAGTTCCGGACCACCGTTTCCTTATTCGGTGTCAGAACCGTTCCTAGTGCTCAACTCTCGTTCCATCCTGGTTTCGTCGCTGTGGCCTGCATTTGTGTACATACTGTCCAAGCCGCTGAAGCTTCCAATAACTTACCCCAGAGCTGATCCAGCGCCCGCGCTCCAGTTTGATTAACAAGCGACAAGACAAGATCGGTCCAAATAATTATTTTGGTACAACGCAATGCAACCTCTTGCGTGCCCATGATGAAATCTTTAGATATTGAACTTTCAGATCGTATCCGGGGCTTCACATTCTCTGTGTGATCTGCTCACATTTTCGTAATTTGCCGGTTCAAGGCTCTGTTTATTGGTTCTTACGCGAAAGCGTTTCAACTCGTGGCAGAAAAGCCCCTTCCACGCAGTTAATTTGTGCCGGCCGCGTTCTTTACTAAAGATGTGAAAATAGGAATTGGACACTAGGCTTAGTGAAGATAATAAGCTTGTGTTTTCATGTTGGGCTTGGGCACTTCCTAGCTCTCGAACCAAGTTCAGATGATTTGCGCAACAACGAGCAGCGGCGTACCGGCAGTGCAATGATGTCGTCGTATTGGTGCGACTGGTGTTCGTTCGGGCAGCCACGCTCCTGGCGGCCTTTTCGTCTTCACCTGTGTCGTCACTGGCTAAGCAGGCTAATTTGGATGATCGTCGTTTTAGCGGGCGCCTCCCCTTCCTCGCTTACACTGGCGGGATTTCTTGGCGTAGGGTTCAGGAGGTGGGTGTGCCGTTGCCAGTGATCGACCAAGCTTCTTCATGAGGAGGGACAGGGGCATGAAGCCAAGCGTTCGGTGCTCTGCCCTGCCCTGTCTGGTCGACTTCTCCAAGCAATTGGTTCGAAGCAACAATCAAGCTTCCCAGCTCGCGAGTCATGAGAGTAGTATCGTGCGAGGTATGTATACGCACATATACATAGTAACGCAGTACGTATCCAATCCCTGACTCTAGAAAGCTGGCTTTGTCAAGCGTTTCAACTGGATTCTAAACCTTGAGCTGCCGCTATGAAAAATATCGGCTCGGGTTGTGGGCGTCAAATGTTTTCTCCAAGAGTGAGCACATCGAGGCTTGGCAAATGATGTTGAGACAAAATAGGACAAGCCATCCAGGACGGCGCGTGTCAAACTTTAAGCGACAACACGTGCCAAGTCCCTTTTGATTGCTTTTTGCCATGCAATAGTAGCCACGCTTCCGTCAGCCACAGCTGTATCGAGTCATAACTGTATGATGAAGCTTCATACCAAAATGAACTCTCACGCATTCGTCCACAGCTTCGTCTAATAGTGTCGCCCGGGTCATTGTTTGGAACGAACGTGTTCCTACCAAGCTGGTTGCTGAACTGCAGGGACATTCAAAGGGCTGGGCTCGTGAATCCTCATATGCCTTTCTCGTATTGGTCCTGTTACGATACAACCCTAGGATGAAATGCGTGATGTGACATGCGTGGTGAGATTGGTTTGCGTCCTATTCGTATCCTCGATCGATTTACTCCGTCCCTAGTCAGAGATGATCTATCCCAGCTTTGTAGTTCTCCGGGAGTCCCAGAACCCAATGGACGATAGTCAGTTAAGATATGCTGATCCTGGCTGCCCAGGGATCTGCTTAACTGTTCTGTCAGTTACTTGGCCGATGAAACGGATATGTGATGGGCCCTCCCTAAGTGCATGAAGACCCTGTCGACGTCATCGCTAGTCTTCGCAGTGTCGGATCTTTATTAGTATACCGAACTCAGATTATAACAACACTTGTCTGCACAGCGACGGCAATTCTGAGGCACAGTCGGCTTAGCCGTCATTGGTCTGTGTGGGATGTGGGATGGCCCAATGATCAGCGGTGTGTTGGATGCCAACTTTGGGTTCTCTAGATGAAGTGCACGAACTTGTAATTGCGTGTGGAGTTCCAGGCGGCGGATACTGCATAAGCCAAAGCTTCAAACAGCTGTTTGAACAGACAAATACTCTCAGAGGCAGCAGCTACGATTGCACAAAAACAGATATCTAACAAGAATTGCGATGTTCGCGAAACTCAAACAGTGACGTAACAGCTGAAACATATTTTGTTACTGATGTGGTCGGTTTACAAACAGCCACAAGCCGATCTGGTTTCTGGGTGGTGAGCAGATGATCGCAACAGAAGGTTGTCCAAAGTCACATAGCGTGTCTGTCGGCGGAAGAACATGACAAAGGGTTCACCGGACTTAGTATTCGGGATCTATGTCAACACGTTCGTGGTTAGCCTTGTCTTGCATCGAAACACTACCTAGTGGGAGTAATGTGAATGAATCCACCTTGATCCTTATTCCAAGTAGAATCAGTAGGTTGATCGGCCAAAGACCAGAACCTCCGCCGTAGGGACTGGAAAGGGGCTTTGGGGCGCATTCGGCATTTGCTTGGTGAACCCAAGGGAGCTATTAATCGACGGGTAGTGTGAGCAGACCAGCGCATTAGTTTCACATGAACGTGCACAGGACACACGGATTACGTATATACCGAAATTAGCTTGGGTACCAGCCGACCGGCAAGCAAAGCGGGATGATGAAGTTGGTGGAATCTGGTTCGATTGTGGGAAACTTGATTGGTGAGATGCTAGTCAAGGTTGCCAGGGTCACTTCCAGAACTCGTCGATAGGAGAACAAGGTTTTTGGCTTGAAGAAAATCTGTCGATCGGTCAATTCAGCTCGCTGCCCTGCCCTGCCGAGAGATGCTAGGTTCAACAGAGTCAATGTTGGCGACAAAGAAAGGATTCAATTTGGGGGAGAGGAGAGGGGAAAAGTGATTGATTACCTCAGCCTGAGACACGGGTATTAGTTGCACCTCCCTCAATGGCTGATGTGATTGTGAGATGTGATGCAATGCAAGGGAGTTTATTAGCATCGGATCGGATTGTGGAATGTGCACGGTGAGGAAAGGGTATTGAATCATGGAAATGCATTAGACAGTTGGCTCTTTCCCATTATCATCAACACCACCGCCAAAATGAGATGCTTGCAGAAATGCCGCTCTCAGTGGATCGCAGCAGCCCAGTGGAGGTTGGCGTTGGTACTTGACAGCCACCACACCTCGCCTACAGCCTTTAGGACAGCATTGTCGGCACATGTCTTACCCGGACGTTAAGCGAACTTACGCCCTGAAACGCCTGGAGGGATAGAATAAGCGTAATACGGGGAATCTAATGGAATGGAATTAAACAGGCTTAATTGTCTTACTTGACGGGCATTATTAATGACACCTACGGCTCGGGTTCGCTTTCGCATGATGCGAAAGAGAGACCTGAATCTTGTTCAGTTGTTTACTGGATGATTAGTCAGATCTTATCTCAGAGACTGGCTCTAACCTGCTTCATCAAAACTCATGATGGGGATGTTCCTTGGGGAAGGACACAGACAGCTACTACAGAGTCAACCCAGTCAGTTGCAAAGCTCGGGACACAATCAACACGGACCTCGAAGCAGCCTCACAGCTGAATCATGGCATGCGCTACAATGCTGCCTGAACTCATCCGCATTATTCAGGATTGTCCGAGCCTTGACAATCAGGTGCCTCGCTGCCTCGTTTGCTTATCCAAGTCGGTAGAACAAGCACCACTCGGCCACTATCGAGATCGTTGAACACCATCGTACTTTTCGATCAACGTATAGCAAGCCTCAACGTCTATCTGGGCAATGAGGGATTGTATGGCATCGCAAAATATGACTAAAATGCGCAACCACTCATGAACTCGTTCGCATCAACAACCCTGACGGATATCTCCGAGATGTTATTGGCCAGTGCCCCCCCCAAAAGATCAACCAGGCATCTCGCTTGGGACCTCCATCCCACGAGGATTTCCCAGTGATCTTCACAGATGGCGGCGATCAGCAGGGGCTACCCTTGCCTTGTTATCCCAGGGCGCTGGCCACGCGAGATGTGGATTAGACTCGATTTGGAGTTGGGGGCTTCGCACCTCGACGCACCCCCGTTCGCCCTACCTCCACTCGTCATGGTGGCCTGATTTTAATCTCTTGCGTCTCTGTTAGACTTGGACCAAGGTGGAAGTTCCGCTTTCTGTCCTGCCCTAGCCTCCCCCAATACACGCGGGCGCGTCTTTGGAGTTGAGGCTTAACAGGACTCAGTGTCACTACAGCGCTAACAGCACTAAAGTGTCACCGGCTTTAGCACTGCGCTCCAAGGCTTCGGTTGGGCTTCTGGTTTCTGGCATCTGAACGGGCTGCGCTAGCACGACTGCCGAGGTTGATCAATCACGGGCCGACAATGCGAGACCCCTTCCAACTCAAAGTACAGCCAGTAGTACATTACTCTATCTCAGTCTGTGTGTTGCCTACCAGCCATGGTTAGATATTGTGACAGAGCTACGGATACATAAATACGTTAATCATATCACATACAGCACTTGGCGTTCCTGGCTGGGCCCTGTTGCACGCAAGGCGAAGTCAGCAAACGCTACTACGGAGGTCATACACGAAATGAACTACGCCTCTTATCCGCATCCTCCGACCTTGCTGGAACCCTCATGATGCTCGGCTTCATCCACTTTACTAACTCCATTCTGGCGAGCAGAATCCCGATTCTAGAATAGGTTCATTTCCTGTCTACCGGCTTGTTCCGTTTTGGACTTTTGTTATGGTTGGCGTTGCGGCTACTGCTCTTGCCATCTGCCAGCTTTCGATCCCTTGCCCGAGAGTCTGGCGCCCCTAACCTCGTCGACCGTTATTCCCCCCCACACCACGACAAGATTGCCTGTTCGGGTAACTCTGGTCCGTGTCAAAGGAAACTTGATCGACTTCGTCCCATGTTATAAAGCGCAACATAAGCCTTTCTCTCCAAGGGTCTCCATGAACGGTACTTCCCGCCACGGACTCTGTCTCTTCTCAAATCAGTCCATCGCCTAAAGGATCGTCGGGACGTCAGACCCTTAACCCAGCTTTGCCGACTCAGGATCTGCCAAAGAAGAGCCTCCGGTTCTCGTCCTTGGACGCACGGCTGGGTGGCATGGCGATTCGTTCTTGAGCGAGTGAGTGTCAAGGACTGGTTCTGTCAACTTCATGGGTTGACCAAATGGGGACATTGCATTAGGCTCTTCTGAGCTCTCCCCTTTCAGAATAGTCACTTCGAACTGTTCCCAGTTATTGCCCTTGCTGCCAATCCCCAAATGCTCAAACTCGGGCCGTTGAGCTTACCACAGCATCACTAGCGGGTGTGTAGCATGCTGTGATCTCGGTTGCCGCAGGATCAGGATCAGTTCAGGGGGTGCCCCAGAGAAACGTTTGGGGGATACTAATCGTCTTCCACGTCATCTCCCATGCCGAGAAACCTCACTACGTTGCTGTCAAGAGTAAACATGTTCGATCGCAACCTCATATACGCCAGTTTCAGATCATGATTGTCTGTGTTTATGTCATTCAAACACCATGTCTCCTTTCAACTACTCTAAGGTGAAAACGTACAAGGACTATCACGCGAATCCTGCAAAAGACCAAAATCCTTCTAGTGAAATGCCGTTCAAAGGATCTGCAGGCAATCTTGAAGATTCGCCGAGAGCATATCCTCTTTCTCAAGTAGGACGTCGCAAAGATAATGCTGTGGGTTGCGAGAAGAGTCATGCGTCTGTTGCAATCAAGTCGAGTTCGACGGCTAAATAGGATTACGGCCCGCAATGTCGTAGAAAGGAAAGATCGCGTGGAGATGGTTGTCCGACTACCTGATCTTGATGCCAACCATCTCACAAGATGTGCAATTGATCACCCACACGCGAAAAGACGATGTTTCCACTGGGTTTGGGATGATCTCCAGATGCACCATTGTGGCGGAGACACGTTAACTCTGCCAGGCTCAACAAGGCAGCTCAAAAGGGCAAGGGACGATCATGGGGGGAGAACCACCCCGAAGTTCAACACTGTCACATTTCAGATACCTCCTTGCTGACACCAACAAGTCTTGGGGGCATTAGCCAGTCGACGACAGCGTTGCAGTCTTGTGAGACCGAATCTCGATGCTGGCATCCCAATGATGCGCACCCTTCGCCGCTCACAACAGCCACTCGATAGTCTCAACGCAACATCAATACCAGGGAGCTCTACGATGTTTGCTGCCGAGCTATTTATGTACGAAAACTGTTTCAAGCACCCCATGTTGCTAATAAGCGCTTTGAAGGAACCCGCTGCTGGAGATCGCTTGCGACCGACATATAACCCTGTTCGTTATTAGCTAAACCCACCAACGACCTGGAGTGGTGTTGTTTCACAAGACTGCGACTACGGTAGGTATTCGGACATTTGACTACAATCTGCCATCATCCATGATACACAAATTGAAAAACATGCACTATTAGTCTCGGGAGCAGTTGGTTGGCAACCAGCGGATGTCGGTCCTGGCCCCCTATGTGTTTCATTGGAAACAGCTATAGCAACAGCCATACCACTTCAGTTGCTGACGCCTCAATTCATCAAAGGGAGAACATCGGTTTGGCGCTTACCACGGTCCGTTGACGGGATTCTTCCGGGACCGTTGAATGTGCCCCCTTGCTTATGACTGGGATTATTTCCATGTGGCTTACCACGCCGTTTGTGACTATCAGTCAAAACCTTTCCGCGAAAAACATGGTCTTGAGACAATGCAATCTTGACAAAAGTGATGAAAACTATTTGCCAGCCACCTCATGGCAGGGCGTAGTAAGCATCTGTGGAGTGCAGTCAAAAGACAACTCCAGTGGCATGTGGTGATGGAGAAGGGAATGGTATTGAACGGATGCAACGTCTTGACACATGTTAGCGCCAACTGCTATTCATAGCTGTCGATCATCACAGCCATGGCTTGAATGCATTCCGAAGATGTTTACCTATGACTGGTGAGCGAAGCCATATTCGACGCTGAGAGAAAACTAGTCATGTTTGGAGAACGATTGGTACTCCAGTGAGAAAATTTCGAATCTCCCATGTTTGAGTCTAAGCCATGAATCATGTTTACTTTTGTTGGACATTTTGCTCCCTGTTCATATGCGGTTGCTTGCCCCCATCGTACGACCGTTTCATATTGCTTTTTCTCGATGTATCTTGATGTGGTACAAGAATACCATGACTAATTCCAGGGACGAAAGTCAAATTCTGTCAGAGATGGTAAAAAAGAAAAACAACGACAATGAGAGGATCAGTGACAGCCTGCAGCAGATGGAACAGCACATTCCACAAAATAACTGCTAGTATACAGACAGGTCATTCTGGAGGATGCACAATATTGCTTTTTTACTGGCCTCGGGAGTTGGTAAATACATGTCTTCTGCACAACCAACGGCACGCATTGACCTTCGTACATACACATACATAAACGTTTATGTGTGTGATTGTTTCCGTCAATGGGTCGGGCCTTATGCCGGTGGCCGTGCCCTACCGATCGATAGTCCCAGCTCTTGTGTGTGGTTGTGCTCCCTCGGTGTGCTGCATGTCTCAGATATCACATGGAGCTGTGAGGCAGAGAAAGGGCGGGGATGCCTTTAGCCGCCGTTGGCTAGTCGCCATTATTCCCCTTGAGACTACCAACGTAGATCCCAAATGACCTGTAAGTTTTGAGACGTGCTATGATATAGCCCCCCCAGACGTTACAGTACATATACCAGCTTACACTAATGCACCTTGTGTCTTATGCGAGGTTAAGGACAAGCAAATGAACACGAGTCGAGACTTTGGCCCAAGGCACTAAGAAGCCACCGAGTCAAGATTCAAGACGCACCTGGTTGACCTCACTCTGAATCATCGATGCGTGTGGCCAGAGACAAACACTCTAATCAGTCAATATTTCACGTTCCTCTCAAGTTTCACGTCGGGTCACTCATAACTGGCTAAGGTGGAGAAACACGAGCGCTGTATTGGGCGACCAGCTCGTCGACTCGAACAAGGCAGTTTTAAGTCTATCTCCAGAGTAACTACAGTACCTCTTGGTAATTACCGTCCCCAGCAATGCTAGTGAAACGTCCATCATCGATAGCCTCCGCCGTGGCTGGTAACTAACATACTGCAACTTTAACCAGCTAACCACGCCCCGGGCTCTGGGCCATTTGATGTTGGAACATTAGATCCATCTCGTGGATCATCGGTTGTTGCATCGGCATTCCTGTTGCTGGTACGTGGAGTGAATTCATTCGCGTCTGCAGATATCTGATACATGCTCAGGGTTTTTGTCAGGGTATAGTAACTGGGGCCGATTTCGATATCGCTGTCGCCCGAGTGTGTAGATGCGACGGTGAGGTCAGGGGTAGTATTATGGCTTCGATTGCAGGTTCGGAGGTCCATGTTTCTGTTTCTCTGTGTAGGCTCTAGAGTCACCGAAACTGATGCTGCTGAAGGCGAAGGAGACTGCAGATGGGTTTGGTCCAGAATCTCAGAACGAAACGGAGATATTCCTAAGTCTCTGAACGGAACAGGGAAGGGATCGTTCCGACTAAGAGTGTAGGGAGAGGTGATTGATGTTCCAGGCGTCGGAATGCGATCGGACACTGAGCGCCTAAGAGTCATAGGCTTTGTTGCTGAGGCTTCAATCATGTCCTTCTTTCGACAATGTCTCCGGGGGTGAGAGCCACATTTGCGACATTGCTTCTCAGCAAAGTCCAGAGGAATGCTCACAGCTGCGGCGCGGCGACGGTCCATCTCCGCTGCCAACTGTGTCTTCACCACTGGCCTGGCCAGCCGCTTGAAATAGCGCCAGCCTGGAGGCTTGTCCATTCTTCCCTTGACACATGGCCAACAGAGACACAAGGCATACTCCTCGCCAAACAAGTGCTCGTAGATCTGATCCTTACTATTGCGGCGGGAGATCCCCACCTCCTGGTTATCAGGGGGATCCGGAATCATGTATATGAGGCCACCGAAGTAATTGATACAGAACCGCTCATATTTCTGGGGCGCGAGCTTGTGCGTTCTCCAGACGAGATGGATATCGAAATCGGTAAATCGAATATGATCTGGATATTCGAACCGCCAGTATCCGATCTCCTCTCTGAACTTCTCCAGAGTGAAGAGCCTCCGGTAGCGCTGGATCGCGGGCTTCAACGCCCGCTCGTTATCCTCACGGGACACGTATATGCGATGCCAGGAGAACTTGGCATCTTGTTCTGCGAGGTCAAGTTGACGCTGGACGGTTTTATGGAAGTCGTAAAAGAATCTCTGTTGACCTCTTGGCGTCATGGCGGTATGGTTCAGTCGCTTCTGGGAGAATAGTCGAATCACCTCTTGAGTCATTTCATTGGGACTGGCGGAGAAGACATGATCTACCGACATGTTCATGAGGCTGCAGGTATCTGCCTCGTGGTACACACGGTTGATCCTGTCCATGCACTCCGGTGAAGGCTCAAACAATCCCTGCCTGTTGCCGTCAAGAGCTCTTAACTAAGAAGAGTTAATTGCTGATATCCTGAACATCAGAGCAGTCGGCAATACACACCAATTCGTCGGGGTTCCACTGAGAAAAGAATAGTTGAGACTCCTCGATAAAGTCACCCCATGCAACTGGGTCTTGCAAGAATGCATGCCATACGAGAAGAACATCAAGGGGAGGAATGTCTCTGTTCAGGTCAATGTGGCCACCATGCGACGCCTTGAACCAATCTAGTAGTCGGCGAACGCCCATATTGATGTAGCATGTCCATGCTGCGGCTGGATCAATCCTATGCCTCATGGCCCAGATGTCAGTTTTTCGCTTGATTGAAACGAAGTGCTCCAGCAAGTGACAGTGTAGGACAACATCTTTCTCGTCGACTGATGCGTGTATAACCTTTTGGTTAATGCAAAGTAAGTCCAACTCGGAGAAAGGTGAAGTCGGTGGATCAGTACCGAAAAGGAGTCGAAGTGTGCTTCCACAGACGTTAACACCCAATGCAGGGAGAATGGGTTGTTAGACATACTTGATAGCCAGTTCCATCATTTGCTCGAAGAATAGGTACGCTGTGGGTTGAAACGAAGGACTCAATGCCAGGAGCGAAGAGCTTCATGCTAGGCTTGAGCAAAACGATATCAGATGTCCAGGCGAGCTATCGCGCAATTCTTTATGCTTCACAGCGCATCAGCAGGGTAGAGTATAATCCTTTGAACGAGGCAGAGTGAGAGTTTCGATCAAATGAACGGTTATGGCTGACCCTGTGCGAAGAATCTTGGGGAACGGAACTGGTTTAAGTAGATCACCTTAAGTTGGGACACACGGTTACGCTGGGCCGCCAATGATCAGACTCATCAATATTGATTCTCATACAGAATAAACATCGAGCACCCTTGAAAACAAAGAAAACTAGGATATCGACGTTTGCCTGGCTTTCAGCCTCAGCCTCCCGTGCGGGAGGCTTTGCTATTACGATATGGTATAGGCCCGAGCTGGACAATCGGTTTGAAGGATAAACCCTATTTCAGCGACACGAGAACTTAGAAACTCCCGATAGCTGATCAGAGATGGAATTCTCCTCGTATAATGCACGACATCGTCAATTCTGGCATGTCAGGATGCGTCTTACATTGGAGACAGGTTGATCCAACGACGTACAGATTAGTGGCGTCTCTCATAAGCCCATAGGGCGTTTACCAGAGACCAGACTGGAAGTCTATGATGCTTTGGATGCAGGAGTCGTTGACGTCTTGTGGTATTCTCGGAGACTCCGATGGGGCACTAGACGAAAGAAGACAGGATGGCTTTGGTGCGTTCTGATAGTCTGAACTGAGCATTGGTTTATGCCGTTGGATGCTGAGCGAAGTTGTCGTGATCATTGGAGGTTGGAATAAGCTCGATCGAGCGTGAACGAGGTATCGGAAAGACACCAGTTAAAAAAAAAAAGACGATGATCTTGTGATGAGACTTGCGCGGGTAAAGGTGCAACCACCCCCCTAGAAAGGTAAGCATGAGTGGCTGGTATGATTAGAGGTTCTGGTGAGTATTGCCGAGAATGTTCCTCGCAATTGTTCGCCCGCCAGAACATCCCGAAGAGGTAGAGCTGTCGTGTCCAGGCTGAAGACGTCAATATAAAGTTGTCTAGTGACCATCCATTGCTCGCGGCGGCACAAAACTAAAACCCCACAAGAGAACGCTAAGCGAGATACACTCCAAGTTGAGCGATTACAGAGCAGCTATAAACAAACTAAACGATACCATAGTCGACAGGGAAGCTTATACATAAGTTGCATGAGCCAAAGGCCCAGTGCCACACAAAAAGGGGCGCTGGAGTATGAGGCAAAAAACATACAACACCGGGGATTCGCTGGTCGTCACCGACCCAACTACTAATCCAGCGCTTCGAAGCTTGACTATGGGAGAGCAGACGGGATCCCGTATTTTCTTCGAGCTGTGGTCGTATGTGCTGTGACGAGCTGTTGTATTGCCATATAAGGTGGCTGGTGTTGTTGGTAGGTAGCCGAGAGCCCTGTTTGCCCTACAGCCTGATCGTGATAACAAGGGGCAGCGCAGCCTTGTCCGGATGAAAACCAATCATAAATCAAAGAACAAGAACAGAGCAATGAGACTGATACCTTTTAATGTGTTGTTTACTGCTGATGGTGGATTGATGGGGGAGTTACGGCTTGTTTGGCGTGTAAGTAAGGAGAGGCTTCATGTACAACAGACTTGATACATACGGCAAGTAAACACCATAACTTATAGTAGAAATAGAGATTCAATTCTGGTTTAGAATTAAACTTCTTAGTATGAAAGGTTAAATAGGTCTATAGCAACTGTCTAGCCTTACATTCTCCGTTCAAGTTATGTTGCGCTGGTTGCAATTAACAGAAACAGAACTCTAGATTGCACGTCCAAAGACATGGATATCAATACAATAAGAAGCTTAATCTTGTTTCAATTTGAAAATATGGTGGAATGGCATCTTAGCATCGCCAGAGTCCCAATCAGTCTGAGACCCCTATACCCAGCCTGAAGCATCAGAAAGGTAGACATTACTACGGTTTGCTAACTCGATTTCAGTCTGAACCTTCCTATACACATAAAATATCATAGAGTATGTTCATGGGTATCTCTTCATAGATATAAGAGGTTGTTTGGGATCTAAATGCCTTACATCCTGCCAAGTGTTAGAAGTCTATTTTTGGCTTGACGTGGATATTGGGTATGATTCTACGTGTAGCAAATATAAGATATGAGGTAGGATATGCTATTGAGAAAGCTTTTTGGATAGTGATAGGGACAGGTCGAACAATGATAGAATTAAAGTCATTGAAAAGGTGAAGTTGTCCATTGTTACACTCAACACCATCGCCACAACCACGATCTTGACAACACCGCCTGGCTACTACATATATAATTTATCAAACTGGGTCTTAGCGAAGACTGAAGAATCTTCTCCATTCGAATTTACAAATAGCGATTTGGGGTCCCCAACTGCCTCATGATGAACCAAATGGTAGGGCGTGATGCCTCTTGAATTACGACAGAACTACAGATAACTACGCTTCTGAACCAACATGATCCATCTATTTCAAACCACAGCAGTGAATTCTGTTTCATCCTGATGAAGTCTCTTAGCTCACATGCACAGCAATGACTCTCACCGCCCCCGTCTGAGCAGATTAGTTGAGAGATATTATCACGCTTGAGTCATTTTCAGTACTACAATGGAGCCTTTTTGTTTTTCAAAATACCGCATCAGCCTCACAATATTCTTCCATATAGGGCAACTCGATACGATACAGCATCCGAGAATTACTCGGCGAGTCATTATCTCACGGACGCCATGCCATGCTCCTTTCTGCCTCGTGCATGGAGCTGGAGACGAGAGCACTTGTTGAGAAGTGCAATGACGTATAATCTGATGCTTGACAGGAAGGCAACTCGTTGCCTTTCGCTTTTATTGGTAGGTGATGCTCTTGATGGTGGTTGTGGCCTGCGTGTGTCAATGCGGCTCTGCAGGCATCGCATGTGCCTAAAGATAAAAAGGGTCAATAACCTCCATACAAGCGCTCGAAAGTGCAAGTTCTCGTCGCTGTAGATGCACTGCTCGGGCGGGGCGAGTGAGTAGTAGTCCCCGAGAAGGGAGGTGAGAAAAACAAGGCGCCCGCGTTAGAGCATGCGTCTGCGCAATGCATCTCAGCCGCAGATCCACGACCTTGCAGAACGACGGACGGTTCATATCGTGTCGATTCGGTCTCGGAGCTTGCCTACCGAAGAATTCGCCTAATTCGAAGAAGTAACTGGTTTCTGAGGGCGTGTGCTACCCAGAGAGTGAGTGTGTGAGTGTGTGTTCCGACGAGAACAGACGAGACTCATTTTCTTTGTACAACTGCGCACGATAATTGATGGGGATTCATGGGAGGTGATACAGGCACAAGCGCCGGGAAACTGCATGAACCATCCTTCGTTTCATGGGTAAAAAGACGTTGGAGTGTAACAGTCATAGTCACATTCAGTCGCAGTGAGAGTGAGAAGCTACCCTCCCTTGCATTACCCCTCATTGTGTTGGCTGTTGTGTTGATGTCAGAGGGCAGAGCCGCATTTGGCGAACCAAAAGTTATGAGGCGACGAGTATGCCATGCCATGCCATGCCATGCCCCACGCAGGACAGCACAACTCAATGCAAAATGGCAATATTAGGCTCACGATGATCGAAGCATTCGCATCTGATATCACCCGGTTTCAAAAAGGCTGACACAAAGCTTCCTCATTCGGTCTCGAGTCTTCACCGAGTTTAAGAAATGAGGCGGTCGAGTACAGATCAGCAAGAATCATGTGAAGCCTGCTGCTGTAGTGCATTGGTTGGTTACTGTACCCTCGAGCACCAACTACGAGGATCTAGTGAGACGGCGCCTAGGGCTTTGCGGTGCAGATGAAACCTCCTCCACTTCAATAGCTGCTGCAGCTGCGGTTGACTCCGGTACTTTTGGTGCACTGATCACGCGGCACGAGCCGGCCTTGGATTAGTTACACTGCATCTTTATAAGGTAGTTTAATCGATGCAGGACATTGCCGTGCCATTCCTGTAGGTCTTGGTTGCCCTTGAGTGCCACGCTGACACGTATCCGTGTATTACCTCGACCGGCATTGGAGCGGCCTCAGACATTTCAAGTAACATCCATTATATTGACAGGCCTCAAATGTACGAGCTCAAGCGTTCAGTCCAGTTCAGTAATCTTAATCTTACGGGTACACACCTCAAGTTGACAGCTCCCAAATGGAGCAATCCCCGCATTTATCCATTTTGGGGGCGTATTGAGCTAGGACTACACTATGACTTACACTTGTAAATTGAATTTACAATGCCTCTGTGCAACCGAATCATTCACACGTAATACTCGAACAACATGACTGCTCTCGGGGGTCCTGAGAACATCCTCAGCCTCTCGATAAACGTAATACCGACCGCTATTTGCAAGCATTTCATGGAATCAATCACATGCCTAACCGCTACTGCATCCGCATGGACACTCGGCGGGTATTGGAGCCTGTTCCGCGTAAATTAGCGGTTGCCTTTTTCTCTGCCTCGTCGATAAACATGGGCCATCTTGAAGAGTTCGGCGAAGTTATCTCACGATGGTCAGGCAATTCGGAGACTTTCACAATCTCGGCATTCCACCTCGGAAGCAGACGGCTAATGCGTAATCGGACCTCGGGCATTACGTTGCGACTCGTGGAAAGCACGAGGTCTCCGGGTTCCGAATACCTGAGGGATCAAGGCGACCGCAGGATCAAGTTATCACGGTATGAGACTAGCCGTTGCTCTAGAATTATTCTAGAACGATTCTAGAAGCTCTGTAGAATGCCATGACATCGGGTGCGTGACCCCCCCAAACCAAGGGCACACATGGTCCATCTTCCGAACGCAACGGCCAAGCTCGTTCGAATGATGTGCCCGATATGGCTTTCAGTTCATCTCTATGTAGGAGTGATATAACGATTATATTGATGTTATAATTAAGCAGCAAATGTACTCAGCAGCATCTTGACATACCTCAGCGCTGGCACTATCTTGGTTCTGATATGTTTGAGTTGGAACGTTTTTTGTGGTTGAGCCTGGTATCGGAAAACTTGTCTCTCTACCTTTCTTGTAAACAAAGTCGTGACTGGATGCTCTTTCTTTGTTTTATATCACGTCACGACCGAGAGCCTCTCTACGTTTAGTTCATAACATCTTAGTAGGGGTATCTTGTGTAGTTCTAATATTCCTGTAATCGAGCTCCCGAGAAAATGCTAGGATATCTTGATGCAGTATCTACAAGACCCTGATGCTGACAGGCTGTCGTCCTAGGCGAGGCAAAGGCCTCTGCCTAGCTTGACCCTATGGTCTTCTTGTTGTATCTCTTGCTTAGTCTCCTGCTTGGTCTCTTCTTGAAGCTATCTCTAGTGCCAAAAGAGGGAATTTTCTTCTCAAAGGGGAGATTTTCTTCGATCTCCATACAGGGGATATTTTACGACTACCCTCCAGGGCCGCCTCAAGCGGAGGGCAACCCAATTCGTTGCCTGTAGCTTTGAACACGGAAGGGCCTTAATCCGATTAACCTGATTGGCGGCCGCTGACCTCGCTGAAGCTCGATCTCAGTAGGTACTCTGACCTCTGTCTCTTGCCTTGATTTGGCGAATACCTTAGCTTCACTTTTAGGAAAGACCCCGTGGGGCTGAAACTGACTAATGGCCGAAGAGCAGATTCTTTGGTAAACTCTAAATACCTTACCTCAATTTGGAGATGCAAATCCGGAAGGTGCCCTTTTCACCTCGTTCTCAAGTTACTCTTCAGTGCGGATTTGCCTAAGGTGTATTACTGTGGCAAGGCTAGAACAACGGCACAGAGCATGAGGTATTATAGTACATTCGTAGATATCAAGCCATGTATCATCTATGTACAATTTCATACTGTTGATACTCCGTCAAAGTGAATAGCTTCAAGATGTGGAAGAATCATGCCTCAACTGAACTGCCGGTACCACAGATGTCCTTACTGCATCACAACATTGCCGCGTCAAATCGTCCATCGTTACTTCATGCTCTCAAACTTTATAAGATACAAGTATGAGCCTGATTCGCGGCCTCAAAAACTCTCAGTCGATATCTGGCATAGTCAGAGTGCTGCTATTGGCCCAAATTGGTTGACCAGATGACATGTGCTACTGACTCCCGCATATCCGACGCCTTTTAATATCAAATAAACTTGATAGTCTCTAGTCTTGATCAGACTCTCGATAGATTCGCAATCCTTCATCCAACTGGCCCATCCATATATCCCGCAGTGATGCCCAATGCCACCCAAAACAAGCTACCAGCTCCTCCCACACGTTTCAGTGCATCACAAACGGTAGCTGGATACGCATTAGACAACCCATCACCATGTGCATGACGCCGCCTGGGCCTCCCTTTTTTTCCGATTCGTCGACCTAAAAATCCTACACTATGCGAGCTACACACTAGCAACGTCAAAATCATGCCATGGCCGCGTTTCTAGCCATTCCGCACCATCCGCGACAGTAGACTTTGAATTTGCAGCCAAATTGTCTGCGTCATGAAAATCAAACATATTTCGACTGCCGATGCATATGATCCCAGTACTTTTTTTTCTGGGTACGTTATCCTGCAGATGGCCTGAAATGTTGGCCAAGTGTCGCATTTTTGGCCCCCAAATTGACCCGACAGTTCGGTACGCCTAATGCAAGTGTCCAAGTGTGGGGGCGGGAAGCGCGGGAGACTCCACTTCCCGCTCCTTATGACACTTGTGATGTGATGCTATCATACCTTAGCCATTGCCAGCCTTGATTATTTTATAACAGGTCAATTGACCAATTAACATGTATCATTCTACTCGGTCAGGTATCTATTCATGAGTCCATACTTTCCTCTTCTTCTTTCTAATAATCCCCCAACACCCGAATAGTACACAAACTGCCACCCATTGTCGCTACAAATGTAAAGCGACGTAAAAGACAATAAAAGAAATACAATATGTACACGCTTGATAGGTTCAACATACAATCTGGATAACCCACTCAGAGCGCTAAAACAGGAGTAGCAAGTACATACAAGGAAGAAAATTAAAATAGCGATAAGGAAAAGCAACAACACTCAAAAAAAACGACAGGAAATGTCAGTGAACCAAAAGAGCGAATTGGGTGAGAGGCTCACTCGGACATAAGGCCTGGCTCATCGGTAACAAGGCCTGAAACGTATCAAAAATAGCGGTTTGTCCAAAGAAATAGAGTTACTGTCTTGATTGGCAATTTCTTGGGCGCAACCTTGTACCAGGTATTCTCTATAGAAGAATACCGGGCTGGGTTAACGAGAGCAAACGTCAACATAACGTTTGGTTCTCCACCTTCGGAGCACCCGAAAATACTGCTCCGGGGCCCAGTAGCGTGTCAAATAATCACAAAGTCTTCCGGATGTCCAAGATTTGATCAATAAACATGTTGAATTCGATACGGTGATAGCATGGGTGAGATATGGTGTTTAAAGATGATATCCATCCGTGTAGGGGAAGCGTGGGCGGGTCCATATCCAAGCTATTGTTCTGGCTGGCTCCAATGAAGTACCCCTTTGTTTGGCATAAACGGAGACATCCACGTTGGTGCCGGTAGGCCTGGCTACTTGGAAGATACTGGGAAATGGACCAATGTCTATCCAGGAGCTTGATACTTGTCTTGGTGACAGTCAAGGGTCGGAGCAAAATGCCTGGCATGGCATCTCTCAACTGTTCTGGCAGGACACTTCCATGCCAACACTGTTAGCTTGCTAATGTGTGAGCATGGAGAATACCCTGCCAAATTAGCCGACAGTGAGCTCATATGGGCATGTTCTGTAACTCGGCGTTGTCCTTTTGCCTGCTGTCTAGGTTTATTTTGACGTTATACTTTTCTGGAACCTCGAATTGGCGAGTTTCTCCATTCCAAAGAAGCCAGTTACCTGAGGATGCAATCTTGTGTCCAAGGGACAGGATACGGTCCTTGCGCTCTTCCGAGACAGACGGTAACTCAAAGGACTTCTCGTCCTCGTCTATCTTGTCATTACTGAACCAGTCGTTGGGGAAGTAGTCCTCGGCGTAGAGCAGGCCTCGCATGGCAAAGTCCTCGGGCAACGGGTGCGGGAGCCGGTCCTTTTCCGGTAGGCGGAAGTGGCCACGAATCTCATACCCAGGCTCGCAGGAAAGCAAGAGAGTGTTAAGCATAATGGAAGTTAGTTTCCAGGGATATGCGTCCTCCAAATGGGAAATAGCCGCTGGATACTGTGTCATGAAATTCATGAAGACCAGGATGGAATGCACGAAAGGCAACGTATTGGTGTCTCCCCAGCGATAAAGAACTCGCGAAATCGTCCGGGTTGCAAAGTCAAGCGCAAGCTTGAATGTCTCGTCAGGGGTAGCCTCGGAGATTGTGTTCCCATCCATGGTGACGTCAGTCTCTTCGGGCTTCTTGGACATGGCCCGCATAAGAACATTGGACTCAGCACCATACCCGAGTAGAGAACATGACAGAGCAATGGCAATATAATATCTGCTGGAGTTAGTTTAGTTCGAACGACTTTTCAATGCCGACTGACCCTGATTCCAACCATCGCTTAGTTACCCGACCAATATGACCATCAAGTGAATCAATAAAGCTATCCGTTGACTCTGGCAACTGGTCTCGGGACTTCCCAGAGAAGAGGATTCCATGAGCGCGCACGAATGCAGCATCAACAGGGGCAAGACGGGCCGTATTGTTGTTCAACACAGGATCAAACAACGTCATTATACTTTCCCGTGCGCTTGAAAAAGGAATAGGAACACAGAGGGACTTGGTGTAGTAGTACAGCTGCTGCAGGGCATTGGGACGGGCCAAGATGGCCAGATGGTGATAAAGTCTACCCGTAGTAGGGGACTTATCAGATGCTTTGCTGTACCAGTGACGACTTACGCCAGTCCACACCTCACGGTCTCTGATATCGTCGTCCTCAATGGCCATGCGATATCTACCAAGGTCTCCAAGACACTCGATCCACGTATCCTCAAAAGCAGGCACAGTTTCGTATAGCAAGGCCATCATACTGTAAGCCAAATACAGAAAGGTGAGCATGTGCTCTAGAGAGGCAGGCAGACGATGTCGAAGAAGTTCAAGAAACGAGTGAATGCCGTGTCGCCACATACGAGCAGGCATAGCATACTTGGAAGCCAACCTTCGCAAAGCAGGGCTGGCAGAGGGGTGTTGACTTGCAAGAAAGAAGTCATGATGCTCATGGAGGAGTGTTCGGTGAAGTGCAATCAAAGCCTGCCATTGTTCGTTGTTAAGTTTTGAATTAGCATCAGTGTTGGATGATTGGGCATTGTCAACTTCGATGCACTTTGTCTCAACCATGACCAGTCCTGCGTAGATGCCTTTCACCTCTGCGACAAGCTGATCTTGTGAGATGGGTCTTGTCTCTGGTTGACGCATCATCTTGGAGGTGGACTCATCATCATTGGATGAAGGCCGACTGACTTGTTGTGTGGCAGGCTGGGTAGGTCTGTTTGCCTTGGTAGGCCCTTGCCTGGGCGAACCAAGAGAGACAGCCCGCCCTTGACCCTGTGACTTTTGCTGAACACCATCATCGGAGGTCCAGAGCTGGCGGCCTGATGTGTTCTGGTGGGGCCGACCCCCGTAGTCGTTCCGGTAGTCATTACGGGCACGGCTACGGCCTTGAGCGCCCGGTTCAGGCGACCGACGCTTTGCCTGGTGGCCATCGGCATCTCGGTCTTGATCGACTGCATTGCCCGTTGTGGTTTGGTCCCCTGCAGTCCCATTGGTGGTGTCTGCACGTCGCTTCCTGCTATTGGAGTCCTGACTATTTGGTCTATTGGATCTGCAAGAAGAAGATGAATGAGTATGTATATTGCTATGCAGGTACAGCGATACCACTGAACCGAGCTGGGGAGTGAACTGACCCCTTATTAACGTATGATAGTTGCGCTGATTCCAGCGTCGGCCACTTTTCCCGATGCTCCTGATCGGATTTGGCGTGTTCGAGCCAAGCTTCTAACGTCTTGATTTCGTCGCCGCAGATATCGCACGCAAAAGAGTGTGAATCTGCCTTGTCCTGGCGGTCGCGAGTCCTCAAATGTCGGACCCATTTGTCCGTAATGCCTGCCATGTTAGGCTATGACAAAGCATGGGAGACCGTGCCGAGCCCAACCGGCGCGCGCCTGTAAGTGAGGGAGAGAGAGAGCTAGAGAAGAGTGAGAAACTGTCAAATGAAGAGAATTCTGCAGTACAGAATTCGGTCAACCATAATTATGCTGTGATTGTTACAGAGAAGGAGAGAAGGAGAAGCAAAAGGTTAGATCCCAAGGGATACAGATGCATGTAAGGTAGGTAGACAAGACAGGGCAAGAGGTGGAAGCAAGTGAGTGGTGGGTACCAATGTGGCCTTGTTCTCGTTCAGGGCTGCCTGACGTATATCCACCAAGGTTCCAGGCTTGTCCAGCATCGCCATTGGGGGTTGGGTTCCATGTTTGGCTTTGAGTGAGGGGTGGTCAACCAAGCAGCCACAATTCACAATTGGCTTGGCTGGGCTGGGCTGATGGTTCGCAAAAAAGGAAACAACAGCTGAGAGGATCGGATAAAAGGCTGGTTTCATTATCTTACCCGCTGATATGTGCAGTCTCAGTTCAATCTGAGATGGTGGGAACGCGGTCTTCCCTTGCGAACGAAATGCAATCAATATGCAATTGGAAATTTTTGTGATATTGATGATGAGAGGGTGGGCTCAAGGCTGCCTGGTTCGCCCGCCACGGTTGCCTCGTTTGAGGCTCTGCGGCACATTAGCATCAAATGCCCCTCATCAAAGAAGCCTAGCTTCTCGCGTTCATTTTGCAATAGTAAACATACCTCGTTGACCTTCCAAAACACAGCCAAGTTGCTGCGTGTCTGTAACACAATAATATATATATATCAACCTTTGAACTGCAAAACAGGCATAATTGGGTAAAGCGGTTAGCTTCGTGGGAGCGTGCCACTGGCCAGCGATAATGTAGGAACCATGCACCGACGAAAGTAGTAAGTTAACTACTTTCGCCAAGGACGTAGGTAGGGGAATAAATGAGTGGTAGTATAAAAAATGGCCCCAGTAAATCGACACAATTGTGGCAGCTAAATCTTTGAATACTAGAACATATAACTTGAAGAAAAGCAACTCTAGGTATATATACCAAGCAAATCTTCGTATTTTGTTTATCATGGTGGGCGAACTAGGACAAGGGCCATGCCTCGCCCGATTCTTTGCTCCATAAGTTAAAGTGAAAACCATGGGGGGGAGGGGGGTTGAAAACCACCCCTCTGAAGAGTTGTTCAATGCCGCCACGGTTCGCCCATGGAATCTCGGACACTTACAAAACCTACTTGAAAGCCGTCGCTGACTAAGTCCTATTTACAGTTCCGACATCCAACTTCATCTCGGAATGACTGGATGGCAGTTCTACAGAGTACGATATGAGGTTTCTCTTGAGCGTATTCCTTCGTCAGCTTGTGGCTCAGATGGAAGCCTGTTCCACGTCTGCGATCACCAGAGCCTATGCTTCACAAGTCTTCCAGCTCAGACTACTCACGAGGCCTCGCTGAGCCAGAAATCAAGGCTGAAGTACGAAAAATAATACTCACCAGACTCATTAGCACATGACTCATTCACGCCGTAGATCCTCTACCGTGAGGCGTGGTGAGAAGCTGAACCTGTCATTTCAGCTTCTTTGGATACAATATTGCATGTCGCTAATCCCGACAGATTGGGCGAGGTGCCCCTTTTCTCGGTGATCAATAACGCGGGATGAACCAACCTCAGAGCTGAACCAGTGTTCTCATGGCTCGTTGGTGCCAACGATGATCCTAGATGTCATATATCATCAAATGCTCCCATGAAGGAAAGCGGCACAAGAAGCATCATGCTGGCATCCAGGTCTGGACAGAGAGGCCCAAAGTTTGATGCATGACCAATAGACCCTCAAGCGAGGGTCTTCCAGGCGGCCGCCAGATGCCTATTCGGCCTTTTGTAAAAAGAAATCTCAGGGAAGGCGAAGTGAGGAGTGAAAATATTGCCCCCTTTAGGTAGAAATGGAGATGAGTCGACTGGCCGGGGCGCAGGCAGAAGTGCTGTCGTGTGCTCTCACGATCCTCAGGCTCGGACGGTTGAAGTGAAAGCGAGAGCGATTAGGATTTGTTTTGATCGCTTTGAGGTGAGAACGGGGCGGCTTTTAAATTCAGGCCTCCCATGAAGCAGCGCATCTATGGGTGTGGTCTCGGTAGTTGTGTGTTGGCGATTTGACGCGAATGCGTGGAATATATGCATTGGGCCGTAGAGTAATTTTGACAGAACGCCACTTTGGACAACTGGCATCGTCGACAATTCGCCATTAACAACTCATCATCACAAATCATGATTATCAACCCAACAGGTACAGGGTATGGTTGACATAGCTGATTACCGATATGGTTGTTGAAATTGGCCAACTTTTCATACCTGGGTGACGGGTCTTCCCCCGTCGTCTAAGCGGTAGTGTCTCCCCACGTTCCGGAGACTAGTTGTGGAAGGATTCACATCCTAGATATCGTGGCTTTCGCGCGAGAGCCACGAGCCACGAGCTTCCAGATGAAAAGTCCTAGATTCCAGACAGCTTACTCCAGTGAAAGCGGCTACCCCATGCACTCCGATAGCCCAACGACAGATCATAACATTCAGCAGTTGGCACGGTAATCTCGCAAGGCTGTTGGAGTCACCCCCCGCATGCGAGGCACCCAATCGGTATCCAATACGCGCCTGGGCCTTCAATCTCACCAATGAGTAAGACCTAACTGAACAAGGCAACCCTTGTGAGGTTCAGGCAGCAGAGCCCCATTCGCTCTTGTATACAGCCCTTTCCGTCACGATGAGGAAACAAGAGGTCATATGTTGGTCATGGAACCTTTCAGCTACACAAACGAGGGCGGCAAATATGCAATCGTTGGTTGTCGCGTTGCAGGTTAATTTCATGGTGATCTTAAGTTCCAGTTGCCTTCACTGCAATAGGAATTTGGAGGCGCTGTTTGGTATTAATGAGGGAATCGGTTTCGGAAGGATCGTCATTGGCTGTGCTAGACGCAGGTCCCGAGAGAGACGCCTTGGTGCCTTGACGCCGGTTCGCGGTCTAATATGTTGAGGCTCAACTGAAGAGTTCGTGTCTATTGTAGCACACATAGATGACAGAACCCGGTGGCATAGTGTGTATGATGTACACGACAAAGGATTAAGTTGATGGTCCTGCAATACGACATGTGCCAGGCGACACTGTTACAAAGAATATTTCCAGCTGACATTATAAGCCCAGATAGTCTTTGCGCACCCATCATATCTGTGAAACCGAACTAGGCAACATGACTTATAGGAGCTGAAAGAAGAAGTGCAGGCATGATCAAGCCTTCGATCGGATGCTTTATGTCATGCTGCCGGTCAGGATCTGGTGACGACCAAGAACTTGAACTAGTGCTTTGTTGCGAAATCTGAGAGTGCCAATTATTGGCATTGGACTGTCCTCCGAAGTTACACACAGCATATACTTGAGAACATTTCAGTCTTGCACGACATCTTTATGTGAGCACCAGTGTTGTCCGTTGTCTTGTGACGACGCCTTTGGATGAGATACTCTGTGCTTCCATACCAGGGTTACACGAATGGCCATGTAAACCTCAGCCCAGTAACGGATCCTAAAGCGCTGGGGAACTGCATATGGGGCCTCAACTGCAAGTGATAAGGTGTATCACAACGGCCTGCTGCACTTCCATATATCCTCAGCCTCTCGGCGGCATTCCCTGTGCTTCACGCTGCAGAGACCCAGATGTTGTCCTACCAGGCTTGGGGATACTTATTGTTCACGTTCTTTCATAAGATGTCACGACTCCCACTTCTCTCTTCTCTCCTCATTAATATGTTTGATTCACTTGATCGTTCCCGAGATACGGGAAGTGTGTAACGTTTCTTTGTGCATGGCTTCCCCAACCTCGCCGCCCTGTGAGGGTAAAGCCGTGAGATCCTGCGTTTTTATCTCGCAACCCAATACTTGTTTGTCTTTGTGCTTCTCTATTCACTTCTCGATTTAGATACCTTTTCGTGCACTTTCTTACCCCGTGCATTATTGCTCGGCCTCCCGTTCCCGTCCGTCCGTTGATCACTTATAATAGCACTTTCAAACACCATCTCTATACATTTCTCGCAAGGCGACTGCTTGGGCTGCTTTTTGAGCCTGCATCTGAAACGGGCGTTTAATCGACGTCGATGAATATGCGATATATCTTGTTTTCTCTGTGAGCATTCACATTTTCTCTCGCCTAACATTAGGCGAGTGGTTGAGTTTACGCAGTATTTGCTTTTTGACAACTGCAGTTCCACCACCCTGTGTAAAGAGTCCCTCACTCACGAGACAATTGGATAATATGGAACCACCAGAATGGCAACAGACATTAGTTTGCTCATTGTGTCGTTACCATTGGTCTGCTTGAAGCCTCTTACACGCTCATAAATGGCTATCAAAGCGGTCTGGGAACAAACAACCTCAATATCACAACTTGTGAGACTATAGGCCTCTCTCGATCCCTGCATAGGAGACCCAACAGCAACCCAACGCTTGAAAATTGGCGTATCTTGAGACAATTATGCAGCGAGCCTACATTTTGCCTGTCGGGAATCGAACCAGGGTTGGTAAGCCTTACAAGGCAAATACATCGTGGGGGCCCTTTGCGCCTATCATGGAGACGTAAAAATGACTTTGAGAAAATGAGTAAACAGCGCGGTGAGGAGATCCATTGATGTTGGCACCTTGAGTTGGGCCTACGATGAAAGTGTTAGTAGTTTTCAGTTTGCATTTTTGATCCACGTCAACGTTGGGTCTGCAGTCATCAATGTCAAAGTGTAAATGCTGCGAGGGTGACGAGGGTGGCATATGAGCGGGCGTTGTTAATGGTATTAATAAACTTCAAGGCAAACAGTTTCGGCCTGAGGTCCAATGGCTGCAAAATGTCAGAGTCACAGCGCGCAATGCCAGTTACGATTAAGTGACTGTGTGATCATGGTCCGTGAGTCGACTCTATCAATGTGCGACACTAGAGTTACATATCGATGTTGCGTTACGTTCGTATGAAATTACTTGCGCGCCATTGAATCCTACGCCATGGTCACAATCCTACACATGTGCTGTGAAGCTGGTCAAGGCTGACATGCCTAGAGACATGAGGCCTGATACCAACTCTTACACCGAAATTACAAGATCAGCACGAATATGCATTCAGCCAAAAACACTTTTGAGATAGCATCACGCTGATATGACAAGTCCAAAACTTGGATGCCCGATACTAACCATGTCAACATAACAGGCTCTTGGAAACACGCAATATGTTTGACTTGGCGTCAGGTAATTGGATCATCATGAAAGATGTTTGTGCTCTGGCTTATCTTGTTGATCCTCCCAAGGCAGGGCAATGACACAATGTGATCGGCTCCACGTTGTCCATCACAGCAATCTTGGACCAGCAGTGACAGTAGTCGTCTTCGAGTTTAGGTCGAAGCCCTTTGATTACGAGAGAAAGCATTCTATGATAGAAGAAATTGGTAAATGTACACACCGTAGACTTGGGTTCTATTCATACATGAACAAAGGGACTTGTCGTAAACGCCGATCAGGTCATTTGACTTGAGCAGGGTTTGTCTCTTGGGTGTTAAGCATATTGTTGGATATTATGCATGGGAAGTTTGTCATTAGGGAGCTTAGGGCAAAGGAAGTCGTGAATTCTTCGTCTACAATTCGTAAAACGTACAGTACTGAATCCCCTGGCCGCCAGGAGGAATCATTCGATGTGATCGTACACCTCTAGTCGTCTTCTATCCAGATCTACCAGATATACACCTCACAGCCAGTCCTCTTTTTCATGAACGAAACGCCTCGTACTTCTCAGCCGTCTTTCTCTTCTCCTCAACCCGCGCAAGTGTCTCAGCATCATATACATCTTCAAGAGATTTTCCACCTTTGAAGATCTCCTTCTCATGTCTAGTGGCTTCATCCTTGGTCATTAACACGAGATCGTGAAGCTTCAATGTAGAACACTTCTGGATGCTCTTGCCCTCACCCAAGGTCGTGATACTGGAGCCGCTGGGTTTCTGCCACCGGATAAGGACCAGCTTCGTGGGGATACCAGTAATGGCACTTCGACCGTGATAGAGCTCTTCCGAAAGGAAAGCAACATCGCCAACAGTGATGGGGACTTTGAGACCTATTTGATCGCCCTCATTACCTAATCGTGCCAACTTCTCTTCATAGCTCTGCAACGTTGCCAGCATGCCCTCGTACATCTTTTCGCGGCCCTTGGCAGGTACATAGTCTAGGGGATAGCCTGTAATGCTCAGGATGACATGGTTCGCCACTGTAAGACCAAATATGGCGGGCATTGTGCCGAGCACGGGAAGAATTCGAACGCGAAAGTTGGGCATGGCAGCGAGATCGCCAACAGAGCCTTTCTGGAACTCCTCTTCAGGTAGCGGGAGTAGCTCAGCTTTACCGGCACCTGATGTCTCCGTAGAGTAGACAACGGGGATGCCGCTTGTGATACCCTTCAGCTTCAGCTTCCTTCGTGTCGCCCTTGAGAGCCCGTCATCCTTGCTAGCCCCAATGTCTCCCACAATGATTCTTGTAGGGTCGCTTTTGCACCCTGCGCCCATGGCACTGATGACTGGTAGGTTGTTCTTGTAGCAATATTCGAGAAGTGAGACCTTGGTCTCGATGTTGTCGATGGCATCGATAACAAAGTCAGGGGCACGTCCATCTTCGCTCCAGGGTCGAAGTAAGCGCTCCGCAACACCCTCATTAAACTGCTCCTGTCGCAGATCAAATTTCACCCATGGTGCAATGGCAATCAAGCGCTTTTCCAAGCATTGAACCTTGGGAATACCAACATCAGCCAGTGTAGCGACCGCATGTCGGTTCAAGGAGCTCAGAGTCACTTGATCGAAATCTATCAGCCTGATTTTCGAAACACCAGAACGCGCAAGGGCTGCTGTGCAGTGAGAACCAACGCCTCCGCAGCCAACCACGATGACGAACGAGTTCCGTAGCTTGTCAAGGCCCTCGTCTGTCAAGAATACCCTGTTCCTCGCCAATTGTTCGAGAATTAGCTCTTCATCGAAGTCACCAGTCTGTGCCCGACGGGCTAGAGCTTGATTCCTTGCATCCTCCTTATCAACTGGTGGCGCTGATGAGCCACCAAAGTTATTTAACTGTAATAAGTCAGTAAAGGCGGTTTGATGAAGTAAATTAGAGGTCAGTACAGGTTGAACGTTAGGGTCAGCGGCAGGAATTGAGCTCTTGAGTTCATGTACTCTCTCTTCGCGCTCCAATGCTTGATAACCAAGTAACAAAGAAGCCGTAGTAGCTGCTGAAAAGACAGCGGCCGCAAAAAGTTGGAATCTTGGGTTCGAGAATGTGTCTGAGGATAAGAAGGAAGACATTTTAAACACGATAATGTGATAAAAAACGTCGACTGCTCTCACACTAACAAGTACATGATAGTCTTCACGATGTGCTCAATCAGATTTTCAAGATCTTGGCAGAGAATGATGTCTTAGTCAGCAATTTGGAGCTCCAATTGGCTCAATTTTCCAATCACCTACACCCATTCCTCATCATCCAAAGACTCGAGATACGATCATCTTGACGACAATCTGTAAACTATAGCAAGACAGCGACGATTATATCGAATAGGCGAAATACGCGATCCATAAATACGCAGGCGCCATGCGTCACCGGCTTGTTGGCCGTCATGTTCAGGTTTCAACACCTAGAACACCAACACTTCGTACCCGATTACCATGCCTTCGAACCTTTACACATTGCACCCAACTCACCACCAACTCAAGACCAAACCTCCCCTTCCTTGCGATTCCAGTAACAACCAACGGCGTTAGAAACTTTACCACCGAGAGAAGGCAATGGCTGAAGCACGAAGCTAAGCTGGCGGTACGATACACTGCTTCATTTTGGGGTCTCTTAGCCTGTTTCGGCGTGATTTTGTTCTTTGTCAATGAGGAGAGGTTGGAGCAGGAATATCCGACACCACACGAATGGGGTTGGATGACACGGAAATTCCTAAGGGACTCAAATAACAGCAAGACACCGAAGAATGGCGAGGTCAATTGGCCTTGGTCGTTCGAGCTGGCTCGAGGATTGGTGTTGAGGTTGGAGGATCCCAAGGTTGACGGCCAGGGTGTTACGAAACTCACGGATAGAGTCGATCCTGAAGCGGAGATCCCTGGGGAATTTAACCCCTGTGACATCTCCGGCAAGAGCGAGGAATGGAGGAGAGGTTACTTCGAGGCTATTATGCTGGCTGCAAAAGGCGCGGAACATGTCGATGGATGGGTCCGCGACCTTTCTCGCAACATCATCTCACCACCCGAATTTGTTATTGGACCCTTAAACCCTAGACCTACGCCAATCCCTCCAGGACAACCTCATGCGCCTCGTGAAGAGGACTGTGAAATTGCTTACCCCAGTGCCGATAATTTCTACATGAAGATCCTGGGCACCAAAGGCTTTACTTCCCGACAGAAGCTCGAGGCAACACTTGAATACGCTAGTTACCTGGAATTCAAGCACCAGTCCGAAGGCGCTGAGGCGCTATACCACCTGGCTCTCGCAGAGGCTACCCAGGGAGTCGACATGTCGCAACCCCCTTACAACCCCAAGACGTTCGTGCTGAATGAGAAGGCCGGTTTGCCCTCACAAAATGTCCTCGATGCCGTCACTGCTATGGCCAACTTCAAAGCCCGTAGCGGGAAAGTCGATGCGGCTCTCCCTATTTACCTCTCCCTTCTCAAGGCTCGCCGCTACTTACCTAACGACCCTCCTCCCACTGTTCAATTAAAGACAAAGTCTCACTCTGTCTTCGACAAAGTCGTCAAAACCTTCTCCCAGGCCGAATATCCACCTCCACCACCAGATGGTACCCAGCCTCCCTGGCGCAGCCGTCACGAACGCTGTCAGGAGGCTTCCCTCAGTCTTTGGATCGGCGAGATTCTCTTCTCCACGTCATCTAAGGACGACGGCCTCTCATGGACGCGTGACAGTGTCGACGTTGCAGAGGAGCAGCTACGAAACATGGATCTTCTAACTGCTGATAATGCCGCGAAAGCGACATGCCGCGAGTGCTTAAGCGCAGGCCTCGCCAACTGGGGTAAAATGGTCAACAAGCTTGCCAAGGAAGAAGAGCTCCAGCAAGCAAAGGCTTCTACACAGTCGGGCGTGTTCTCCTTCTGGAGCGCCACCCCACCAAGTGCTGAAGACCGCTGGACCGCAGAGGAAGCTGTGGTCAGGGAGCGTGTGAGGAGGACAAGAGAACTGATTGAGGATCTAACACCAGCCGGGCCCAATATAGCCTCACTGTTCAAAGCGTAAAATAATTTAAAACAAAACTTGTATAACGTGGGTATACCAGGAGCTGCAAAGGATCTTGCCACATCTTTTTTAGCCACTGCTCGAGACTTGAGATTGGTTCTAGTCTACTTCTAATGAACAAGATATCCCCTTTTCATCATAAACTCCGTTCCTGGTGTTCATCTGCACTCTCCCCACACATGCACGATCCGACGAGGTCGATCCTTCATGCAACTCCGTCATGATTTCAGTCCTCATCATCAGAATCTGCGTCAGGTGCCTCACCCGTCTCCATAAACTTCTTCCAGCGTCTCATCTGCTTGATTCCTTCCTTTATCTTCTCGGGATCAGCGCTGGTGACCTCTGGCTTGACCTCCTCTGGCATTTCACTCCATTTCTCGTCCGTGATATCGGTTGGGCGACGCTCTGCAACAGCCATGTCAGGGTTGACAAAGTTAGGAGTAAGAGCCACTTCTTGCAGGTAAGCAAGTGCTGGTTCGAGAGCCTGGATAAGGATGGTTTCGATGAACTGGTCTTCTCCGCTAGAGAAGCATGGGCAGCCAAGGGGCTCGATCAGGAGAGATGGGTTTCCTCCGGGCATGGCTAGGGGAGTGTCTAGAGGCTCCTCTGAGATGAGATAGCCGCAGGTGCGCTGTGATAGTCAGTGATTTGCGAAACTATCGCTACTATAGGGTGTGTGTTTTACCTTGGCTAGGAACTCTTTGAATTCAGCATTGACGAGCAAATCTGTTGCGAAAACAGTGCCCATGAAGAGCATGCCGCCTAGTCGGTTACCCCATTGCGCCCAGTGCTTCTCGTTTTCAAAGAACTGCAAGACAACCTCACAGCTTTGCCCAATAGCAATGATGTCGATCTTGGCATTCTTGTTGACTTCAGAAACCTTGTTGAGCACAGTCGTCATGTGCGCCAAAGGCGACTCGCTTCCAGGAATCTCATTGAGTTCCTTGATGAAACGACGTCCAGAGTGCACCAAACTGGGAAGTGGAACATCAGCTGCTGCTTCTATGGTGAGAGCACGCTGTTCTTCAGGCCACCAGAACCGCTGGCCCATGTTGGCCAGGATAACGCAAGGAGGTTCCGGGTCATTGGAGCTAGCAGCCTGCTTAGCAAGTGTCTGAACAACAGAGATCATGGTTCCTTTCGCAAGGCCACCAGGCCCATTGGCGATGCGGCCAGCAATCCATCCCAGGTCTTTAGTTGGTTCGCCAAGGACGACGACGATGCGGGTAGTTTTGGCAATGTTAGGGGTGAGGAAGACGGGGGATTGCCGTTTGTTCTCGGGCAAAAGGTGGTATTTCTTGAGGCCTTCTTTCTCTAGGCGATTATGGATGATGTCTTCCAGAGCCACTGTAGTACCTCTATTAGCAAGGCTACCTAGCCCGAGAGCATCAAGATCAGCCGCTTACTGTTGAAGTGGAAGCGCTGGCGCTCATTGACGCGTGAGTTCTTGCTGCTGAAGTACTTGTAGTAACACTCCGGGTCCTCGATAGATCGGACCTCATCATCATCATTCACAAAATAACTGCTCCATGTCAGCGATGCATCTTGAAGTAGTCATGGATAGCGAACCCAAGACCGGCGAGATCTCTCGGAAAGGAGACATCCTTGGGGAGGCCCGACCAACTTCTGAGAAACATAGTGTCAGATTGGAATGTTCTTCTAAAAGGTGCAAGGTTCTGTGAGTGTCAAGTTGGGACTTTTCTAATATCTTCGGTAGATCGAAAGGGTTTGGGAGGAGGGAAGTTGCATTTAGTAAGTGCTTGCGATTAAATACTCAGAGAAGTGTGAGAGGGGGTTATAGCAGCTGCACGCAGCCGGCGGAGATGCTGCTCTAATACTGTGATATCCTGCATGAAACAATTACAAAGTGTTTGAGCAAACAAGAGATCAAAATAGGAGTTTCTCCGTTCTCGCGTCTTCTTTGTGTTTATTCGACACTCCGCATGCCTCATTTGATAGCAGCAACTCTCCCATCACCAGCCCGGGCATATAGAAACTACCTGCTATACCACGAACCTGGAAGCTTTTGCGAGACACAAAAATGTCCTACAGCACTAGCCATACTCCATATTCAACCATGTTTCTATCGTAGCAAAGAGTAGAGGTGGGATATCTGTACGACCGTATCCTAAACGTTCAAAACCGGTGCCTCACCAAACGCCCTAGTTAATGCATTTGCCATGCCCAAACGCCATGTCAAAAGAGCATTTTCAAGCAATACAAATTCGAAAACAAACCCTCAAGCCAATCACTGATTAGGGCCAGGGTTGTAACGACTACGAAAAGCCTGGCTGATGCTGAAGCGGCTTCCTGCGCCCCTGTTCATGTGACTGGCCAATGCCTCCTCTAATGCAGATTGTGTAACTGAGGCGTCTAAGACTGTGTGGTGAGCAAACTACACCAAGTGGGTTGAGGATAACAAGGCAACTTACCGTCAAGATCACTATAACTACTACCCATACTAGGCGTTCCGTCGCTACCTTCGCGGGAGTAACCCTTACTTTGATTGCCCGGGCTACGTCCCGCCAGTTCTGCAGTTCGGCGTGGTGAGAGAGGTCCGGGCGTTCGCTGCTCCGTCGTTTTATCTGACTTATCCGGTTTTTGCACCATGGCCGCAGAGCTGGCTGACGAGTCTGATGTGTGAGATTGATGAATAGCGGACTTTCCGTGAGGCCTGTGATGCCTTTTGCCAGAGCTGCGCCCGTCTCCCCTTAGCGTTGAGCCGAGATCCTGTGCCGAAGTCTGGTTGGAAGGAGATGTATAAGGTTGAAACGCAGGCTCTGATTCGTCATCGTCGTCATCCTCGTATTGTCCTCCATCAGGCTGCTGAAAACGAGGAGGTCGACGAATGATGCGAGATTGAGCGGGGCTAGACTCGTCCTCTGACGATGTTGGTGAACTGTCCTCGGCTGGGCCTGGTGACGGGCTTCGTTCATCTGGCGCTGGCTCCGGTTGAGCTGCTCGATCGGGTGATCTGTCGGGGACTGATGATATTGGTAAGGATGAAAGACGACGTCGCTCGCCGGTCCGCGAAGCCAACCCTGTTCCAGGTCGAGGGGAAGCTGAGCCTCCGGTCATATCTCTCAGGACTGTAGTATTCGTCGATGGATTCCGCGATACAATCGGTCGTATTGATGCGTTGAGAGGAGTGCCAGTACCACTTCCTGCCTCGGCGCGCGGCATGGGTGAGTCTTTTCGGATGGATAAGGCTGAATGTGTTCGTTGATGACCGGGTCCGGCGGAGTCGCCGCCTGGAACGGGCGATTGCACTGAGCCGCGAACGGCTGCGGTAGCTTTTCGGACTTGAGCGCGGACTTGGGAAGCATGTCGTTCGGTAAGGTATGCGACTTGTTGGAGGAGGAAATCGACGGGAACTTCGAAGCGATCGGCGCTGCACCTCAGATGAGTATTGCCTGTATGATAATTGTGATAAGATCGACACCTACACTTCGTCCCCTTGTCTAAGTCAGCATCAATGAATATACACGAATGTGGTGAATACTTACAGTCTATCTGCTTCTTAGCAGCTCCGGAGAGGATCTTCCATAATGCTTCATCTTTGACGGAGTCCCAGTTTACCTGTCATGCTTCTGGTTAGCTCTGCCATGATTGCTCCGATGCGCGCAAGGGCGTGGGCATGATATGCCTATGATTGACTGGTTGGATTAAGAGCTTCGTACCGGTGGCGGATCGACGAAGTCACCACGGGGCATAGGGACCCGGACGAAAATAGTATATGTTGGCTCGGCCATGATGCCGCGCTGGCTATTCAAGAAGATGAGTAGATGAAGATGGTTGAAAGAAGTAGGCAACAAGCCGAAGCTCTAAGTTCATTGAGAGCTGCTGCAGGGATTCCGCGATCGGCTTATCGATAAGTTAGCTGCCGTTTTAGCGTGATTCAGTGGAGAGTGTGAAACACCCAAGTAAGGTAGATTTGATTCACGAATCCACTTGAAACTCAAGCTCGGAGTTCAAGGCCAGTTATACACTGCAGTAAAAGCAATATTACACAAGACTTGACTTTTTTCGTGCAAGAATTTTCTTGCTGGACATCCTGTTCCTGTGGCTGAATTCTTCGTATCTAAATTCATATACATTGTATTTTATCCTTTACCTCTTCTGCATCGTTCATCCTGTCGACTAGCGCCACAGCTCAAATCTGCTTCTTCTTTCTTCGTACTCATATCGTTGTCATACTTTGCTTCTGTAAACAATCTACTATCGCTTAGCCAATTCCGCCTGTGAATCCAGCAGGTTAGGTCTTCTTTCATATGTTCTTCTAATTATCTTCATAGCGTCATAATATCATCATCTTCGTTTTCCAGATGTGTACCTGCGTTTGGGGTAACACAAGCAGCACCGAGCCGAAAAGGCTATTATATGCTTTAAAGCACTGAAAGTATCAGTAATCTTACCATCGGACTTTTCTATCCCTTGATTTGTGCTCGTCCCAATGGCTGATGGGATATGATATCCGTTGGCAAGAAAGACACGAACAAAATTTCAGTCTACTTTAGGGTAGCTTGAGCTGACAAGCTCGATCTGGGCTAACATCTGACGACAAATAGGACAGCTACCTATCTATCTGAAACCAGAGATATGTGGTTGAAATGGAAACTCCGGTTGCCACGGTAAGCTTGTTAAGTGACATGAACTTATCTGACTTCTTAAATACTCGTACCCTTATCAAAGCTTTGATGTGAAAGGTCCCAGTTCACGCTGACTGAGTGCCGTACTTAGCTTGCCAACGTTACGCTCATTGTTACCCTGTAACTGTATATGGATACACTAATAGACGATGGCAATCTGATTACACCCAAACGGCACCTGATTTTCAGGTCGAAACACCCTACACGACTCAGAGAATATGGCATTATCGATGCTTGACTCATGAAAGCCAACATCAAGAGCATGTCGTCAGGACCAACCCCCTCGACCTTACCCAAGTCGGAAAGGCGCTAAACGTCTGGTATTGGATGCCCCGCGACTGCTGCCGGGCATGGAAGACCCCCGCCGAACTGTCTTTGCCTCTCAGTACTTGGCTTCTATGGGAATCCATCCAAAAGTCGGAAAGCCTCCCCCATTCAATCTAATCTTTCACTAGCGGGTGCTTAACCACTTCTATGAAGCTATCTTTCGGGAAGTCTTACTCACATGCCTTTCTTTCGCTCACATCTTCCATCTTCCATCGCTACAGCATCAAGCTATAAGGTAGCTTCGACAAGACCTCAAGCTACAGCTCTTACATCATCATATCCATACGTTATCGCTATCGTGGAGGTAAAATAACCACACAGCTTTTGGCTATAAACAGCTCCAACCCTCCCCACCAAAGGCGTGCTTGGTTCCGAGTTACTTTTCCCGCAGCTTGATGACAGCAACAGCAACAGCGTCGTAATCAGCTATACACCTCTCAAACCAGGCCAAGGCAGCAACATGGTAGCTTCAGAACTCACCGCGTCTGCTAGAGCTATGCGCTCCACGCCCGTCAGTGGTGATGAGTCAAGCTCGAGCTTACCCAAGCCCCTCGCACCTTTGCGAAACCGCGCGGCTGCTAGCCAGAGCCCATACATCCGGGGCCAGGCTGAAAGCTTGGTTTCATGGCAGCTCTTAGACGATGAGGCAGTCGAGCGTTCGCGCAAGGAGAACAAGCTTATCTTCCTGCATATCGGCTACAAGGCATGCCACTGTAAGTTGCGTGATGATTAGTTTCGAAGCGAATTCTATCTTACACTGTGTTGCTAACGGCCACAAGTTTGTCGACTCATGTCGATTGAGACCTTCTCTAACCCCGACTCTGCCTCTGTATTGAATGAGTCTTTCATACCAGTTATCGTCGATCGAGAGGAGCGCCCCGACCTAGACGCCATCTACATGAATTACGTCCAAGCTGTCAGCAACGTTGGCGGATGGCCCTTGAATGTGTTCCTTACACCCAATTTGGAACCTGTTTTTGGTGGTACCTACTGGTTCGGGCCCGCAGGACGAAGACATCTCAGTGACGACAGCACCGAAGAAGTACTCGACTCTCTGACTATCTTTAAGAAAGTTCGTGATATTTGGATCGATCAGGAAGCCCGATGCCGAAAGGAGGCAACCGAGGTTGTTGGCCAGCTCAAGGAGTTTGCGGCTGAGGGTACCCTGGGTACAAGGAGTATCTCGGCACCCTCAGCTTTAGGTCCGGCTGGATGGGGAGCACCAGCCCCGAGCCATGCGAGCACTGCCAAGGAGAAGAGCACTGCAGTTTCAGAGGAGCTGGATTTGGATCAGCTGGAAGAGGCTTATACTCATATCGCCGGCACTTTTGATCCTGTTTTCGGTGGATTTGGCTTGGCACCTAAGTTCTTGACACCACCCAAGTTGGCATTTTTGTTGGGGCTTCTGAAGTCTCCAGGCGCTGTTCAGGATGTTGTCGGAGAGGCTGAGTGCAAACATGCCACCGAAATTGCGTTGGATACAATGCGTCACATTCGTGATGGGGCGCTGCATGACCATATCGGAGGCACTGGATTTTCGCGATGCTCCGTTACAGCGGATTGGAGCATTCCTAACTTCGAGAAGCTTGTGACTGACAATGCGCAATTACTCTCCCTCTATATTGACGCGTGGAAGGTTAGTGGTGGAGGTGAAAAAGATGAGTTCCTGGACGTTGTTCTTGAGCTTGCCGAGTATCTTACTTCGTCTCCGATTGTTCTGCCTGAGGGCGGTTTCGCTTCAAGTGAAGCCGCCGACTCTTATTATAGGCAAGGTGACAAGGAGAAGCGCGAGGGCGCCTATTATGTCTGGACGCGGCGAGAATTCGATTCAGTGCTTGATGAGATTGATAGCCACATGAGTCCTATTTTAGCGTCCTATTGGAATGTCAATCAAGATGGAAATGTCGAAGAGGAAAACGACCCCAACGACGACTTTATTGACCAGAACATTCTCAGGGTTAAGAGCACCATCGAACAATTAAGCACCCAATTCAGCACGCCCGTGGAAAAGATCAAAGAGTATATTGAACAAGGAAGACGAGCTTTAAGAAAGAGAAGGGAACAAGAACGTGTGCGACCTGACCTGGATGACAAAATTGTTGTAGGCTGGAATGGTCTCGTGATATCAGCTCTTTCCAAGGCAGCATCGTCGCTGAAGACACTGAGGCCAGAACAAAGCTCCAAGTGTAGGGCTATCGCAGAGCAGGCGGCTGCATGCATCAAGGAAAAGCTTTGGGATGGCAATGAGAGAATCCTATACAGGATATGGTCTGGAGGTCGTGGAAACACTGCCTTTGCAGATGATTACGCCTATATGATCCAAGGTCTCCTGGATCTTCTCGAACTGACAGGAAATCAAGAATACCTGGAATTCGCAGACATTTTACAGCGTGAGTCGTCGCAATTCCCATCCCATTTGACGCACCCCGCTGACCATGCCATCACAGAAACCCAAACCTCGTTGTTCTATGATGCCGATGGCGCCTTTTTCAGCACTCAAGCCAATAGTCCTTATACGATTCTCCGCCTCAAGGATGGTATGGACACGTCATTACCATCAACCAACGCCGTCAGCGTAGCTAATCTATTCCGCCTTGCGAACCTGCGTTCGAATGACGACTTGGCAGCCAAAGCTCGTCAGACGATAAATGCATTTGAAGTCGAAGTGGTGCAACATCCTTGGCTCTTCCCTGGTTTACTCCAGGGTGTTGTCACAGCTAGATTGGACGGAGAGACGTCGAAATGAAATGTTGAATATAAACAGCCCAGGATGGCGATTTTTATCAAAGTGCCTAGGAACCTAGGAAATAAAGTGCACGAGTTGTTGGAGTCGGCACAGTCATCCCAAGGCGTTCAAGGGACAGTTGGTATAAGGAAAAGAGGAGTTCTGAATAGCGCATAGCATTCTAGGAACTAGTCGATGAGTGAAATTGAATACATGATAAATGTAGACTGTAAGGTCTTTGCTACACTCTGTAAATACGCATAAGATATTATCAAATTTATCATTTCAGGGGTATCTAATCTACATCGGCCACCAGCCCCCTCCCCAAATATTGATCCGTTAGGCTCACTGAGCACAAAGGGTCGACAAATACAATATCTTGAAAAGAAAGGGGATCGTCCATAATTCCTTCGGTGGGGGATCTGCTACTCCTTTCTCAAGATCTAGATGTATCTCCAGTGCCCTTGCGGTTCATCAAACCAGTAAAGAAGCTTTGCAGTTGCTCGTTGTCAAAGTCCTTGGCCATATTCGCAGCAGGTGTATCGGCCTCCTCCTCTTCGTTACTTGGGGAAGAGCTAAATGCATTACGATCCTGTTCATGTCAGCAAGTTGTTCAGAGCAGTAAAGTGGCTGTATCTTACCTTGAGACGCTGCAACATATCATCGGCATCGACTTGAATACCACCCATGTTGAACTGTACAGGTCCAATGTGCTCGCTGATGCTCGTCTCATCGCCAGTGTAGTCGATGTGACGAGTGCTGCGAACGATGGCATTGTCGCTGCCTTTCTCTGGCAACTTGGCCTTGAATGCCTCGAGAATCTTGAGCTGCTTCTCAAGAAATTCTTGAGTGTCGTCACTCTCCACTGTAATCCACCTCTCGCCGTGCATGGCATTTTCAACAACTGCGAGACCACCACTATTAGGATCGCGGCACCATCCCTCGTACCGCGCAATCGCACTTTTTTGTTTCCTGATTTCCGCTTCCTTGTCGCTTATCTTGTCTGCATCGTCAAACGGCATAGAGTCGAGAGGAGTGCTGATATCTTCAGACCATGAGATTGAAACAGGCTCCGGATCAAAAGAACCGCCAAGAACTCGAATCTTGCCCCACGAATCCCAGTTGGTTGGGACGACAATCTTGTCGCGGTCGATAACGTTGTGCTTTAGTGGGTGCCGCTTGAGAAGAGATGTGATTCCAAGGGTTGAGTGAATGAGAGAGGGTAGCTGAGAAGGCGTATTTTGCGAAGTATAAATAAGAGAGGCACCATCTGGAGATTGTTAGCATTAGACCAGAGGCTTGGAAACAGGCCAACGTACGTCTCAGCAAAATCGTTCGCAGATATTGTAATACCGTATCAAAATCTGGCTCTTTCCAACCCTGACTCTTTTCAAGAAACTCCATTTTTTGGGCCTGTATGTGTTAGTATACTTATCATAGGCTACAAGAGACAGTCCTTACATTCTGGCACACCACGCAAAGTGGCAGACCCAGAGGCTCCTCCCATTCTCCTGGCCCCAGAGGCAGTGCACTATCTCCATCGCCGCCGGTAGCCGTAGCTGAGGGTGTTCCATCTAGGTTAGTTGTTGCGCCCCCTCGACCTCTTTCTTTCCAAGTGGACATGACTTCCTCCATGAGGGCATGCTGATCTGTGTCGACCTTTTTGAGAACCTCTTGTATAACCTGAACCCATGTCCATATTTGTCGTAGCCATAGATGCGGCTGTGACCAGTCTAGAAGAATGATAAGAGAGGTATTGGGGATCGTTTCAGGGGTAAGGAGGGGCGCAACGAGAGATGCAAATTCGGCTGAAGGTTGGGAGAGGAAGTAGAGCGAAACTCGTGCCAGAGTATCTAGAATTATTAGTACATCGTTCTGAGGCTGATCTGGGCGTTGGTGCACGAACCGTCTTGGTCGGCGTCGAGAACGTCGTAGTATGTATAGCCCAGCGCAAAGTTGTTCGCAATCGGCGGTATCTTAAGCCGGTCCGCATTACGTTTTGACTCGGAGCTGGAGAGCGATTCGAGGAACTCTCTTTGGTTCTCGGGAGTGCCACCTGAGTTTCAGAGGCTCATGATCAGCTACCTAGCTCTTCAACAGAGCTGTCTAGTTACGACATACCTAGCACAATGAGGTTCTTTTCCGGTAGTCGTTTGCCACTGGCGACAGACTCTAGCATAGAGGTCCAAAGATCCTTCTTTTGTTCGCCATCGCGGCCTTCGGAGTCTCCTGAGCCCGTTGTATAGATCGATACTCTGTTGGTGTTGGCCGCCATGATCCCGGTTGTTGGCTCACCGAGCTCGCTGGTCAACAAATTGTCGTATAAGATCGCAGTGCGTTAGGTCATGAGTATATCTCCTGTGGCGAAAGAGGACAGAGATTGTCGGCAAGTCTGCCTCAAATTGACGTCTAAGTAGAGGGACAGTACGCGTTTGGTGTTGATTCGATAATGCTAAAGGAGATTTAAGGTTGTCGTAGGGGCATCTTCGCTCTGCGTACAACAACGACAGCAGGGAAGATGATGCAAGCTCTCGGTTCGATCGTGGGTGTCCCAATCGTCGATAATCGATTCGAAAAAGTCGCTTCAACTTCCTGGGCAGTTTGTGGTACGTAGATATCGTCGACCGCTGTCTTTCATCAAAGATGAACGTGGCCAGGGTTACCACGTACCAATTCCCATAGGATTATGGATTGGCACTTGGATAACACCCCGTCATTTTAGCGTTCGGTCCGGAAATTGTCCCGCCAAAAACAGCTACGCGCTGCAGCTCTTGCAGCTTTAGCGCACGGACTCCCTAAAGCTTCAGTGGACGTCTCATATTCTGACAATAAATGCGACTTCATTACTCTGTACCATATAAATTTTGCGACATTCACAAGGCTGCGCAAGAAGCAGCGAAAGACGCACCATGAATAAGATACGCGCAATCCAGGCGCTTAATAAGAAAGAGATAGAAAATGGAATGTGAGTGCTTGATTTCCTCTCCAGTATTTCCAGAATCCCTGCTAACAGATGTGCTCAGTACCCCAGAAGCTTCCTGGCATACAGACTATCGAGACACTGCCTACGTCTACTTTGGCGGTCTTCCTTACGAGTTATCCGAAGGCGATGTAATAACGATTTTCTCACAATTTGGAGAACCTGTATTCTTGAAGCTGGCTCGCGACAAAGAGACGGGCAAGTCGAAGGGGTTTGGCTGGCTTAAGTATGAGGACCAGAGAAGTACCGACTTAGCGGTTGACAACCTTGGCGGAGCGGATATTGGTGGTCGCCTGATCAGTGTCGACCATGCGCGATACAAAGCGCGGGATGATGAAGACCCCGAAGAGTTCAAGGTCGGCTGGGAGGACATGCTTAGGCGAGAGGGACAAGCGCTGTCAGAAGATGAGAGTAGCGAGGAGGAAGTGAAGCGACCGATGCTACCAGAAGAGCGAGAACTTGTGCTTCTGATGCAGGATCATGATGACGACGACCCCATGAAGGGCTTCCTGATCGAAGAGAAGAAGAAGGAAGTTGAAGAGGCGCGGCGCAAAGCAGAAAAGAAGGATCGAAAACACAAACACAGACATCATCGGTCACATAGATCGAGGAGGGATGGAAGCGAAGGAGACCGCCACCGTAGATCAAGACGAGACGAGACTCCCGAAGGCAAAGAGGACCGACATCGTGATAAGGATTCCCGACGACACAGAGATGATGACCAGGACCGAGAAAGGAGACGAGATAGGGATAGAGATAGGCGAAGGGAGAGGAAGGATGACGAGGATGATCGTGGTCATGACCGAGATCGGAGGAGAGATCGAGATCGAGAGCATAGAAGGCATAGGGACGACGCTCATGACGAGTCACGACACAAACGACGCAGGGAAGAAGACCAGGAGGAGAAAACATCAAGGAGAAGGAGTAGAAGTCGATCGCCATGACGGCGCGACGATTAAAGCACATTATGCTGTAAAACAATATTTCACTCGGTCCAAAGTAGCTCTACTTATCCTGAACCCCTCAAACGCCCATCCCAAGTTTGCCCAGCATTAAGAGTCGTATCCCTTGTGATCATTAGCTTGCCTTGTAGCAGGGCCTCACTTGGCTCATGTGTTGCCCAAATAACGCTTCCAACCTTCCCTTACGCAGTGTCGCTTTCCATCTTCGCCGTCAACAATAATGAACTTCTCCCATCGTGCATCATGCCCAGCTCCTATAACAACAAGACTATCATCGCCGATCCAGCCAATGACGCCCTTTGGAGGCCGTGATGTTCCTAGAACAGTGCTCTCTGAGAAAGAAATGCCCCCTATAGCAGCTTCATCACCAGCCTCAAAAGGCGCTGAGCTGAAAGAGTAGACGTCGGAAAAGACTCGAGGCATCAGTGGAATCTTGCTGAGGATACCCCACTTCCCCGTCCCGTCACCGGGGTCTGATCCAGAAGCGCCGAGCTGTTGACTTCGGCTCATTCCTGGCTTTCGTGGATGTGGTACGTCGAAGATGTGAAGGGTGGACTTGTCAGAGGTACAGGCAAGCATCGTTCCGCAAGGTGAGAAGGCAAGAGAAAAGATAGTCGCAGGATCAATGCCACGCCGAAGTTCAGCAAGCCTGGCACAGTTGCTTGTAGCGTAAACACGGATTAGTGTACCTGTTTCGCTTGCACTGGCCAGAAGTTCGCCATCTGGGCTCAATGCAATGGCCTTGAGGGCTGAAGAGTGGGCCGGAATGATGCTGACATTCCCGGTCGCCAACTCGATCAGTTGTATCTGTCCAGCAGTTCGGCCGGGGAAGGCAAGCTTCTTCTCAGAAAGACAGCAAAGACCGAGGAGATTATCTGCAGTTTCGTAAACATGAAGTAAATCAGGAGGTTTGGCGAACGAGTAGACGCGCACGCTATTTTGTAGGACAACAGCGATGCGCTCCCTACCCAGTTGGACGCCACGAATTGCTGTCAATGCTGTGATTTCCAAGGCAACTTTGCCCTTCATGTCGTCCCATATTATAGCCTATCTCTGGTAAGCGAAGAGCTCGACAGTTTACCATGATAGCTTACCTTGTTCATGGCAAACTTGGGCGACCTGCCGCCACCAACAAGAGCAAGGTAGTTGGTTGTACCCATCATTTGAACGAGGCCGATGCCAGCGTTGAAATCTATGAGGCTGTGAGCATGTGCGTGTATTAGCCTTATATGATGGACATACCTCTTGAAGCCTTGAGAAGGCATGACTTTGTGTGGAAGACTGAGATGAGTGTTAGTGAAGGGAAGTACACAGGATTGTAGAAGATGACTTACTGCAGATACCTGAGCCAAGGCCTACAGAAAAGCAACTTGCATCGTTATTGAAAGAGACAGACAGTACAGCCTCAGTGCTAGAGGCCTCGATCGGTGGCCGTACGTTCATCGTGAATGAGTTGATATGTACAAGTTCAGTCTAGGCCTACGGATCTAATGTTTCCGATGCGAGAGCTGAGAGGGGTAAGTCAAAGCTGAGGCGAACGTGATGTTGATGATGATGTCGAGAAACAAGTTTCGAGCAATAATGATTGGTTGATGAAGTTTATCAGGGAATGTTACCATGAAATGAATAACATCTCGAAGGCTCCGAAACCTTATGTGTGCTTATTATGTAGGTTTATTTGATGTCGCTTATAGATCCACCACTGATGAGTAGAGCCTGTACCTGCGTATCGGAGGCTTGATTTAGACTGCGGAGAGGCTTTATGAGAAACAAGATTGTGTTATAAATCTATGAATGAAAAGAAAATTCCATAATAACAACGGTAATAATGTGTCTTATATCCAAAAGCAGGATCATAGACAAAAGGGAGCGTTCGATGTTAGAGTAACTCTTGTTTGTCTACTATGTCTCATCCACTGGACAACTCGAACCGCGTCACGGTACCTAACAGCCACAGTCCTTACATTCAGCCACTGAGACCAACAATGTATTGTGGCGCAACTCAATAGGAGGTTCTTTGAAGACTTGACTTTAAGTTAAAGGGAGAAAACAATCTACCTATCCTTAGTCCAGGAGCCTCCTAAATTTACCATAGACCATCCTAAATTTACCTAAGTATTTATGATGAAAGTCCCTAGTTTTTTTTACCATTGCCGAGAGATTTCAAGGGACAGAAGAATGATATCACGTGATGAAACAAAAGAATGAGCTCTGATTGAAGCAAGCGCCACAGTAAGGCTCGTTGAGGGTCCGCTAGTGGTCCCTTGGGCGGGAAGGCGGTCTGGCTTTACAGGGTGCTGGAAAGTGTGGATTTCGTAGTGTAGGGGTGCACCTGCTGCTCCAGCTGGCATTTGTTAGCACTGGCACTCTAGCTTAGGCACTTCCCCTGAATCTTAGAGGAGGAACGATTGGCCAGGTGTGAAATTGCCCATACCCCTTGAGCAACCCAAGTCCAACACGACCCGTATCCTTCTCTCCTGGCTCTGGCTCCTAGCCTCCTTTAACATTTTCCCCTTGGTTCAGGTTCCCCAAGTTTCCACTTCAACCACCGCAAGCAAAACCATACTCGATTTGAGTCGTTGCTCGACGTTTGGTGCCTTCGACCTATTCCTGCCGTATCTCCTCAGCTTCACCTTAACTTCGCGAATCCAATCTTCAAGATGTCGTCCATGGGCGTATGTGCTATCTCCCCTCCGGTCCTGTTCTGTCCTGTCGTGTGGATGCCACCGCCGTTGAAGCTACCGTTTTCCGCATGATTCCATGGACCAAAACTTTCGCGCGTCTACCATTTAGATCTCAGCTCGCTAACTCCTACTCCCCAATAGAAGATGATCCGTCGAAAGAAGAATGTCAAGAAGGGTATTCAGTTCTGCCTGATGGTCTGCGGTGCTTCAGGCACTGGTACGTGGCCCCTTGCGAGAACAGCTGCGACGACAGCTACAATGGTCCCGTAACGATTAAAACAATACATCAAGCTTACAATCGACAGGCCGTACCACGTTTGTCAACACACTCTGCGGAAAGAGCGTTCTCGATCACAAGGAGTCCGACGATGCTGGCAGCGCCCACGTTGAGGATGGTGTCAAGATCAAGCCCATCACTGTCGGTACGTACATCCAATTATCGTTACATGCATACACGATATTAATTGGACTATAGAGCTCGAGCTTGACGAGGAGGGTACTCGCATCTCCCTCACAATTGTCGATACCCCCGGCTTCGGTGACCAGATTGACAACGAGGCTAGGTAAGCTAGTATCGCGGTCCATGTTTTTACCCCTCCACTAACCCAATGCCAGCTTCTCAGAGATCGTCGGCTACCTCGAGAGACAATATGATGATATTCTTGCCGAGGAGTCTCGTATCAAGCGTAACCCCCGCTTCAGAGACAACCGAGTCCATGCTATGCTTTACTTTATCACTCCCACTGGTCATGGGTATGTTTTATAAGCTCCTAATTCTTCGGACGCGACTGACGTTTGCAGCCTCCGAGAACTCGACATCGAGCTCATGAAGCGCCTCGCTCCTCGTGTCAACGTTATCCCCGTTATTGGTCGCGCCGATTCGCTCACCCCCGCCGAGCTCGCCGAGTCCAAGAAGCTGGTTATGGAGGACATCGAGCACTACCGCATTCCCGTCTACAACTTCCCCTACGACATTGAGGAGGACGATGAGGATACCGTTGAGGAGAACGCTGAGCTCCGTGGCCTTATGCCTTTCGCCATCGTTGGATCCGAGGAGGTTGTTGAGATTGGTGGCCGCAAGGTTCGCGCTCGTCATTACCCCTGGGGTGTTGTCGAGGTTGATAACCCTCGTCACTCCGACTTCCTTGCTATTCGATCTGCCCTGCTTCACAGCCACTTGGCTGATTTGAAGGAAATCACCCACGACTTCTTGTACGAGAACTACCGTACCGAGAAGCTGTCTAAGAGCGTTGAGGGTGCTTCCGGAAAGTGAGTTTTGACCAAAATCTCGGATATGGACCACAGCTGACCTGTTTTTAGTGCCGATAGCTCAATGAACCCTGAGGACCTTGCCTCTCAGTCAGTTCGCCTCAAGGAAGAGCAGCTCCGACGAGAGGAGGAGAAGCTGCGCGAGATCGAACTCAAGGTGCAGCGCGAGATCAACGAAAAGCGACAAGAGCTATTGGCCCGCGAGTCCCAGCTCCGAGAGATCGAGGCCCGCATGCAACGAGAGGCTGCTTCTCAGGCCACTGGCACACCTGAGCCCAATGGCGAGGAGCCACTCAACTAGACCTATCACTTCACATTTTAGGTCTTTTGCGGTGTTTCAAAAATGCGACGTTGGACTATTGTCTATTGCTGGCGTTGGTTTTTCCTCTCCCACGACTGAAGAGAAAGATGAGAATATTCCCCCTGCTGCTGAACAATTGAGTTGTCGTTTTCTTTTTTCTTCGCCGCCCTCCTTCACTCATCAAACGTCTGCTATTCTTAAAACGATTCTGGGCATGCCATCTGGAAACGGTTTCCCTGGGATGGCGGGCGGCTACCCATTGTTTAGAAGCATTCTCAAGGGAGGGTCATTATGTATCTGGCTGTTGTAGGGACGCAGCTTGCGGGGAGTGTCTTAACGGGATGAAGACGCCCTTGCGCTACGATACGATGCATGCAGACGACTGGCGGATAGGACATATTGCCGTGTCCTGGTGCCATCTTGTGGTCATATTAGACTTGTATTGGGCGTACATCGTTGTCCATTCTTGGGCGACACAACCTTGATTGTTTCTTTTTTCTAGTGGCCTTCTAATGCTGATATCAAATAAATTCAATATTTTTTGTAATACGATTGTTGAACTCTTAAGCACTTGCTAAATCTTGAAACTTGGAAATACTCATGATGCCTAGGTTTATGATGATGACTATCAATTATCCTGTCCTGAGTATAAGCCGCTTAGACAGCCCAATCAACGCGTAGTAAGGGAAACCAAACTTTCCAGAAACGCCAAAAATCCATAGTCTGACTAGGGAAACCGTCCGCAACACAACAATTAAGATAGCTTTTGAATCAAACACAGCTCGCATAACACAATCTTGGTAGCACAGTGATGGAAGTTAGGAACCGAGTCATCGGTCCACGGTCTCGTGTCTACGCCTCGTTAAACTTTTACAGGTCGGTATTGCTTAGTTATTAGACTGGCTGTTGAGAATGCGCAGAATAGCGAGGAAGAGGTTGATGATGTCGAGGTAAAGGCTGATGGCAGCAGCAATCTCCTCCTCGACATGGTGGTGGCGAAGGACAAGCTGGGTGTCGACGAGGATGTAGCCACTGAAAATCAGAGCAGCAAGGCCGCCGTAGATGAGCTCGCCGGTAGAGCTGTAAGGGAAGAACATGGCCATGAAGCTGAAGATAACGAGACCCCACAGGGCACCGAAGAGGTAAGGCATCCATGATGTGAAGTCGTACTTTGTCTGACAAGCGAAGAGAGTGAGGAAGACAAAGATTCCGGCAGTAAGAACGACAGCGTTGAGAACGATGGATGTCTTGTAGAATGATACGATAACAGAGATGGTGTAAGCTTCGGCGAGGGTGAAGAGCGAGAGGAAGAGGAGGTTAGTCGGGTAAGACTTGCGCTTCCAGTAGGTCAAGCCCATGAAGATCATGGCACCAAAGAGCTGTGAATGCGTCAGTCGTTCATGTTCATGATCCCGCTACTCAGTGAGAACTTACCGAAGCCCAAACGACACCGGGGTGGCTCTGGATCCAGTCCTTGTAACCAGTGCTGAAAAATGTGAGGCTGCTCACTCCAGCAGTGGCGAGGAGCTGGACAGTGAGGATGGTGTAGACCTTGCGAACGAACTGGTTGCGGATATCAACAGTAGCCTCAGCCACAGAGCCGCCGAACTGGACATCATGTCAGCATTTCTTAATTCGCCTTGCATCAAACGTGTCTATTCCTACCTTGAAATCATCGGGGAGGTTGTCCTCGCTATCGCGGGGCGCACCAAAGAGGCCTTGGGTCTCATCGCGAGCAGCCGAACCCTCAGCGTAGGCGGGGGGCGCGTGGGTGTAGTCGTCGGGGTCGCTCTGAGGAGCTGGCTGGTACTTGGTGTTGGAAGCCATCGCGGCGATAAGTGCGCGTACTTAGCGAGAAGTCCTTCGATCGTTGGTGGGTTGAGTTGGTTGAAAGAAAGGTCGCACGAGGGAGGTGTCGTAGCAGGATTGGTTTTCGAGGTTAAAATGGTTAAAGTGATGGAAAGTTCGGGTCACTCATCGATGATGCGAGGCCCACAGGGAAGTGCTCGGGGAGGTCATGTGGGGGATAGAATGGGGGAAATTGTGGCGTTTTAGGCAGCTCAGGAACGGGTGGCGGTGCAAACTATGGCGTCAGCTCTCCACTTTAGCTACAGCTCCATGTTAGTGATATCAACCGACTTAATTTCGTACTCTGACCATTTCACGTTGAGATTTCATTGTGAATATAGAACTTGCATTGATTTCTGTTATTTGCTCCAAACATTCAATTCGATGAATATTGGCTATAGCAAGTTACATCTCGCACTTTGCTCAATATGCCCAGATCAACACTGTCCGCATTCATAGCCTTTCTGATATCACGCCTAGTCACTTGTAAAGGTTTTGCCCATTCCAGAAACTAGCCTCCGCTCAGGCGAGACTTAGCGGCCTCACTTGGAGGCTGGTGTTTTCTGCTGCGCAGGAGGATCAGGCGATCCCATGCTCAAGTTGAACGCAGGAGGGTTCGATGATGGCCTGGGAGCCGGAGATGGACTCGGGGGCGTCATCTGCGGATAAGTACCAAAAAGGCTGTGGAAGTGACTGCCCTGGGTCGAAGGTGGCATCAAAGTGTTATAGGGCCCAGTAAGAGTTGCCGTTGTAAACTGATCTCCGGTCGGCGTCGAAGTCGGGACCGGCATGAGTCCACCTCCGCCATTCAGTGCAGGCGAATGGCCCAGTCGTTGGGGATAAGAACCCTGTTGCTGTGCTTGCGGAATGGGCGACCACGACTGAAAGTTCGATCCTGGGATTGAACCTGGGTAAGCCAAGCCAGAGGGATGACTTTTCTGATCATACATCGTCGTTGCAATAGACTTGTCCATGGATCCAGTTTGACACTCAAAGCGGGCCGTCGTGTGGTTCTTGTTGGGTGTGAAACTACGCTGATAGTCTCTCTGCAATGCGTTGATTTGCTGAGCAATTGGAAAATGCTCATACAAAGCGTTTACTTGCCCGTTGAAGAGCCCGGAAGCTTGAGGTTGACCGGGGAGGCTTAGTGCAGGGCTTGCCATCCAAGGTTGATTGTCTTTATTGAGCGGGAGTTTCAGATAAGAGGGCACCCCCCCTGGGAGAGTGGGCTTCAATAGAGAAATATCGTAAACAGGCTTCTCTTCCGTCGTGGTCTGGATCTGCTGTGGTGGAACTTGACCAACTTCCGTGGGTTGTGTCTGGTCAGAGCTCTCCTGAGAAGATGAGATTGCAGAAGATGCTGATGACGGAGTGGACATCCCAGTAGCGAGAACGATTCGTCGTCGTTTCGGATCATCAACCAACGTTGAAGGTGGATAAGGAGAATCGGCACCGTTACTAATACTGATGGTTGTCTGTCCAGATGACAGAGCGGCTCTCTTGTTGGAGTTTCCAATCGAATGTTCGCCCGAGGACTCGGGTTGGTGAGGTCTATTTTCTAGCTCGCACAAGGGCTGCGGTGTTTCTGGAAGCCGAACTAGGCTCATTTCCTGGTCCACCGACTGAGAGTCCAGTAATTGTGTCTTTCGCGAGCTGATAGATTCGACACTTGCCTCCCTCTGAGGACTCAGTCTTTCGACAGTGTCCACAAACTCGCTGAACTCTGGCGGTGGTGTAGGTTCTGAGACCAGCTTTTGGAATGACGCTGGTATCGCGTTCTCCGAGATCCAATCCATGAGAACCTGAGCAATCTCATTGCTGTTCGTCTCGAGAAACATCAAGTGCCCGTTGCCCAGTATGTTCTTTTCCTCAAGCTTGACCAGATCGCATTTGACGCCAGCTTGTAGCATGAAAACCACCGTCGCCCAGTCGTACATGCCATGCGAGCTGGCATGCGCTGTGACAACCGCATTAGGCACTTTCTTGATGTTGATGAGCTTGCGAGGCTTTGGAGACTGTACGAAACACTCGCTCTTTCCATCAGGCGAAGTAAGTTGGGTTATGTCGAGCGGGTTCTTCTCAGGATGGTCATATCCTCCATGTGGATGTGCTGGAGGATCGTAGGTAAGAGGAATGTCCGTCAATCCGTAGATTCGGGTCCCTTCCTCATACTGAATGAAAGGTGTGTACTCGCGGTACGGATTTCGTTCTTTGGGGCATGCCGTGCCAAAAGGAGGTCCTGGTGGCTCGAGAACAATGGCACCAGCGACGAGGTCAGGTTCAACGTCGGTAGCTAACCAAGCCGCAGCTCCACCTGATCCTTCACCTACGAGGATAGACTTGCCGACATGGCGCAGGAGCGCTTGGAGGGCATTCTGAGCGAGAGACTGGCGTTCCACTTTGTTGAGATGAAGAGTCTCCAAGGAAGCGCAGTACTTGGCAAAAATGGGATCCCCACGCATTCCAGTCTATACAAAGTCAGCACTTTTGTGTATAGACACAGGTTTCCACGCTTACGCCAGGCCATTTATCGTGAAACTTAGCCTTTGCATATTGGAGGGGCACGCCGACTTCTCGAGGTACACCAGGCGCCGTCAAGCTTGATTCGACTCCCCTTGCCGGGATAGAACTGGAGCTGGCGCCTGCTTCGCGGTGGATGTAGTGGGAGGTTGTCAAAAAGTTGGAGCGACCAGAAGGGGGCAAATCAACGATAAAGACCTGGAAGCCTTTGTTGAGGAAGAACGAGGCCCATCCAGGCTGACCATCTGGCTTGGTTGTCTAGACCTACGGGGGGTTAGAATCAGTCGGTGTGATGAATATTGATAATACTGCTCACCTGACCAGTGTGAAAGTCTCCATGGATGAGGATGATAGGGTATGGATGGTGTCTCACTAGAGGTTGCAAACCCTCAACGTACATCTGGCCAACGATGTTCTTCGCAGTCGCAAGTGTTGAGCCCATGCTCCAGTCGACATTTACGAAGAATGTTGTTCGATAAGAAGCTGCTTCTTCATTCTGAACCGTCGGCTTTTGTGCTTCTTGTTGAAGATTGGGTAACTCGGCGCTTTGGAGATCTTCAGGCCGAGAATCGGATAGGGTTGGGCGGGTTGACGGGTCCGCAAAGGTCTTCTCACCCGATGGAGGAGAAGTTTGATTCATATTGAGTCGTTGGCTCAAGAGTCTTGTCCCATGAAAAGAAACGCCTAGAACCGGATTTTGAGCGCCCGGTGTCGCTGAGCTGCGCCTGGAAGAACGCCTCGAAACGATGATGATCTAGTGAAAAAGAAAGATTTGTTAGAAGGCTGGAAGGACTAGCCGATTATCAGGTGTCTGCGCGCCGTCACTTCTCGGCGAAGAGAGTCAATGGTGGTGGTTGAAGAAAGAAAAGAGAAGAGAGGTTGGCTGGCTTGCTTGAGCCTGAAAATAGAGGCAGACAGATGAGGCCCTGGCGAGCCTGAGCGACGGCGCCTTCAAAGAATGTCCTTGCAAAGCCTAATAATACGGCGCAAGCTCTTGTTCAAGATTATGTGAAATCCAAGTTTCCTCTCGGTGGTCGAGACGAAAGGTATGGTTTGAGATGAGTGCGAGGTGTGAATGAGTTGCTCGCGGGTGGAGGATGAAAGACCGACCCTCAGATTCTGACGATACATAATACCAGGTAATTCTGGTGCCTTCATTTGACGCTAAAAAGAGCTGAAGGATGACAATGCATTTCCATGCTCCCTTTGTATGTTATTGCTTGGTCGCTGCCAGTTGTCGACAGCCATTGAATACCTAGGCAATGATTGTTCCCTGCGAATGCTAATAGGCGATGCAGTGTCAATCATTTCAATCGTCCTTATATCCTTACAGAAATTGCGATTTCTCCTTTGTCTATTACCAATCTTTAGCTATATGTAATTGATGTGCAAAAGCTCGGAGTTCCATTGTTCAAAGATTCCAGCAATTGTGGGCACGCCACAGCTGGCCCTTTCGTTTCAGGCAAACCACCTAATCGTAAAAGAATAGATTCCCGGATGAGAAAAACATATCTCAGTGTGATCTTTTGTATCAACTATTTCCTTTATCATCAGCAAGCGTGGCCGTAGTCCTCCATAAACGTAAATAGATCATGATATTAGAGCAGCCAGCTCTAGCAACTCAACCAGATAGCACATCATATCCCACAACAGCCAACGCCCGTTTCCTTACATCATGAGTTGAAGTTGAATGTTCATGGTGACACAGGCTCAGGAGCATCATCCTTCATATCCGGCACCCAGCCCTTTGGCCTCTCACTCCCTCTCACCACAAGTCCATACCCCAACCTCTCAACCTTTTTGACACTCTGCCTCATCACAGCCATCTTACCTCTCCAATCCTTCGTCGGCACATCAGGTAGGATCTCAAACTCACACCCAAGCTCTTGAATATCACTCATGATATTTCGTCCTCCATCACCGGCCAATTCACCATTCTGAGCTGTCGTGACAGTTGCAAAGCGCATCATCTCACCAAATAGATCGAAGATACCGAACATGTAGTCATTTGGCGTGAGGGGTATATCGCTGGGCATAGCAGCTTGTGCTTGTGTGGGTGTGATGAGGGTTTGGTGGCGGAGGTAGTGTGCGAAAGAGAGAGCCTCGACGAATTCTTCCAGACAGCGGAGGGAAAAGGTGTAGCGATAGCGATTGACATTTTGGACATCTGGTGCGATTCCTTTGAGGAGTTTAGAGATTTCTTCGAGGCGTGTATCCATGTCTTGTTGGATGTGAGGAGGGAAGTCCTTGTTGAGATGCTTGACTCTGTGGTGTGTGAGCAGACTTTGACTGAGATTGCTACTTTATGAGCGAGCTTACCTCTGAAGGGTAAAGATGCTATAAACTGGTTAGTAAAACTTGCACTTATAAAATTTAAGTATTCAAAAACTCACATCTTCTTACTCTGAGCAGTAACATCTCGCGATGCCTTCACAATCCTCTCCCGTCGATCATGATGCTCATCAAGCTCATCACGGAACCCTTCAAACATATCATGGAACCTGCCCCTCGGCCCAGCCTGCTTCAGCGGGCCCGCATTCTTCACACGAGCATTGCCGTCGCGATCTCTCTTAACACCGCCCGACATTATGATTCGATTGTTAAAGAAATGCAGGCTATAAAATAAGATGGTGGTCGATGATGTTGGAGGTTGGTTCGAGGCGGGTCTTGATTTGTTAGTGCGTGTTTGCAGGGATGACGTGAAATTTGTTAGTGGAGAGGAGCAAGAGCTCTCCATTTTTGGAAGGCAGCTTGATTCGGGCTGCGTTACTCAACATCAGCAAACTGCCATTGAGTGGCATACAACAATAGATTCTTTGAGTGAATCGGAATAAGAGGAAAACCGAGATAACTTGAGACGTCATAATCTGTTATAAGCTATGGTCTTATAAGCTCATTAGCCTCTCTATCCTGTCTCATCTCAACACACACTCACCGCCAACTGTCATCTTCACCTCACTTCACAATGCCTTCAATAAGCCCCTTCCTACGCACAACGCCACTCTTCACCATATCTCTCTTCCTCCGCCTCGCTCTTCTCTTCTACGGCCTCTACCAAGATGCCCATTCAGCCCTGAAGTACACGGATATCGACTATCTTGTCTTTACCGACGCTTCCCGCTTTGTCGCTGAAGGCTCATCACCATATGCTCGCGACACATATCGTTACACGCCTCTGCTCGCCTGGCTACTCCTACCAACCGTCCGATTCTCCGCTTTTGGAAAGCTAGTCTTTGCTGCGGCTGATCTTTTGGCGGGATGGCTTATTCTGCGCGTGCTTAGACGGAGGGGTATGGATGAAGCCACCGCTGGAGGCTTTTCCGCGCTGTGGTTATGGAACCCTATGGTAGCTACTATCAGCACCCGTGGAAGCTCGGAAGGCCTCTTGGGTGTGTTGACGATAGGTTTATTATGGGCTGTTGAGAGACGAAGACTCAGTCTTGCTGCGATCATTCTCGGGCTATCGGTTCACTTCAAGATATACCCCTTCATCTATGCACCAGCTATTGTATGGTGGATGGACGATGCTCGTTTAGGGAAAGAGACAAAGCCTGCTCCTGCTCCTTCATCATACAAGGAAGCAGTCTCAAACTTCTTCACGCCGGATCGCCTCAAGTTTGGACTTCTCAGTCTTATAACGTTCATGATTCTCAATCTCATCATGTTCTCCATGTAAGTTCTTATACACAAATATCTAAGTCAGCACAACTGACCAAATCACAGTTACGAGACTCCTTTCCTTGTTCATACTTATTTTCACCATGTCACAAGGATCGATCACCGTCACAACTTCTCGCCTTACAATGTCCTGTTGTATCTCACCTCTGCCACTCCCGCTGATGCTGCGCCTTCATTCCGTATCGAGTCGTTCGCTTTCCTCCCTCAACTTCTTCTATCTTGTGTTCTTATTCCTCTCGCTATCGCCAAGCGCGATCTTGCAACATCCATGATGGCTCAGACCTTTGCCTTTGTTACGTTTAACAAAGTCTGTACATCCCAAGTCAGTCACCCTCATCCTTATTGCTCGTCCATCAACTAACATATTATCAGTACTTCCTTTGGTACATGATCTTCCTACCACTTTATCTGCCCAACTCATCTTTCCTCCGTAACCCTAAGCTGGGCATCTCAGCTCTGTTGCTCTGGGTAGTCTCCCAAGCTGCCTGGTTGCAACAAGGTTACCAGCTCGAGTTTCTCGGCATCAGTACCTTCTTCCCAGGCCTTTGGTTGGCCTCGCTCGGCTTCTTCTTGGTTAACTGCTGGATTCTGGGTGTCATCATCAGTGACGGTGCTGCTCGGTCAACACGATCGACCATTAAGTTCCACGTCGAATAAGAGCCACACTGAAGTCCCCCTTTCAAAAAATTGGAAATACAAAAGCAGGCGTGTAGTAAGCGTGAATATTTTATTGATGATGAACATAGCATAAATATTCAGACAATCTTATTCATCGATTATAATACCAAATCGCCAGTATCGTAGAGGGTATATGGAAGCTCGCATCCCCTCAGATAAATTACCTCGCCGTCTTCACTTCCATCTTCGTGACTTTTCAACAGATCCCAAGCAAATTCTTCTCAAAGCCAAGTAAATCCATGCCAGCAATTCCCGTGTATACATGCGCCCTCATAACTCCCAATCTCCTGGGTATGTGGTTTCAATTAACAGCTTCCTTTCCATAGTTCCAAACCTTGAACGCCGTCTCAAAACAAAAGAGTGATGTATCATATGTATAATCCAGCCATATCGATCTTTTGGCTGTCTTCTGCGGTTTAAGATTCACAGTGTTTCATATTGGCATACATTTCTCACTGAATCGTGATGCCTGTCGCAAGAGATCGATAATTCGACAACTTTAGGGATGCGATCTTCGTCCTCGGGGGGTCAGGCGTAATGACCATTCTTCCGTCCTTGTTGTACACGATGTTGCCAAAGGACTCACTCAACTCTGGAAAATGAACATCGGGGCGAACGCGACCCATCTCGGCCAAAATCCTTTCGCTCCAGACGCCAGAGCAAGCACCCTTGCGCATAATAAAAAATGGGTTGAGAGGGGGTAGTACGGAGTCTAATATTCATGTTAACTAGGGATTAAAGGTTGAGCTGCGGATAAACTTACCAAGATCAACAAACCGAATCCTCAGATAAACCACTTCCTTGAGCTTTTCAAGAGATCGAATCGCTGACAGTACCAACTTTTCAAAGGCATCGATAAATCCCATATCTTGAATGCCAGAGCCAGCCTCGTGGAAGCTCGTGTTGTATCGGCAGCAATTCTTGACTGTCAAGTCTAGAGTCTTGAGTCGGGAAGTTCGTGGGTCGGTTGATCGCATAGCCACATCAAAAAAGTGGTGACAAACACGGCCAGTGTAGGCGAAATGCTCTAATGAAGGTAACGCCTCCGCCATTCTTGCACAAATGTGCGTCTTCTGTACGACCTTCGAATAGAATGGTGGCATGACCCCCTCTCGACGATAGTCGCTCTCGAGGCAAAGACTCAAATTCGTGATGTGGCGTGGGAGTTTTGGAAGAAACTCGGCCATAGTAATATAGCTCTTTGACTTTGGTTTACTATAAGAGCCCTGCCACTCGTAAAGGCCTGGTAAAGCATTCAGAACTGTTGCAAAGTCCTGATCGTCTCGCATGAGATTCCACTGGCCCCTCGTGACTAGAGTCTGCACCGATTCAAGGATAGGCAGCGGCTTGTAGATGGCCGGGTCGATCCTCTGCTCGGGAAAGTGAAGAACTCTCGGTGCCTTGCGTCGCTCGCCTCCTTCCAAGGTCAAAACTCTGGCCTGTGGTAGAGTTTGTCCAACGAATTGAAACACTTGCTCAAGGGTACAGTTGTTACCAGGTAAAGTGTATGTCGCGTTAGTCAGTCCTTCCATAGTGACTGTAGGCAGCGTCAGAGTATTCGATAGAGCGACGGGTCCGTAGGTTGGTTGGAAAACAGGAAACCAGATCTCGATGTGCTTGACATATGATTGCAGGTGCTCGTGCAGAGCAAGGTGAACCATAGCATCTTCCAGGCAGTCCACAGTCGCTTTTAGTTTGATATGACGATAAAGCCGTTGCTGAACAAGAATCCGCCAAACATCGCTCACAAGCGCCAACTCGGTCAATTCCCTTCTCCTCGAATGTCTAAGCGCCGTTCCCCAACTTTTTGTAATACTCGATACGGCCATTGAACTTCGCGATGTAGCGGAAACTCGGTACCCGAACAAATGATCCAATATCGCTTCGTGAACCTCAATTGGCAGCTGGTTGAAATCGGTTATAGGGCGAGGGAGAACCACTGGCTCGTTATCGGGGAAAGCGGTAGAGTCAGTGGGAGTATCGTGGTCGGCGCCATGCGAAGAACCACTGGAGCAGCATGGCTTGGAGTGTCGGCGATCAGGGTGAGGAAATGGTGTGCTGCTCGGTCTCGTCGGAGGAACAAAATCGGATGTTTTGGCTTGATCGTGAGAAGGGCTGGACGAGCCGGGAGAGACAGGGTTGGAAGCGGTATTGAGAATGCCATTCAGCATGGACGTAGCCATGATGGAGGCAAATTCTGTATCGGAGTCGGCATCATCGTCTCGATCATCGCTCAGGTCGTTCCTTCGTGATGTATAACTATCTCGGATAGGTAAAAGGGCGGATGCAGGAATAGAGGTAGGACAAGGCGCACGCGGGCCGGTGTGGCCATCATCGGCCGCATCCATAGGTTCACTGATAGAGTCTCCCATATCGATATCGATATCGGTATCTGATTGCAATTCAAGGTTCTCCATAAGATGGCTCCAAGGCCGGCACGCGGTGCATCTCAATAAGGTCGAGCCGGGGTTGGATGATGGCTCTCGAATACAGGATGCAGCGGCGGTTGTTGGATGAAGAGGAGCAGGTTATCCTTGACAGTGAACGAGGAGAAAGAAGTTTATCGGCACCACAAGGTTCAAGGGCTGGAGATTGAACCCCCAAAGTTTCGGTTGGTTCACGGTGGACACAGACGGACGGGAGAGGGAACAGGAGGGATGAGAAACAGGTGATTGACCTCCAGGGAGGGGAATGGTAATAAAAAAAAAAAGGAAATATGATGGGTTGCGATACGACAACCGATGGGATGGGAACCCCGAAACCAGGGTCAGTCAATCAATGAACTCCACGGTTACGGATGAAGGCGACGAGAGGTGATTTTGTAAGATTGAGACTTTGAGTAGGTAGGCAAAGAGAGTTAGGGGAGAAGCAGAAGAAAAGAAGATAGGTAGAGAAGAATTGGGGAATGGAAATGGAGATGGAAAATAGAAGGACGGGAGAGAGGAAAGGATGATGAGCCAGCCGTTGAGTGGGAGTGAAATTGGAAATGAGAGGCGTTGATTAGCAGATGCTGCACGCACTGCACAGCACCGCACTCTACTGAGGTGCACCCTCCCCTCACTTCTGCCTTGCTAACCGATTATTTATTGTTGTTATCATTCTACAACTGAGTAACCCTCTGCTGGGAACTAAACTAAACTAACTTGATTGTCATATTTGTCTTCATTGTCACTCCCTTCAATACCCGTCTCACTACTCAACCAACCAAGCCTAGATTGCGTGGGTGGTTGCAGCGTATATCCAGCCCAGCCCAGGTCTTGTTTTGTCTTGAGTGGCAGTGAAAGTCTTACATAGCCTTGTAAATGTGCATGCTCGCTCGTATTGCAACACGCCCATTCTGATCTGGCCTTTCAAGATAAGGCATCGATACTACCGTACCCGTCATGGCCACGTCGTCACAACACATGACTCTGCTTCTTTGGTAAGTACAGTTGCATCTTGTTTATGCTGGCACAGGAATTGTCCACGACGGATCGTTATCAAAGAACCTAGTGGAGGTCGCGTGCTTAGCGGCAACGGATCCCCACAGCAAGAAGACAAGACAAGACATGTGGGAGTCCAGCTTTATGGAATTGTGGTTGTAACTGCAGGTAACCTACCAGCAACCGTTCTCTAGCAACTATCCGAAACAAAGGAAACCAGATTCATCTTTGTTATCTTGTTCATCTGGTAACAAACGCTGAAATTATGGCTGCTACAGGTTCCAGCGCCAGTAGATAAACCTTAGCACCTCCACTCTCCTCTCTGCACAACCACACATGGATCACATCCAATCCACCCAAGCCGACGGACGCCTCACTTTGCCCAGATGTGTCACCTAAGTCCTCAGCCCAGCCTCTGCCTTGGGTAACTAACGCGCCGACTGAATCAGCAACCTATCACGCCATTGGGCACAGGGCATCCCCGAACTCTATCAAGCATCCACCCAATGGTCAGATTCTACCATCTAGAATAGCCTCTCGCTCGAGCCAGCGCATCATGATTTCCACAACAACCCCCTGCAAGACCCTGAAAGTTGTTCATCTGCTAGCGCCGCGCCAGGCGCGATCTCCTCGGCTTTGCTTATTTCCCGTTTCTCCTCCTGTTGATGCGTTATCGATTCGTTAGTCTTGGACGCTATCAACGATTCATTCCAAAGTCGGTTTTTTATTCGAGGGAGCAGCCAAATGGAGTAAGTCTTTTGTCTGGAACACAATTGATTGTCTTGAGATGCCATTCAATCCAATGCTATGATGTGCCCTGTCCCTAGGGAGCAAAAAAGCATGAGATCTTCAATTGGACAGCTGAAAAAGCCAATCAAAAGTCTCCTATGCTTATCATAAAACTGTCTAAGTGTTTTTGTCACTTACGATCATGGTGTCATATTCAAGGTAGCATCAAATTTTGATTATCATCGCGTACCCTATATCACCGTGCGTCGTCATTCAACTTTGAGTAATCGTAACCCATGAGGCAGTGCATTGTCAAGAAGGTAACACTTTTCTTATATGCTGACTTGTCGAAGAATATTGGCATATTCATGATCTTCCTCAACTACCGATGATCTTCTTCTGCATGACGATCCCTGTCATAAATAGCAATAGTTTGCAGATGCTCCATAAGCAAATGCCGAATCCATATCTCCACGTCTTGACTCACACATCGACACTTCTTCAAGTGCATCAACATACGATATCTTGGTTTTATGAGCAGAGCTTCAATGGTGTCTTTATTGAATCAAAACAAGTATCATTTCCCTGAAGAAGAATCAATGAATGTTCATCGACCTCCAATTCTTGTCAACGAATAAAGGTCAACATACAACAAACAACAATCTGACATTCCCAATAGCCTTTTGGCTTATACGTCAAAAACAGGTATTCTATAATCTTATCGTGTTTGTAAATTAGATAATTCTTGGATGTTATTGCCTTCCTTGACCCATCAAAAGACCGTCTAGTTTCCAAGGTATACGGCAACTAAAAGACCTCCAGAATATGGAAGCGTAGTGAGCTTGAAGCCATTGGTAGTGTCCTCTAGATAAGCCATCAGGTCCTTATAACCTGCCTTGGCAACCTCAGTGTTATCAGCAACTACTGTAGCACCTGGCTTCATGCGCGGCCTGACGAGCTTGAGTGTAGGCAGAGCCAGAGGGGTCCAAACTGCAGTTTGGTTAGTAACACTGGACAAGAGAAGAATGCTTTCCTCGCCATGGGGGCTGACTCACTGTCTAGGAGTAGGAAATCCACTTGTTCTGGCAGATCGGTCTTGAGCGTCTCTCGCAAATCTCCCTCACGTAATTCAATAAATTTCTCAATATCATCACCAGCTTGACTCCAGTACTTGCGAGCCTTGAAAGCCTTGGTAGGTTCATTTTCAGTTGCAATGACCTTGCCTGGCTGCGACCCAGCATTTTGAGAAACTGCCAGAGCTAGGTAGATAGTGCTAACACCAAATGATGTCCCAGCTTCGACAACGAAACGTGCCTTCATAGATCGCAGCAGGAGGTATACATAGGCACACTTGTCAGGATCCAATGCGACAAACTTGTCAAGTGCGGTAGAGGCAGGTCCATCTGTGCTGACGTAGGGCGGCTCATCGAGGGCTTGCTTGTGAAGGTCTCGAAGAAGCTGGATAGTTTGAGAGCTTGCGGCTATAGAAGCCAGAGTTGTTTCGATAGAAGCGTAGTCAGGCATATTGGAGTTCAATAGGCAACTGCACAGATGGTTAAGTGATACAGAACCACTAGTTAATTCAAGAGAAAGTCTGGCCTTTATGTAATTCGAGAGTCGGACTCAGGCTGGGGCCGAGGTTTATATCCGTTGATGCGTGAGGAATCAATGTGGAACCTGCAGTCATGGGAAGGCGTTGACGAAGTTAACCCCGCTCCTCGGCGTCAGAAGTTATCGACCGGTGCCGAACTCGGGATATACTGCTCCTTGAGTCACTCGAAGAGAGCAAAAGTTGAGTCATCGGAGCAACGTAGATATATGGAAAAGCAGTGTGTTCTCAAATTTATCAAGGTTCATTGGACTTCTCAGATAGCGTATACCACCAGGGAGTATCAGCATCGATAGTTATCTAGCCATCGATCAATACTTACAGTCTCCTATAACTGTAATCCCTCAATTAGATATAGAAATAGAGAAGAAGGACAAGATTTCTCGAATAACTCTCAGATTTTAGTCCAGTTCACGGTTCGCACCATTTTTACTTCTACTTATATACCTGGAGTCGCCTGTTGCACAAACATGGATCACACTGACAGCCAGAGCATTCGAAAACTTTTCAATAACAGAGAGTCTGATAATTAGAACTATATATACAACTTCCGTTACAGTCGCAGACTATAGGTTCACCTTTAGTCCTTGTTAGTGAAAGATTGATCTTGATCCCTGACTTGACGTTGTGAATTTCGGGACACTCTGGACCTTTGAAAGATAACAAAAGGAATAAAACCTTTCAAATCGCAATATTTACTTTACAAAACGCATCTAAAACCGGTTTAGGACTTCAGTCACATAGGGTTCGGGGTTTACGTTGTCATTTATATCCTAGCTTCACTAGTTTTGAAATAGATGGAAATATATTTATAGACATCTTCCTGAAATTACGTGATCCAAAGACATCATGAGCACATCATAAGCTTTGCTTAAGAGTACTCACTAATCATAGGCTATATCTCTTCCATATGGCAGAAGACTGTACCTAGCTGACTCAGAGAAAGAAATAAAACACCATAACTGCAGTCCAGACAGAGATTATTGAAAACAATACGAATTGAAGATTCAAATGGTTCTGAGAAAGGGCTTGTAATTGAAAAAATGAAATTATCTGGTTCCTCTCAGGGCCAGATTTAGGCCAAGCCAGCATTGCATCGATCCTTTGCAACATGGTGTGAAACTTTGTAGTACAACAAGTCCTGGGGGCAGCTGGTATGAGCCATTGAATCGAAAAGAGAGACAATAGCCTATAATTTACTGCGAGTTCATGAAATAAAAAGCCAATTTGTTCCTTCAGCGTTCAACAAATATGGTCAATTTGGTTTAGCTGCCCTGGAGATGGAGCACAAACGCTGCGGTGACAGCTCGCCTTTTATGATTACACATTGAACCTCCAAACCTCGATCGTTTGGGGGCAGTTGGAACGGAAGACGTGTCAGATTTCATTTGTAATAACAACCTGAGGGCAAGGCTGAATAGTGCAGAGGTGCCTCAAATGGAGCCATGTGATGATATCGGTGGATAAATCAGTAACGAAAGTGCTATCGGGATACTGGGCGTAATGGATGACATGCATGTTTTCGACTATTACATTAGATGCTGTGTCGAGCAGACAAGAGAGAGACACTGAGGAATGATTAGAAGCATGTTAATCCCGAAAAGGGGTTCGGGTAAGAAATGGCTAAAACTTCGTGTGTCAAACAACGAAACGTTGCTTCTGAAACTACTTATGGTTAAAGAAATGTTTGGAAGGATAAATTCAAGTCTCAAGGGAGTATTTTTTATGGTTATTTGGGAGATTGAGTTAATGAAGACTTTAAGTTGTAGGGATGAGAAGGATCCGCATCAAGCGCAGACTGCAACAAGAACAGCAGCAGTTGGGATAATGATACATGTACGCATGCAGCTTTGACAACGAAAAGAAAGACATAAGTTCTTAACTATCAGTCTTGGTAGTTCTAGGGTCAATTCTGACCTTCTATATGTGTATCTAGCAGCCTTGACTTGCCTTGGACTTCATTTTCGAAGTCTCGAAATACGGTTTCGGAAATTTGATATAACCTTGGCAACATAAAACAGTCACATGGGGTTTCAACTCAGTGGGTGATGACTTATGAAACCATAGAAGGCGGTGTATACTCATGCGTGTAGAATATGGAAGGTAGCCGTGACATTCAATCTCCGGCTTGGGCCGTGTGATATGGAGGCCAGAATGACATATCATCGTCCAGATGACAAGAAGCCTTGATTGATAATGGACATCAATCAGACTTGAGCAAGAGCCTCTCCACGGTACACAAATCAGTTGCCGCTTTTCCGTAGTGTCGTACATATGGCAGTTTTCCCGGCAGAATGACTGGGCCGCCAGTGAACAATGGATGATATAGGGCAAGGATGTCTGTGTGTCAAGTCCGTCTCGCCACGATCTAGACTCCATAGATGCGATTCTGCGGGTTTCAGAACTTCGTCAGCTCAAAACATGTCAAGGCCCGACTCAAAAAGACGATCGTCGGTTTTGGTGTGTCTCTGTGTTTTGTGTTAATAAAAAGTGAGGTAAACATATTTTGTCAGTTGTTGTTTTGATAGACCCAGAAAATAGCCTTTGATAGGTCGCTTGGCAGGGAGGGTTCAGTAAGCGCGCTCCTTCCCTTCAGTGATCCCTTGTGTTATTAGTCATGAGCAGCTGCTTCAAGGGCATCGCATTCTGAATCATAGTCAATTCATCCATGCATGTGAATAAAAGAAGCTATTCCCAAACGCAGACGCAGACAATGATTCCACAGCTAAAGACTTCTACCGAGGTCATCGCTTGTTGGTTGTGTTTCAACCGTGCCAATCCCGGTCGTATCCAGTGTCGTCCCAATCAAAATATCGATCCATGATCGATGACACAAATCAGGTGAATCGCCCTTAGCTGCTTGTCTTGTTCGAGAAGGTCGACTTCTTTGATCGGTCCCAAATCTGCTAAACCATGCCCTTAGGTCATTTCGCTGACCTTCACCTGCTGAGCCACACCAGAATTCGATACAGCACCTTGCTCCCTGGTTGTCTCCGAGACACGCTTAGCCCGTGACCTGCATGGCGCCCTACCTATTATATCCCCGACAGCCCGGGGTTAGCACCCCCCACGATACTCATCGTCCGTTGTACTCGGCCGTTAGAGCCCCTTCAGGATTGCCAAAACAGCCCCTTGGTTCTGTATATTTGCGACACTGAGCCATGGATAAGATCTTGCAAAGGGGGCGCACGCTAGAACAAAATGCAAACTTTTTCTCCGACATACGACAGACAAAACAAAACAAAGACTATTTGCACACGTATCACCTCGAATTCAGAGACATCTGGCGTTTGTTAACACGGCGCTTCGAATCAGCGTCGTTTGGATATAAGACGCCGCGTGGGAAGAGACTTCAGCAGCCAACCAAATCGACTTGTGCCTGGCAGGTCCAGACGCCAAAGCCTAGTGGCACTTGTTTCAAACTTGGGATTGACAGGGGTAGTCCAGGGGTCGTCAAGCGCCGATTCTTGGAAGGGCTTGGCTGGTTTCCAGTGAGTGGATCTTCCGTGATGATGTGACATTGAGATTCAGTACTGGCCGCCAATCATACTGCATTATCACGCTTTCTCGACTTAGCAACAAAACCGCTGTGATATTGCCAATGTGCATTGTTTATGGGTATTATCGTTAGTTGGGTCTTGGCCTGGCGGGCAAGATTCATCTCAAGATACTTGACAGCCTGGGGATGTGATGCAAAGACTAGCTGATGGCAGGAGTCGGCTATGATCATCCTCGCATATGCCCTGGATGGAGGCTTTTGGATTTTCGGATTTTCCCTGCCCCTTGCTTGAAGGCAACAAGATTACAGATAGTGATGAGCTAATCGTGCCGCTACCAGCACTCGAAGCACTGACCGTTAGCTAAGTACAACTACTGTACTACATGTGACGCGCCAGCTCTTTGATTTACCGTGGTGAGAGGCGGCATTTGCTGCATATCATTGGCGGTACTTCAATGGGCCTGCGGGTTGTGGGCAACGACAACGGTTCTTCTCGCCCAACGCATTGCGGAAAAGAACAAGGGACGTGCTGCTATTGCGGTCATGATTGTTGCTTTCGAGAAACAGTAATCAAACGCCAATTTTGGATATACCAATCAGTGATGGTAATCGAGCAGATGCCCTTACAGTTACATACGCTATTATAACTGCTTCAAAGCAATTATGGTTTCGTCGTCGATTCGATGCCACCACAAGTGTGCCAGATTTTCGCATCCCCCAGCTCCTGTGGCAGAGCTGACTATAGTGATTCAAGTTAACGAGCTGGCTGAGCAAGCATGAGCATTGAAAACCCCACCGAAAACAGAAAATCTTGATGGTTCCAAGGGGTTCTTGGAGTGAGGCCCAGGCGTTTGACTTGGCGACTGTAGTCGTACAGGCTTCATCCCACTAAACTAAACAACACCTCCAGGCCCTTGTCCCTGACGCCGAAGCCCTGGATCCACGGCCCCTAGCGCCTCATCCCCGCCATGGATCTTGCGGCTCCCTCCTGAAGCAACGAAGCTTGATCTGAACCTGTTGAAGCCACCAGTGAGAGGCCGTTATTCTATTGTTCGGTTTTCTCCTATTAAACCCACATCTCCCACCCATTGTCAGCTGCTGGACGGCCATTCTCATTCTATTGTTCGGGTTATTCATTGTTGGAAGACGTCTCTTTGACTCTTTCATTATTTTCTCATTCTTCCTTTCCCTTGATTTCCTTTCCCTCTTTGTGCTGCTAGACAGTCCCATTTAGCTTGTTAATCACCATCCTTTCATTGTTATACTGAACAGTGTATCGCGAACTTGCGAACTAACACGACCGATCCTTATTCAACAACAAGAGAGGAGCGTTGATCGCACAACTCCTCTAATAGCACTCTTTTACTGCTTTGTTTCCAACTCAAAGCTTACCTTCATTACTTTTCGACATTCAATTTATACGATCGAGTTGCCAACTGAGTGAAACGGCTGGAACCACTTCACTACTCTCACTTCAACAACATATTTTTACAATTAAACCACAAAACGAACGATAAATCTATCAAAATGGCTCTCCTAAGAACTTTCCTCGCTTCCCTGCTCGTTGCAGCTCCCTTTGCTGCCGCTGCTCCTATCGATGTTGCCGAGACCCTGGGTGATATGGCCGACAGTATCGGAGGTGGCCTTGGAGGTGAAGCCGATAAGAAGATGGGAATTAGCGCTTTTCTTCGACCTATGCTCAAGAACCCCGATGCTCTCAACGTCATCCCTAACCGATATATCGTTGTGTACAATGATACCTTTGACGACGATACAATCAGTGCCAAGGAGGCTTCCTTTGCGGCCGCTATCAAGAAGCGAAACCTCAACAAGCGAAGCTCAATCGGCAAGGCCATGTCTACTTCAATTCAGTCATTCCGCATGAACAAGTGGCGTGCCATGTCTCTCGATGCCGATGATCTTATGGTTCAGGATCTTTGGAACTCTGATGAGGTTGCATATATCGAGGCCGATACCAAAGTTCAACTTAATGCTGCTATTGCTCAAGTTAATGCCCCCCCTGGACTTGACCGTCTCTCTCACGCCAAGGTCAACCAGGACACCTATGTTTTCGACGACTCCGCTGGTGAGGGCATCACTGCCTACGTTGTCGACACTGGTATCAAGATTGATCACAGCGAGTTCGAGGGCCGTGCCACTTTCGGAGCCAACTTCATTAACAATGTTGTAAGTAATCAGAGAGTCGTGAACAGTTACAGAAGAGACGAAGCTAACTGAATATAGGATGACGATGAGAACGGTCACGGAAGTCACGTCGCTGGTACTATCGGTGGTGCTACCTTCGGTGTTGCTAAGAAGGTTGACCTTGTTGCCGTCAAGGTTCTCGACGCCTCAGGCGGTGGCAGCAACTCTGGTGTCCTCCAGGGCATGCAGTTCGTTATTGACGACGCCAAGAAGAAGAACCGTGTTGGCAAGGCTGTTATGAACATGTCTCTTGGCGGTGACTTCTCTCAAGCCATCAACCGTGCCATCGAGGCCCTCTTCAAGGCTGGCATTGTCCCCGTTGTCGCCGCTGGTAACGAGAACGTAAGTGACCAACTATCTGATATGATTCGTAACTTAGCTAACAATGTTTCCAGCGCGAGACTGCCCTCACTTCTCCTGGCTCTGCCCCCAACGCCATCACTGTTGGTGCTATTGATGCCACCACAGATGAGCGTGCTGATTTCTCCAACTTTGGCCCCGAGGTCGACGTCTACGCTCCCGGTGTTAACGTCCTCAGTGTCGGTATCAAGTCAAACACTGACACCGCTACCCTCAGCGGTACCAGCATGGGTATGTCTTCCTTTTCCACCGCTATCAAGTCAAGTCTCAAACTAACATGCTTCGTAGCCTCTCCTCACGTTGCCGGTCTCGCCGCCTACCTCATGGGCTTCCAGCAGCTCGACGGTCCTGCCCAGGTCGCCAGCCTCATCAAGAGTCTCGCTGGACAGACCGGTGCCAAGGTCCGAAACAACGTCCAGGGCACTACCGACAGCATCGCCAACAACGGCAACCAATAGAAGCAGCAACGCAGCAGCAGCATCAATTAGGGAATCAGAGACAAGGGAAAGCGGAATTTTTCTTATACCACAAAAATATTTCAGGATAATTGGCCACTTGTACAAACCTGAACCATTTATGCCTCGTGTATGTATGGGATATAATTTAGGGTGTCATTTATGAATCATCTCAAGTCATGTGTACCAGGAGTTTTCTTTGAGGCTTGGAAATAGCCTAACCGAGCGTGTTTGTTACTATAGATGGTACGTAATGACATTATAGACCTTCTAGACTACCATTTGCCTCACGTCAATGCATAAAGTGACGGGTTTGACGTGCGCCACTTAGTGAATCAAGAGCCAGCTGACATGATATGAAAAGCGACTCATGTTGCTCGGGTTATAAGAAGACTTAAGAGCACGAACTTAGGCCGAATCCAACTAGTACAAGAACCTGCTAGGCTGATAATAATTAACCATAATCTAGGACATTTTATTATATCATCATTCTAAACTTATCTAAGCGTTTTCTCAAGATCAAAGGCCAAAGTTTCTGCCATCATCTTGTTAGCCTGCATCTTGATGCCTTAAAACAGAGCAGGACGATGTAACCAAACCCCCTGAATGATGGGCACGTCCATCGACAAAAGATCGGCTAAGGCATGTCCCGCCGGTAGTGTAACAGCATATCGCACCAACAGCATCAAAGGTGAAACCTTGCCCAGACGCATTTCATGCCTTACTAGTAATAGCACGTCCCAAAGGAGAAAGTATCGCCAAACACGGGTCGAATCAGAGATGAACTAATTTTTACAAGGATGAAATGTTTGCCCGCCGCCACCAGTCTGTCATCCTCAAGATGTCGAGATAGACTTGTGGCGTGACGTCGCCGTGAGGCGGAAACCAAGAGCAAGAGATATTTAATTTTCGCACTTCTTCGGCACAATCATAGTCATGGAAGGACTCGATTGCAATTTGACATCCGTGCAGGAGTTGAGTTGGGTATCAAGACAAGAGACATCACCAGTGGGTGAACGGGGGACGAAACTTGAACTGCAACGCGCGCTGTATCGCGCCGCTGCAGGTAGTATTAACAAGAGTATAAAGCCCAGCAATATGCCGCCGAGCAGGTCCAGCCATATGAGGACCATTGCTAAATGTGGTATGTACGTTAGGATATCGTTAAAAAGGTTCGTGCCGTGAACAAAGCAAAACAAATCGGCGCGCATAATATTACAATTCTTCGTGACCCGTGATCATGGGGGTAGCCTTCTCGCCACCTGGTAGGAAGACGCTGGCTTCCCTAAAGATAGTATCGAATCTGGCTCCGAAGATCCAAGCGGTACCGATCTGTGGATCGGGTGTTAGTTGAGTACGGCCTTGAGAGTATGGGGCTGGCGTACCATAAGACCAGAAATGCAGACCAGAGCTGCAATGACAACACCAAAGAGAACAAGAGTCTCGCCTCCGTCCATAGTTGGCTCCTTGTTTTGGACCTGGGCCTGAGTCACAGCGAGCTTCTTGGGGTCCTGCTTGGGGAAGAGAGTCTCGATGAATTGCTCAATCTGGAAATCATTAGCGAACGGATATCAGAGATGTTGAAGAGAAAGGCATACCTTTGCACATTGAGCACTGATGGCAAGGAAGTTGGGGTCACGAGGGTCGTTCTTCTTGGCGATTTGTCGGGCATATCGCTTGAAGACCTCACATACTGTGTAGAGGTTTTGTGTGCACTCGAACATGATCTTGCAGGCATCACCCTTTGTGATCTTGACGTTCCTCTTGAGAACCTCAGGGTTGCGGAAGACAAGCTCCAATGTCGCAATGGCCATGCCTTGAGGAATAGCAACAAAGTTGAAAACACTCTGGTCCTTGATGCCCGCCATGTAGAACAGACACTCCTCACTGTGCTTCAGCGCATCGAGAACCATCGCTGAGACACACTCTAGGGCCTTTGTTTGCTGGCTGGGGTCGAACATATCTTCCCACTTCTCGACGTGCTGGCTCCAGATCTCCTTGGGATACCATCTTCGGCCATCTTGCCAATCTTCATGGATATCTCGAATGATGTTGGTCTTCTGGAGGAATTGGGCCATTGACTCGGTAAGAGAAGGACGCTCAGCAAGCTTGGGGTTAGCCAGCTCTGACTCAACAAACAGACGCGTGAGGCCTTCGCCAACGAGACCAGCGACGTAATGGCAGTACAGCTCGTACTCCTCAATAGTCTGCACACCGTTCTTGATCATCTCCTCGTTTTGGGCATAGTCAGCCATGCCATTGCCCATCTTGCGAGTCATTTCCTTGATGATCTGGTAGTAGGGGGCCTTGATCTTCTTGAGCTCTGCAACGACCACATCGAAGTGCTCCAGCAGCTCCTTATCCTTCTCCTGACTCTCATGGAATTGCCAACCATCTTCTTCCATGGTGATGTGGAAGTTTCTAAGAAGGGGAACCTTCTTATCCAGGGGGATGGTCATGTCATCCTCGATGGTGTCTAGGCCACGGAGGCAGAGGTAGAAGAGAGTGATGGGGACGAGGAGTTCGTGGTTAAGCTCTTGAATGACAGCCGCAAAACTGCGACTTGTCATGTCGAGGTAACGAAAGCATTCTTTTAGCTCTGGGGACTCTGTGCTGGGATCGCGCTGGTGGACGGGATCATGCCAGACCTTCCTGGAGCATTGTTAGACATGTTCGTTTGGTACGAGGGCCGAGAGGATATAAACTTACCATTGAATGATCGATCGAAGCTGGTAAGGGTGGAAGAGGTAGTAGAGGTAACCCATCTTGGCGGTGGTAGCGTGAGGGGGTAGAGAAGGCAGAAGTGAAGCGCGTGAGAGCTTGAACTGAACAGTGCACGTCTTGATACAGACGTACAGAGTCAGGGAAACGGGAGGAAGCAAATGTTATATATCAATTAAGTTGCGACCAGGTCCCGGAAACGTCTTGGGTGTATATCTTCACCACGAGATGCTTGGAGAGGAAAGACGAGAGGACAGATGGGAGAAGCAAAATAAGACTGGTTGACCTCCGCTCCGGATAAACCCACAAATTATGCACAGAGCTCAATTTCTCGTCCGGTAGGGTGGGTGCTGCCGACCCTTATAGAGCGATCGTGCCGATAGGGGCATAAGCGCCGCGCTACATGCATCCACTGTCGTATTCGGATTCGATGACTGGATTGGTTCCTGAATGTGATTAGACTCTTGTCACACTGCAAGTCATTAATTAATTTCAAGCCTCCCATCATTGATCTGCGCTTATGCAACAACTGGGTAGCATCCGGAGGTTGGTTACAGTTGATCGGATCTCGCAGCCTGTCAATCAGCCGGAACTCCGGTTACAACACCGCCCCCGAATAGCAATTCAAATGCCGGTCCGGACGCCGTAATGGTGTGTGTTCAGGTCGAATGATGAGGCGAAACATTCAAGCGAGCTGGCCTTACCCCAGGTTCAGCCCAGACAATGTCCTAGATAGTGAAACATAACTTCTAGGGTACATCTCGACCTGTGATTATTTTTCTCAATCTGTGGATGTTAAGTTATCCAGCATTACGCAAGTTTCTGGCCTCATTATCGCGCAGGGTCTCTGGATTCGACGACTCTTGCAAGCTATTTCCAGATCATAGAATTGCTGGTCTTGACTCTTGTCCCTAGTTACCAAGTCTAATGTGTTCTAGATCCCAGATCACCAGCGGCTCGGTCAACCCATGGACCCTTATGCATGTAGACGATCCGGGCCTCCTGACCGCCCAGCCGGATTTATCCAACGCCGCTAGGAGTGATAGCAGTCTTGGCCCAGTATGTGACAATCACAGTAGTGGAAAATCCTTAGCCATGACGATTCATCTTCTGCAATTATCCTAATTTGATATATCAGGTCTCTTTACACCGTGAGGCGCCGTTAGCTGAACCTTACGTTACCAGGTTTGTAACGACATGCGGCGCTCACTGGTCTGAGCTACTTAGGTGATAAGGATGGCACAAGACATGTCCAAGAGTCTCTAAACTAAATTGATATTGTTACAAGCCGAACACAAGTCGTGGGAACCCCTCTTGTCGTCCGAATACCCTGGAAACCTATATCGATCATTGATGGGGATACAGTCCGCACAACACGGAAATTGTGTCCTGCCATGAAATCTTAAACTAAAGGCTATCGGATCTGTATCGTTTCGAAAGGTTTGAGGTTCGTTCTTGAAAGTGATAAATCTTGGAAGTTCTAGATCTGGATCGTGCTCATGCTCTATATTCTGAGAACAATATCCACGCAAGTGCATGGTGTTAGAGGCTTTTGGAGCTTCCAATAACTCACAGGAAACATGAGCGAGGAACCGGACATAGTGACCTTGAAGCCCATGTCAATCATAAAACCAGCCTGGGCGAAGTTGGTAGGTAAGGTATGGTGTTTCAGTGCAATAAGAGCATGTTCACTTCTATGTCGAGCTTTCCTATGCCCGAGTCAAACTGGGCATTCTCATTCTCATTCTCCCCGACTTCCCACTCTCACAAACCATCATTCTTCTGCTTTCCATTGGACCTCGACATAACATCTCTCGGAGCTTTATCATATTTGCATTACCAGCAACAGTATGTGGACCCTGCTAAACAAACCCAAGCTGCCACAGGTAACTGGACAAGCCAGTTCGCGACCTGATGAGCTCAGTTTCGTAATCTTGGGAACCTCAAGTGTTGAAGCAGCTGAAATCGCCAGCCTGTTGGAAGCGGAGCTCAGACAGGCACATCATCGATACAAGCATTGCACCGTTGCATCTCCAGCAACATGTTTAGCGGCATTGAAAGCGAACTCAGCAACTCACGTTTTCGTCATATTCGACGATGTCGTGGGTGATGTTGAGGACACAGTCTCAGACGAGTTATGCGACGAAAAGACTCTAGGAATTGCCGCCAAGTCAGCTATCATAAAGTTCTGCGTCAATCGGGGGATCCATTGCACCTTCTCCAGTCACGGAAACTTCTATCGACACGACGGGAGAAACTGTTTCTGTGACAGTGGTTTCAAAGAAGAGGCCGAGCTAAACATCGAACTGCTCCCAAACTCTCTTAGTACATATGTTTTTCATCAAGTTAGTACAGTGGCACCTCTGTCCTTGCTCAAACTCGTACAATGGCCAGTATCTAGCACGCAAGCACGAAAAAGACGCCTTCGTTCTACGCCTTCGTTCACCTGTTTGGGATCATAATACTCAAAGCTTCCTTCAGAACTATGAGCGCACGCTTGTACGGACAAATAACAAGCATAATAGTTGGTCGGTTTTTGCACGATCTTCGACCTGCTGCGGTATTTCTAGCAATTCATAAAGTGACAGGCAAATTCAACTTCACTAACCCAGGCACTGCTACAAATTACAGCGTGCTGGCTCTGTTACGGGACGAACTCAACCTCAAAATGAGCCTCACGATATTGCAGGACTTGGACCTGAAGGATGCCTAGGCGCCCTACAGAAGCGATTGCAAACTGGATATGACCAAGCTGCAGGATGCTCTGAAAGTTCGGGGGTATCCAGAAATCCCTGGCATTGAAGAGGCACTTCGGAACCGTTGCAAGAGAATCAAGAGCTGTGGTAAGCGTTCATGAATGAATAGAAGGGGAAGGGGAAGGACGCTAGAAACCGGTTTGTAATAATAATTAGAGAACTCGATTATAGAGTTTTAAGCGTTTGGTAGCTATTACAGTACTTTACTCTCTTAAGCAGTCTGTCTGTGTTTTATCACAGCCTCCAGACAACTGTGTTCCATGGATGTCTATCCCAGCATAGCCCCACCATTACGTAGGCTCTCTGATCAACCTACCTCCACTCTCTCTACATTATGAGACCCCTCTCTCTGAGCTAGAAAAGGCTGGCGCTGGGCTGTAGGTACTATACTGTACGTTGGGCTGGGCACGAAGCCTGAAAGGAAGGTTTCTTACCCCCTCGCGCACTGGCAGGGCAGGGCAGGGCAGGGACGGGAGCTTGCGTAAATACAGAGGCGCTGTAGAATACGTTACATTAATCATTGTCTGCCAGGAATTTTCCGCCAAGGTAATCTAGCCAAGCTTGGGGTGGGCTGGCAGGCACCTTAGTTCATTTAGGCAATCCGACGCCATCATCAACATTTCCAATTTCTTGCTTGCAACCATTTTTTTCTCCTCCCATACTCTCTCTTAGTAGTCGATATCTACTATCCTACCTTAACGTCAACCATTCATATTCTCTACCTGTCACCTGTACCCTAGATCGTGTACCTGGAACCTGGAAACACCAATCATAAAGTACCCATAACCATCTTCCATCATGGTCGTCGATACCGCCTATTACGACACTCTGGGTGTCCAGCCCACGGCTACCGAGCTGGAGATCAAGAAGGCTTATCGCAAGATGGCTATTGTCCACCACCCAGGTTCGCTCTTGTGCCTCACTTCTACCGCTTCGTAGCATATCGGAGAACTAAACATCTGTCACATCGCAGATAAGAATCCTAATGACCCTACCGCCCACGAAAAGTTCCAGGCCATCGGTGAGGCCTATCAAGTTCTATCCGATTCCGATCTACGCGCAGCCTACGATAAGTTTGGAAAGGACTCTGCGAGACCGCAGGAGGGTTTCGCAGATCCAGCTGAATTCTTCAGCTCCATCTTTGGAGGCGAAGCCTTCGTGGACTGGATCGGTGAGATTAGCCTTATGAAGGACCTCACGGCAACCATGGACATCACGATGCAGGAGGAGGAAGAAGCTGCCGCTGCCGAAGCCGCTGCCGCCGCGCAAGCCGAGGAGGATTTCCCTGGAACTGAAGATGCTAAGAAGGAGAGCCTCAAGGAGCAAGAGCAGAAGGCAGAGGAGAAGGCCGCTGCCGCTGCAGAGCACCAAGCAGGCCCCCCACCGCCGACTTATGCTGCCGCTTCTGTCAACGACGACAAGGAGACCAAGCCCGCTTCACCTGCCGCGCCCGCCGCTGGCCTCTCCGCCGATACCCCTCAGCGAACCGATGCCACATCACCTGCTCCCTCGTCGAGCTCACGTAGCCGAACCCAGATCCCTCTTCGACCCGCACTGATGGACAAGTCTCACGAGGACCTTCTTGATGCAGAGGCGAACAAGGGTGAATTAACAGAGGAGGAGCTCAAGCATAAGGAGAAGAAGAAGGGTGGCCTGACCAAGGAGCAGCGAGAGCAGCTGGCAGCATACGAGAAGGAGCGCGCCAAGATTCGCCAGGAGCGTGTCGACACCCTCGCACGGAAGCTCCTCGACAGACTTAGCGTGTGGACAGAGACAGACAAGGGTCCTGACGTGACCAAGGCATTCCAGGAGAAGATGCGTCTCGAGGTTGAGAACCTGAAGATGGAGTCTTTTGGAATTGATATCCTGCACGCTATCGGTCAAACCTATGTCTCCAAGGCCTCGAGCTTACTCCGCAGCCAGAAGTTCTTTGGTATTGGCGGTTTCTTCAGCAGACTTCGTGACAAGGGCACACTCGTCAAGGAGACATGGAACACTATCAGCAGCGCTATTGATGCTCAACAGACCATGGAGGATATGGCTAAGATGGAGGAGAAAGGTGGTGAGGACTGGACTGACGAGAAGCGTGCTGAATACGAGAGACGTGTGACTGGCAAGATTCTCACCGCTGCATGGAGGGGCAGCAAGTTTGAGATCCAGAGCGTTCTGCGCGAGGTCTGCGACAGCATTCTGAATGACAAGAAGGTCCACCTCAACAAGCGACTTGAGCGCGCACAGGCTCTGGTTCTGATTGGTGATGTCTTTATCCGGGTATGTTTCAAGTCCAATTTTGTCAGAGTCACGCTAACTTTATCTAGGCTGAGCGATCTCCTGAAGAGGAGGGCGACTATCTCGTTTTCGAGCAGCTTGTCGCTGAGGCCGCCATGAAGAAGGACAAGGAGGAAGACCACAAGAAGAAGAAGGACCGCAAGTCCTTCCACAGCAAGGACAAGGAACCCAAAGACAAGGAGCACGCTACGACACCCTGAGCAGGAACGAAATTTCCTGGGGAGTTGGCAGATGGTAGAGAAAAGACCACACAGCGAGGTTGAAGAAGACCTGCTTGTTTGAGGTCCCTGAAAATGATGGCGGATATCAACTTGATGGACTTGGTTTGGTGGTTTGCATGATGAACTGGTGAATGTTATAGATCGAGGATGACTGGCATTGATTTAGATATAATTTTCATGACACTATTCCCCCCTTATGAAATTTGACGGCCGTTTGTCTGGTATCTCCAAATATGTTGCTTATCCGAGTGTGTATGCACATAGATCAAAGAACAGAGGCGAGATGATCAAGATTGGAGTTTCATCTCCTGATATCCTATATCCATTTCCTATTTCTGGCAACTATCTGATTTTCCCTATCGCATCCGATCTTGGAACTTGAGGTAACCGTATTGCGGGAAGCTTGAGAAGCAATTCCCGGGTTAGGTTCTCTTTTCTGCAATTTCCTCCAATGATTCCATCTTATTGACTCGCCAGGTTGGCGTGGAAACTTCCTCCGGGGTATCTGTTATACATAGTATGTATCCAAAAGCAAACGAAAAAAAAAAAAGCACAAATCTTGGCGACAAATGAAAACCAAAAAGGCCCAAATCTCCGAAGGGCGTATGTATATGTAACGATTGTCCAGGATGAATATTTGTGGTGGTGCTCCTTTTGGGAGAGAGAAGATCGTTTGAGAGGTGGAATCGATGGTGCATCGTAGCCGCTGGGAAGCAAAACGCTGTTAAAAGAAACAAAAGGGACATGAAGATGATCGCTTGCTTGCCCAACGCCTTGTATGCATGCATGTTATTTCCATTGACTTCGTAGATCTGATGATGATATTTTGTTGTGATGCCCTGAGGCTTGCCTGGTGTGTAGAGACGAAAAGAAGGAGAACAAAATTTGGTATGGTGAGTTGTATGTGGTACGACGTCCTGGTCGCCTTTGAGATGTGTCGAGTATTGAGAAAATGCGTCATTTTGCGATGAGCGAGACTAGTTGCTGTCTGGTTGCAATTCGATGCCACTATCACGATCCTGAGAGCCCTTCTCCCAAGGCAGGGGAGCCTCAAGTGCTGCACTTCCAGGATCAGTTTCGAGATCGTCAACGCTAGTCAACGCATCATCTTCGTCTTCGTCTTCGTCCCCGATCGCAGGAGCAAGTATATGGCCGCCAAATTCAACGTCGGTGACACGGACCTTGTACTCCAGTGCCTTTTGGCCCTCCTTGATAAGAACCTCTGTCCAGTTCAGGCATCGTTTGATACTTTGGTTAATCTTCTGACTATCGACCAGCAACTCCCGGTGCTTGGTCAAATCGAGCTGCAGACGATCTTCATCTCGCTTCCGTCGGGACATGGCCTTTTCGATCGCTTTCTCGTCAGTAGGATCAAGAGGGTCGGAAGCCGAGACTGAGTCAGTCATTGACAAATCTGATTCGTCAAGTGAGTCGTGTTCCTCGTCTGAGGAAGCTGCCGAGTTGTCCTCTTCGCTCAGATCTGAAAGACTAATTGGTGCATCTGTGAGTGCTGCAGAGGTCACTCGGCTAGAAGCTGCTGAAGCAACAGCAGAGAGACGGCCTGATCTTGAAAGTCGTCGATACCTGCGTATCTCAGCCTGCTGTTTCCGTAGTTGCCTTTCCAGTGTCCGATTAATAGCTTCAAGGGAGGCGTTGGTGATTTCCAGATCCTGCACCTTTCGTTCTCTTCGGGCATTGGCGACTAGTTCGTTCACAGGCTCATGGCTGGACTTGGTAGGACTCTGCAAGTCGGGCTGAGATCCGTCTTCTTTCTTCGCTTCTCTTTCTTCCTCTTCCTCCTCATCGTCGAGATCTTCGGCAACTTGAAGAATCGAAGCCATTGTCAAAGCTGGCTGAGCTGAGCCAGGGCTTGCAGGGGGTGAGCCATATTCAAAAGGTCGTCGAGCCGGTGACATGGGCAACCTAGGTGAGTGAGAGTGATCAAAATTGGGAACACTACCAGCTCTTGCATGGCCTCTCTGCTTTTTCGGCGCTGCATCGATGCTAACTCGTCTCTTGGAAGAGGTGATAGACGCTGGGGGGGCTAGTGGAGGTGGAGAAGCTATCTGAGGCGGTGACGCTATTTGGGGTCTGTTCCCAAGACCAGGCGCGCCAGTATTTTTAAGTATAGAAGGTGTAGGTTGAGCAATCTTGATAGGAGAATGTGGCCTTGGCGGTAGTGCGTGATTTGATTGTTCGTTTGTTGAACTGCTGGTGCTTGGACGTTTAGACTGGAGCCTTGTTGTGGATGAATTCGCTGAAGAGGGCTTAAGCTCGAGATCCGCGCCATTGGCATAAAAGAACTTTGAGGATGAAGGCTCGGGTGCGGTGCTGAGTGTCGGTGTAAATGGTGCAGAAACGGGAGGGCTGGTTGGCTTTTTATATTCAGCATTGGCTTTACTGGCATGGAAGTAGGATGCAGGCTTTTGTGAGCCTAGCGAGGGACGACTGGTTGCTTGTGTTGAAGTCGGAGCGTCGCTGGCACGAAAGAATTTGGCGTCCGGGTCTGCTGGAGACTCAGCTCGTGACAGTGATTGCCTTCCTGAGGAGCCTAAAGAGGCCCGAGGATCCCATCCATCTCGCTCTAAATTTGGTGTCCCATTGGGCGTCGAACTATTGCTATTGTTGCGGCCTTGTCGACTGCCAGAACGGGGAGTCACAGCATCGTCGCGGCCAGACGTGCCTGAGCTCAATCCTTGAGTTGATCGTCGAACTAAAGGAGGTGCGCCTAATAAAGGGCCTTTTGCTGTCGAGGCAATCTTGGGCGTCAGGGGCGTTCGTCCGACTGTTTTTGCTGCTGCAGCACTGAGCTGCGGGGGCCTGTGTCTTGTGTCGCTTGGGGCCATTTTTAAGGTAGGAGGAGCGGAACTCGACGAGGTAGAACGGGTCGAGGGAATTGTAGCGGTTACTGAAAGAACATGTTGTTGATTTGTGTTGTGGAAGCCAAGGGATGGCGTCGTGCGAGCGCTGGAGGATATAGTGGTGCCAGCGGAGGAGAATCGGGGACGAGCCTGAGCCTTAGTCTGGACTTGTGCCTGACCTGGAGTAGGGGTCTTGGATCGAGTCTTTGGGAGAGGTTTAGAAGAGGTAACTAATTTATTGTTTCCGGCGGAGGAAGCGGAGCGGCGAATATGAGGCTGAGAGACTGAAAGGCTTGGAGATGTAGGACGAGAAGATGACGAGTTGATGGTGTTTAGAGTGCGCATTCTGTCCACGAGTTGGGTTGTCGGAAGTGCCTCTACTTGCTGGCTCAGGCTGAGATGAGTGGTAACGGGACGGAGCGGTGAGCTCTCATTGGCTGTGTGTAGAAGCGGTAACGGGAAAGGTTAAAGGGACTTCAGTGGGCAACGCCCTGTAATGCCAATGTTACAGCGCGGTGATCACTAAAACGCTAGTGGTTTCTGGCTAATTTGGGGTCCAATATCAATGTCGAGGTGACCACATCCAAAAGTAAACAAACAGTTTCGATGATGAGAGACAAGAGGCGGTGGGGTCGAGTGTTGGATAGATGAAGTGGCTTGACGATTCGAAGCGGGGGATGTCTTTCTTTTCTGCTTGGTAGCTGCAGGTGACAAGGAGTATCCAATTGAGTTGTTCACGGCGGGTATAGACGAGATAACAATCACCGTCTGTTGGGTCACGACATAAGGTAGGGAGCAAAAAAAAGACAAGGTCGTCACGGATTCACGGATGATATCAGGAGTAATGAGTTAAGGAGAAAAGAGAGGCGAAAGGGAGAGCCGAGAAAAGAGAAGCACAAACACGAAAATAGACGAGAAATGCTAGGGATAATACAATACCTACCAGAAACTAGCGGGATGAACGGATCGTGGTAATTCATTCAAGGCAAGGCGAAGGACATGGCCAGGATGGGACCATCCCTGCTCCAGTGAGTGTCTTGACCTCTCTTCGAAATTGATCATGCTCATGTTTATAAATGGACATGTCATGTTATAGAGTCGAGTTTCATATGTCTTGTAATTGAGCAATCTGACTGGTTGCTGCCATCACGAAACATACCTAGGTACCTACCTGGCGGTCTAGATCAGATATGATAAGATGCACAATTATTTATTTACAAGTGTGCGTACCTCTGACATCGACAATACCTCCGTGAAACTCGCCTATAATTACAAGTATTGCAATATTTAGAACAGTCAATTCCCCTTTCTCCATTCAATGGATCATCAAATAAAACATCCACCGCTTATTACATTTTATGCCAACTGAAATCACAGATCATGGAATGCCCCTTGCTCCTCACTCTTCATCTCGACCTGTTCCAAATCCCCTGTCCCGTGCAAAATACACGGGTGCCAACTTTTCTCCGTCGATCACTGAGCTTTCTACTGCTTGTGGCATGACCAATGTTGACGCCACAAGAAGCGACAGCCGAAGGCTTTGAGCCGTATTATTACCGTACTGTCTGGTTTCATGCCTCAATAAATTGGCATGAAATGCAGTAAACCCAAGTATTTTCATCAGTGGGCGGTATAACAAAAATAGAACTCGGTGCACAAGCGAGATGTAGTGATGAGCTCAGAGTACAGTTATGACGGAAACCGTCTAGAATTATTCTAGTCCGCCCCAGTTCAATTATGAATCGGTAATTATTCACATGAAAATCGAACCTCGAACCAACAGCCAATCAGCGTTTGCCCGTTGCAAGGCTCCAGGCCCCCAAGGTTAGCTCCGGCCTTTCAGCTCCAGCTCTGATTTTCTTGGTCCGCCGCTGACAAAAGCAAGTCCATCAACTATTATCGGAGGCGCATCACAAGGTGGCTCGATGATTCTGCAATAACCATTCCACAACCCACTCCCTCCCTCCTTCTCGCCAATCGACCCCAACTCTCCAAGTCACCTGGGGGAAAACTCTCTTTTTGTTTCTCGTGTTTCACACTTCTGTCTCTATTGTGTCGTCATGGGCGTTATTGGTATCGGCCTCATCGTCGCCTCTGTTGTCTGGGTACTTGTTCGTCCGCCGTCATGGATGCCAGAGCCGCTACAGATCCTCCTTCGCTGGAGAGGGACTGGTTTTCCTGCTGTTGCACCTAAGGACGAGGCTGAGACTGAAGCTGATGATGCTGATGCTGATCCTGGACCCCGTATCATGGTGTCGGATCACGAGGTGGAACCGGGCCCTCGACTCCGGGCTCGTCCGGCCGATAACCGTACCACACGAGACGACGACCAGCGTCGAGACCAAGGGAAGGCTACCGCTACTGCGATCGATACCCCGACCTCATCGAAGGGCCCCAGGAATGATGCTACGTCTATGCCGCCGCCTCCTTTACCAAAGGTTACACCTCCATCCCTAACCATCGCCGAGCCCGAAGAACAAACAACTCCCAAGGCTGTCGCATCCGATCCTCCCTCTATTTCCGTCCCCAGCTTCAGTCTTGACAATGCTCCTATTGCGCCGAGCTCACACCCCGCCCCGCGTCGGAACCCCACAGCCCCGGGCCCCGCTCTCTCCCCGAACCCAACCTCCATGATGCCTCCGCCTCCAGCTCCAGGCCGTCTCCCTCCTCCCAAGTTCTCAGCTGCCCCACCTGCTGGTCGCCTGCCATCACTCTCTCAGTTCCCCGCCGTGAACTCACCGCAACGCGCTCGTGGCCCTCTACCAAACCGAGGTCCTCCGTCATCAGGTGGCCTGGCACCTCCACCTACACACTCATCGAAACCCAGCAAGCCCAATCGCAAGGTCCTCCTCACGCCGGGCCACTCTCCTCTCGACTGGGCTCGCATATCTGGACCGAATGCCGACCTCCGTGGTGTCGAACCTCAAACACCATACCTGCGTGTGACTCCATCTATGTTGAAGCGCATGACAGGTCGCAAGGGCAAAGATGCTTGGATGGCCCTGAACGGCAAGGTGTACAATGTTACACCATATGCCGACTTTCATCCTGGCGGTGTTCCTGAGTTGATGCGTGGTGCTGGACGTGACGGCACCAAGTTATTTGGCGAGATTCATCCTTGGGTCAACTACGAGACTATGTTATCAGCCTGTCTTGTAGGCCTTCTTGTCGAAGAATCCGAAGGCACTGAGAGTCAGATGGATCAGATGGACTGAACCATGACATTGAAGATACGGCATAGACCATAGACGCAAGACTGCTGGCGCATCCATGTTACATGGAAACGATATTTTACATGTATTAGACTATACTGTTCGCGCCATAGATGTTCTTCTCGAACACTTAGATGTACATTAGCTAGAAAGATACCCCACAGAGACCGGTCTTTACCGTCTCTTTCCAAATCGAAACTTGAGCTCGTCATCACTGTCACTATCCGCGACTTCCACAGCTCTTCTCGTTGGCCGACTCCGCTTCGGAGGCTGCTGTCCTGCAGCAGGCTCTGCTGCAGCTCGTTTACTCCCCTGACTAGTGTTCCGTGATGCTTGACTCTTTGATTTAGCTTGCGACTGTGTTTGTGACGCTGCAACTTGTGCCCCTCGTGTTCGAGTCGCTGGTACCGAAGATCGCTGCGATACTGAATTACTCTCTTCGTCGCTGCTGTCTGATATGACATTGGCATATGCCCTTTTCTGGGTACGAGATGAAGCCGATGGTGCTGTGGGCGCAGATGGTTGTGACTGTGTTACAGGAGTCTGGCTTGAGTTCCTCTTTCTCCGCTCCGTTTCCTCGTCCTCGAGCCAGTAATCGTCTCCAACGCCGAACTCCTTCGTCTTGACCTGCGTTAGAGGCACAATAGTCTTTGCAGGCTGTCGTCCTGTCGCCTCTCCGCGTTGTCTGAACCTCTTGAAGTTCTTCATCCCATTCCACTTGGGATCCCATCGCCCGTCACGGATGTCTTGTTCTCGAGTACGGGGATGGCTCGGTTGTCGTACTTCCATCTCTTCTACGATGTTGAGTCTGCGAATCTCAGCGAGATCAACATCATCTGGTAAATTTGCCAAATCTTCCTTTTCAGCTCGTGCACGAGCTTCTTCCTGCTCTCTGTTTTGTGCAGCTATTGCCAAGATATCGAACTCTTTCTTGATCTTCTTTGGCTCTGGGACCTTCTCGGCTGTCTCAGTTTCCATCTGCTCAGCCGGCTCCTCCAAATCTTCACCTCGCTCTATCCGTTGACGCTTGAACCTCTCTGCTGCAGTTGTCATACCATCCATGAGGTCATCTTGCGGTAATGGTGAAGCTCGCCTTTTCCTTTGTGAAGACTTGGCATTGCTGGATGGTTGCGTTTCTGGGGGTGCATCTGGCTCCTGAGACACGAATAAACCTTCTTCCTCTGCTGGCGCTTGCGTCGCATCCTGAGTCGCAGCACGGGTTGCGGGTTGATTTACAGGCGCTGATGCTGTAGGGATATCGTCCATATCAACGTCATCATCGCCGCCGAAGCCTGCAAAGCGTCTCTTGACAGTTCTCCTCGTCCGCCCACGTCGAGGAGCAAGTTGTGACTCTTCGGGTGCCTGTGACGTTTCAGCCTGTGTGGCAGGGTGCTGTGTCCCATTGACCACCTCAGGATCTTGAAGAGTCTGGTGTTGGTGTTGCGTATTATGTGCAGACTCAACCTCGAGAGGGCGTCGAAGAATACTCGCATCTTTGATGAGGATTGCTTCCAAAAACTCACTCTGCTCAATAGGACGATGGTCCAGTCTCAGAGATACAGACCTGAAAAACTCCACATACCAATCAACTGAACCTCCTTTCGAAGGAACGAAGCGTACTACTACTACACCTTTGCCCTCGCTGCCGTCGTTAAAGGCACCAAGGCCCTTTTCACCAGCAACACTTTTGACATATTGAACAAAGTCATCGACCGAAGTTTCTTCGGGAACCACATTTCGCAGCAATGCTTTGCCGCCACCACTCGTAATAGGCGCCAGCAAGTTGTTGTACTGTACGGGGTCGTAGAAGATGAAGCTGTAGCCTTCGAATATGTCACGTCTCCCTGCGTCTGGGGCATACGTCGAGTCAGGGTGTTGTACAGGCTCACCACCCCTCGGAGGTAAATGCTGCATAGCATCAGGCCAGTTTTGATCAAAGTCCTGCTCCAGGGGGCTCAACTCAGTGGTCTCCGCCCCATCCGCCAGATTTCCGGCTTCAGACACTGCATCGAGGAAAGTCTCCGTTACGATATGTTTCCCGTTGATCAAGGCTTGAAGACCCTTGGCTGTATTTCGCTTCTTTGAGACAACATGTGTGGTGGAATCAACATATTCTGTCACTAGCTTGATATCAAGCTGCTCGAATCTTTTTCGGAGTGTAGTTAGGGGGTCTATCTGTAATTCCTTGCTGGTGAAAGAAAATGCGAAGACAACTGGTTCCCAGGAGATGCTGTGGACTGTAAGCGGCGTAACACCAGATCGGATGAAACGGCTCACCTGAATCTGTTTGGGCATTTTCCCATCGTAAACTCGGCCTTGTCCCCTTCAATCACCTTTCTCTTGCCTTTGATCTTTTCTCCATTGACGACTGTCCCTATTTTTGTCGCCAAATCTTCGATCGTGAGCGTAGAGCGACTCCTTGGATTGTGAGCCTGGCCTTTCTCAACGGGGCTTACGGTGATGGTCAAGTGCTTGCGCGAGATCGTATTGTGTGATATCGCAAGTTGACCGGCTATACATTTTATGAGCATCAATTCTTCACTTAGGAGCTTATCTCTTACGTTCTGCGGCTGTTCGACCAAATAGATAGGTTTTCCCTGGTCGCAACCATAACTTTCGGCCTAGAGGATGATTAGCTACATCGACGGATGAAAGTCAAAAACTCACCATCAAAGGCCTCTGAATTCTCCAGGATCCACATCTCCACGCGCCAAGTACGACGCAAGGTCGATCACGATTCCATGAAAGTATTGGCGAAGCTGCAAGTTATGACGTGAGGTCGAGATCGCGAGTCTTGCGGGGCTAGAGACGCGTTTCGGTCAGCCTTTCGCGACGCCAGATCACGTGCTTACCCTGATCTCACTTACACGGCGTCAATTACGGGATGAACAAAGAGTTGGTGAAGTGATGGGCTTCCCTGTTCCAAGTAAATAATTGAACATTAAATTAGTCAGACTTGGATGTGCATACACTAGATAGTTTATTTTAGCACCTCGGCTTAGGGTCAAGTAACTACATCGTGATATGTTTGGCTTGTCACTGAATCACGTCTTTTCATAGACATGATGTAACACAAGCGTTTAAGTCATCTCCTGACTACCTATGGGAGGCAAGAAAACTTATCTAGGACCTTTATCCTAAGTGATGAGAGACTTAGGTAAATTTAGTATATCTTAGTAGACCTTTAAACCAGTTGATTTTGGCACCCTGGCTTTCTTGCTCCCCTGAGAACATTGCAATTTTGCGCTTTTCATTTCATCGCTGGTATTTTGCGCTGCTCCCATGAGATCTCTCCCTTGCCCGTCGGATCAAAAGCTTGTGATAAAGTGGCCCCAGCGCCGTAATGGACAAGAGTCCAAGCAGTGTCTTCGGACAAATTGGACTGAAATTGGAGATTCGTGTCGTCTAGTTGTTCCCTGGTAATGGACCTGGCTGTCATTGCCATAAGAAAGCTGCTGAATTGGTCTGGCACTTGAAGGCAGTTGATCTCGTCCCAAGTGACCGACAGATCATACCCAGCGTCTCGTAGGGGAGCCGTAACACCTGAGAGGTAACCAAAGTTTCTCCAGGGACGGCAGAAGTGGAGATCGATTCCCATGTTAGTTGAAACGTTGAGCACGGCGTCCACCCAGTCTTCAACGTGATCCTGCGCGTTTGTGTAGTCTCCATGTGCCTGATCTGTCCTGTCCCATCCGTTGAGAACTGGTGCTCCGGGAAAAGAAGCGCTCTCGAACACAAGAATCTTCGCATCGACTCGGGGCATAAAGCCACTGTAGTTCTCAAAGTGCGTGTGGGAAAGCTCTGCAAATACCCTCAAAGTGCTGCTCGAGTTGAATTGAAATGTTTCCATTTCACATGCCTTGGCCGAATGGTCCTTGTCGAGAGTTGTTCTAGCTTGGTTCAATCCTGAAGGAAAACCACAGCTCTAGTTTCCGGAACAATGTGAATGAATCGATGATTCGAGCCCATCTCCATACCAACGCATTCTTGACGGATCGCGCAACAATACACAATCTCTCTCAACTCCAGAGGCAGTCGAAGATGAGTCTTAACCGTTTGGTTCACATTTGATTCTGCTTTGCCTGACTCCGTATTGTGTTGCTCAGTGGTTGAGGGGTTGTCATCTGATGCAAATGGCTGGAGTTCGCCAGTGCCTGGCTCAGCATTGCCAGGTTGCCCAGTGGTTGCGAGGTGAGTAGACAGTGAGTTGACTTCAGGGACATCATTGGCATAAGCATTGAATCTCCAGCTTGACGCCCACGCTGATTTTATTATTTTCTTCATGGAAGTCTTCACCTGGGAAGTGAACTGTCTTTGGTCTCTTATGAGGTGGCTACACAAATACATCAGCGCCTGCTTCAACAGTGAAGATTGTCAAGACTTACGCTTCGGTTGGGATCTGTGCCGTCGGGCTCGTCCATGGTGATTCTCTGGTTGAGATTTATGCCTTGTCGGGTCTGTATGGTCGGCAGCTCTGATCTTATCCCTCAAGTAGTCAGTCGACGTTCGCAAATACATAAAAGTACGCAAATATGTACTCTAAGTCACAGCGAAAACAACTCACGCTTTGGTTTCTTTAAATGAAGCGTCGGTGGGTGATCGAGTGTGCTGCTACAAGCCGTTTCGGGAGACAGTTTATGTGAAGGGAGAAAGGGGATTCACAGTGAGTGCCTTGTGGAGTAGTTATTTCATGCCTCAAATAATACTTCTGGGCGAGAAGTTGAGGTGATTCTGACTTATACCCTGAATTCCACCCTAAATCATACACGAGGCATAAATGCCAACCAAGCAGCAGGTAAGCCTCTCCTCGAGTCATCAAAAATGTAATATATGTCATTCTCGCGAGATAGGTTGCTTATTGTCAAATTGTTCAATCACCTGCCTCCCGTCTCAACCATCCTCGCCTCCGAACTTTTAAGCACATCAAATCATATCTTGGTCAGGTTTGGCTGCTTTGCTTCCGGTGCTTATTCGAGTCAATATTAAAAATTCCCCATAGTTGTTATACTTACTAATGCGTGGTGACAGTGCAAGTGTTGCATCGGACATGGTGGCAGCTCGTGCAAATGGTATGCACTGCCCAATCCCAGCTTTGAAGGCAGCGACACTAATAATGACGTGTTACACTCAACCAGGGCAACTTCAAATAGAATGAGATTGTGGCTTACACATTTCCAGTAATAAGTGACTGGTTCGGGAGCCATATTGGGCTACCTAAGCATACTATCAGTATGAGTGAGTCCATTATAACAAAAACTGTTGTTGCCCACATGTGATTGGAATATATCGTAAATACCGGTAGATGACTTACACCAATTTACAAGCTCCAAAACGGGCTCGAAGCTCGAGCTTTATTCCGATGCGGCTCTGCGGTCGACTGACACTCAAGGCTCGGCGTTACCGCGAAGGATGCAACCCAACGCCGGCTAAGGTACCAATAAGAAGTTCCATTTGCCCAGAAACGTGATACGTTCACTTTTAGCCGGGTTATTCATTATTAGTGCCATTTTGACGTCAGTGAATGGGGTTTGGGGGTGAAACTTGGACAGTGTTGATCATGATAGGTGAAAGCAAGGGAACCTGGAATGCCAATAGAATGAAGCCTCGTGCTACACTGGCTGAGAACATATGACTCAAGTAGAGTTTCGGGATTAATAGTTATTTGTGATTAAGGTATATCCGGGCTCCAGTGTGTCTTTAATGAGTTACATCGGGCGACTCTGGCAAGAGCTGTTAAAGACACGAGACTCGAGACGGGAGCTTTGAGAGCATGCAGCAGTGGCACATGGCAGGGCAAGTTCACCATAGGCTCCTTGCAGTGACGCCAGATCCTCCATTATTAGTACTAGGGAGTGAGCTTGTGAGACTGAGGCTCAAATTAACTCTGCCCACGCACCCTGCTATCGTATGTTACCGATCGACAGTTATAGTATAATTGGATCTCTGGACCTATGATGACCAGTCAACTTAGGCGGTTCTATGTCAATGCGTTTCTCTTGTTGTTATTATGTACTTGTTGGCTTGAGCCGTTTGTGGTAACAAATGCTAACATTTAACAGTATTTGATCGTAAAATCAATGCCAACGTTATCCTAAACGCCGTATATACTTTTGCAAATAGGGACAAAAAACAAATGACTTTACTTCAGCCCAATCACAAGTCTCTAAACCTTGCTGGGTTTATAGCATTCAGCTATCATCTTCTTCCGACCAACTCTCCTGCTCTTGATACTGATAGCACCGCTCGCTTGAGATCTAACCCGATGGATTTCCTCGGGATCGTGATTCGTAGCACGAGCGATCTCGGCGAGTTCGCCAATCTTCCATCCGCGAAGGAAGAAGAGGCACAGTCCTCCAGCGATATACATTACGCCGACAAAGATTTGGGCGCCAATGTATTTTCCGGTGCCGGCGACAATTTGTAGAGCAATGGGTGTGCTGAACGTACAAGGTAAGCTGATAATGACCCAAGTCAAGTTGAGGGCAGCAGGAACATCAGCAAGACCGACGACCTCGGCTGTGACTGGAGCTACGGTTGCCCAGTAGGTTCCAGCCATGCCACCTCCCACAATAGTGAAGAAGAGAAGAAGCCCATAAGACTTGGCGTTGATCCAGATAGCAAAGACGAGAATTGCAGCTAGCCAAGTTGTCCCGCAGGCCATGTTAATTCGTCCTGTGCGATCACTGAAGTACCCGATGAAAGGACGGCCGGCAGCCTGACCCAGATTGAAGATGGCGCTAACCATAGCTGCTTGAGAGGCATCGAGGCCAATGAAGTTGGCATAGTTTGCCAGACTGAAGATGAGAACCACATATCCTAGCATGCTGAACCATCCATAACCGAGAAGCAGAATAAACTCAGCACATTTGAGGAGTCCAAGGTCGAAGGGTGCTTGACGAGAGCCGATGATCTTGTTACGATCCTTGACAAGGATAGTGCAGATTATATTGACGACGAAGACAATAATGCCGAGTATCCTGTACGCCCATGCGAGACTGATGTTCCGGATGATAGCTCCAGCTGCCAAGGAGTATAACAAACCACCGAGGCCCGAACCCGCTGCACTGATACCGTTTGCAAGAGATCGACGAGTTGTGAACCATTGAGGAACGATACCGACGCTGGGAACAAAGAGGAAGCCCATTCCTAGACCAAAGAGAACACCCTGTGTGAGGAAGAGTTGGTATATCTTGGTCGCAAAGCTAGCGCATATCAAGCTAGCGGTTTCCAAGACGATACCGGCGAAGAGAGTAGGTTTTGTGCCGAATTCGCGGACGCAGAGTGTAGCAAGGGGTGAGACAAGCATGGCACAAGCAATACTCAACGATCCGACAAAGGCGTAGTGAAGGGATGTTGCTCCGGGGAATGTGTTGTTGGCGATGAAGTGGGCGAGAAAGACTCCGTAACTCGAGTTGAGACCCCATGTATGGGCGTTGATGGTCGCTACGCAGGCACAACAAACCCATCCATAGCTGCCATTAGGTGGTGGAGGCGGTACATCTGTTCTGGGGGGAAACATATCACCATTATCCTTCTCCTGGCTCGAAATTTGCCGTTGGACTTCCTGGGCTGGAGTGATGACATCGCCTTCTTCGGTAGTAGTGGTGTCCAGACTCCTCCGAGCCGAACCCGTCTCCGGCTCCGGGGACCGGGACGTCTTTTTCTCGTCGTTGTCTCCCATGTCTTAGGTCAATTGGGAGGAAAGACGAAATGAAAAAGATGGAGGAGTCATGATTTTAGTAAAAAAATGGACAAAAAGGGATCAAGTGCTTCTTATGACCCCGGCTTAGAGGGACCTCTAGGGCATCTCCGACAAGCGGAAATGGCGTCCGGGGATAAGACGGGTCCAGTTTTGATGCATCTTGGCTTCGGATGGCGGCGCATAACCAGGCGGGGCGTAAGCCATCTCTGTATGTCTCGCTAGGGTCTCTTGTGCTGACAATATTGTAATTGGACGATGTATCTTACAAGCATGGCCAAGATCCAATGAGCCTATAGACTCACTGTACCAAGACGAGTCTCCCTTTGGCTTCCGTATACGGGCAATAGACGGTCATAACAATATAACCCAGGGGAATAAGATTTCGGCCTGGGGATACAGCGGGGGGTGGGGGACTTGTGAAGTATCCAATCCAATCTCAGCCGATCTGATCGGCTATTACCCGCATTCCCTCCCACTTCCGCCCGCCTTTTCCTTTCTTGTTGCTCTCCTTGTGACCTTTCGTGGGGTAATGCATATACATTATTTGACACAAAGACCCGGCATTTCATGTCGGTGAATAGCAATGTCGTCTTTTCCGCTTATAAATGCTACATGGTTCGTCATAATGCGTGTCAAAAACGCGCCAAGCTTCAGCGCTGTTGGTCTAATATGCCGAGGTTTACGGAGTTGCCCCTCAACGGCCTGTTCAGTGGGGATAACACCATGTCGTGGAAAGGGCGTTCATTTGTCATTCAGCTTGATGTTCTGATAGTTAGTTGGGCTAACGAGTTCAATGGGGAAAAGGAGGGAATACCTCCGGGAGCCGGGGCAGGTCCCTTGGCCTCGAGTATCGTCCTGTCTAACCTATACCACTCTGCATTTGTGACCGAAGATTCAATGTTCCTGGATGATACACTGCTTATGAACCATTTTCTTCCCGTTCAATAGACTGAGCAGACCAAAAATTATTAAAAATGTCAATTATCGGGGCAGTTAAAACAGAATCTCCCAGCTTGGCATCAGCTCAATTGCTTGTTCAAGATACATCAGCAGAAGCAATCTCCAAGACCATCAACTCAGGGTTCCCCGTGAACACGACTTTTCGACTGTTGTTGAGAACGAGACGTGCGAACACAAATGGACGGAACACAGTTGCACAAAGGCCTTTTTCAACTCAGAACAACTGTCTAGCACAGAGCAAGGTCCTTGTTTTCAACAATGGGATTGTAAGATATAAATTACCCATAGCCTCGCCAGGCTTTGAAACGAACCTGATTCCTAATTCCTAATTCTTCATTCCTCTGCCACTCTTTCATTCAGCACAGATTCTTTGATCGAGCCCAGCTACTCCTTCGGTTCGAAAAAAAGAGAAGAAACAACCTGCGCCGCTCAGAATGGGGTTCAGCCTCCAAGTCGCCGGTCCAGCCGCCATCGTCTCTGTCGTTGTTCTGAGTATAATCATAGTCATCCGCCTCACCGGATTCGCTATGCTACAATACGGCCGTAGGAGGTACCCAGAACCCCATGGACGCTTGAACTTTCCAAAAGAAATCTCTGTCATCTTGACAATTCGTGACCCCAATGATCCGAATCTGTTGGATTATGTTCGGAGTATTCTCAAAAACAAGCCTGAGCAACTTTTCATCACTACTAGCGATAGAAAGGCTCAGCATCGGGTTGACGGTAAGTTGACTGGGCTGAGGTTCGCGTACTCTGCTACGCAGATTAGTGTTGGTGCCGTGAACGAACCGAGTAGACGTCGCGAGATCGCTCACGCTTTGGCCTCTGTCAGCACTCCGCTGACGGTTCTGACTGATCAGGGAGTTCACTGGTCTTCGCGCTTTCTAGAGTCGGCACTCATCCCTTTTGCAGATAGTCGTGTTGGCTGCGTCACAGTTCCCATGATTGCACGCAAGCGAGATGGAATCTGGGGCTCGTTCTGGACATGCCTCTTTTCCTGCTACTACGGTCTCATGGCGGAGAAGAATAGAGCCCTCAACGCACTCGACTCCTCTGCACTTTTCTCAGGCTCGCCTGTCTTGTTCCGCACCAAATTGGCTGCCCAGCTGAGATTCAAGCAGCAGTTTGAGGCTGAGCCGTGCTTAAACCGATGGCGTGGTGTTCACAAAGCAGATGAGTATCTGTTCTTCAACCGGTACCTCCTCCAAGAGGCTGTCCATGAAGTGCCTTGTCTTGTTGTTTTCCAAGACACACCGGACGCCACAGTTCAAGCGGACCGACGATCTATCGCCGAGTTCCTCAGTGAGTATCTTCAGATGACTCGGAATCTTTGGCGTCTCAGCCGTGTCATGATCCGTCAGAGAGAGCGCAACCAGTACCCCTGGGCCTTTTTACTGACGCATCTCAGCAGTTTTGCGTCGTTTACTCTGATCTACGATATTCTATTTGTTCTTCTCGTACACTTCACGATCCATCTTGACGACGACGAGTGGATTGCTTGGGGCACATTTGGATCCTTACTTCTCATCTTCCAGACGGTTGTGGGCGCACAGATAGTCAGGCGTATCACTGCCAACAACTACGGCTACGACGACTGTAGCACAGGGATGCTTCTGGCCCTTTTGTTAGTTCAGCTAGCCTACTATGTTCTTGAGGTCCTTAGGCTTGTGGCATTGGCCACCGCATGGAAGGCAGATGTTGAACTGATAAGTGAAGCTGACATCAAAGCGCGAGCGGGTGACCCCGAAGCTCTGCGATATCATGTTAACGGCGCTGAGGAGGCTCGAACGGAGATCAATGAACCGCCGTGGATCTCAAGATGCATGGAGTTGGAGAGACCCCGGCGTGCGCTTCGACCACTGCCCGACTTCCCACTGTTCGTCATTGAAGAATAGGTTGTTCGAAGCCAAGGTAAGTAATGACAGGTATTCTGGTGTTCAGCTGTGGCATTGGGATGGGACGTGAAAATTCATGCCCTCCTACTGAGAACGAGGTGGTGTAATGGGAGTTAGAAAGTTAACATCGAATTTGATTGGAATGAAATTGAAAGGTAAGTGTTTTTCTCTGTGCTAATACAGTTCTATTCGAAAGCACCTAGACTTGTGTAACTTGCTCACTTGGATCATCATTGAGGTAGAAAACTGTGATATACACAAATGCTTAAATAAGAATGCAATAAATTTTATCTTTCAAGTTATAGTAAACACGATATTTGTGTTCTGTCTCCTGGTGTCACTCAAGGTCGGATGGTAGTCCACACGATTGCTCCAAACTATGTAAGAAACACCCCGACCACACAGTCAATTTGCCCCCTCAAGTGGAGCTCAGACATAGTGGCAACTTTTAAACCGAGAGATAAGATCTAGATATCCCGAAAACATGTCTTCAGATTCAGTCTGGGGAATGTCTGTGGGGATAACCTCATGGGTACGTCTGTGCTTGCATATGGGGATGATTCCCCAGCTATAGATAGAGTGGTGTGATTGCGGAACCGAAGTGACTGTTGCTTGATTAAAAAGAGAAGCCAATTCTCGAATTCTGGGGTTCCCCAGTTTGTAGATTCGGACAGCAATGTTGTGGAGTATTGGGAGTGTCATGGAAGTACCTGAGCATGACTACCCAATCCGCTATCGCACGATGATCAACGGGCTCGGTATCCCTTCCAAACCTCTATTAAACCTATTAAGCAACTAGGATCTCACATGGTCATCTTACATTTTCTATACTGTCCTCAGCACCAGGTTTGCACTTGTAGGGTCATCCGGTAGTATGCAATAACCTACCCCTTTAGAGACGAAGAGACGTCACCATAGTATCATGTTCATGATCGTTTCGATTTGAAGACCTGATGTCTACAAAGAACGTAAAAACACTGGCCGTAAATAATTCTTCAGCACATGCCTGAATCGTAAGATACACTTACGCTGCCCGAGTGTATCAGGTCTTCACCTTCAGCACAAAGACAGTCTTAAGCTATAGCACAGACGGGCTCGAACTGTTACAGGGGAGCTTGCCGAATGAGAGTATCAAAGATTGCACTGCCCTTTCATTGCACTTTGTGGCGATGGTAACATCTCAGAGAAATATGCATGAGTGTTCTGTTCTGTGTTGAACATCCAATGGGGGTAATGTTCTTCATTGTGAGGCCTCACTCGCATGAACTCAATGCCCCCATCCATACACTAGCATTTGTGCCACACCATTAAGGAGTTGGCGAAGAGGTTTCTTCGCTGGTGTCTCGCGCTCGCGAGATTGGTCATGCCCGAGCCTCCCGGGCAACCTCCTATCGCTTTGATAGAGGCATCTTTTACCGACTTCAAGGAGGTGACTTCAGGGGAAACAGAACCGAGGTTATGCTGACTAGATAACAATTGCATTGTTCAATGTCTTCGGGTTACGTTGCATCGTGAGAGTAAAGATTCTCAACAAATTTCACCAACTACCATCCGGAGGAATGGAAGTTTCTCAAAAGGGAATGAAAACTCTTTCATCTCGAGTCATTCTCCATCGTGGAGTACAACACAACCGAGGATAACTTACGACACATCGTTTGTACAAGTATCCATCCAGTCAATATCTGCCTGGCGTTCAAACCTCAGGGGTAGCAGTTACAGTGGAAACACAGAGGGATATTTAGCACCAATGATCACCAACACTCAGCCTCTCACTCAGGAGGGCATTGATGCATGCGACCCTCAGATTGGACACGGATATTGAAATCCGATATGCGCTGAAGAGAAAAGATGTGTCTGTAACAAATCGTGACCGGCCGTAGTTGCCGTTCAAGACCCTTTTGATGAGCGGCAGCAGATCAGATCCTTGTCTAGCTAGCTTGGCCTCTCGCGGCTCTTGAGGTCTTGGCTGGCGTAAATGTGGCCTGTGCGTGTTTGTGTCAGAGATTGATGAGCGATGAGAGCCAGGGTTTTTGGTGTTGGAGAAGGTGAGGCGGGAATAGGTAACTGGCTGTCTTTGTCTTTGTGTTTTCTGGTTCTGGTGTTTTGCAGTAAAGTCTTCATTTTGGGTTTGCACTTCGGATCCGCAATCTGTGTTTGTCTAACAAAGGGTAGCAATGGTGACCTTTCAGGGCAACAAAAGATGCTTCGGTGTCTCGGACAGAGCGACAAAGATGATATTTCCGCAGGCGGAATTTGGAGGTGGCGAGACAAGGCAGAGGAGATACCAAAGAGCGGATCCTCACTCATACGATCAAGGATGACAGTGGAACCCGTCAGGTTATGATGATGGGGGGCAAATTTTGGAGACTGTTTCTTTTTCTCCATTCTTCATCGGTGATGATTCTGCGGTGAAGACAAAGCGAGATTGGGGTGATCGTCTACATAAAATGAGAATGCTCGTGATGAGGTTGGTGATCAAGATATCGATGATACGGGGATAAGAGAAGACTGTTACTCTTTTGAGGAGCAAAGCTGGACGAACAAACAGTTGGAGGCAACCTACAGTAGCCGTGGCGTCATCGCTTTCAGTTCCTGCACCACACTCAATCCCCTGAAGTGGAGGACGCCACTCACCAGGAAGATCCCTGCACCTAATTGCTTCTGGAAAAACTGCCTGAAGGTCTCTTTTCCTGCAGAAAGAGGCGTAAACCGAGTCATAGATTCTTCACAAAAGGAATATGTCAGCATGTCACGACTCATAGTACCCAGCATCAGTGTCAAACTCACGACAATCACTCTCAGTCGCACAGTAACCGAACGTCACTTCGGTTACTCCAAAAGAGCCGCCCGGCCAAACCCTGCAACAAGCGGAAGCGCTATCAGTACCCCTGAACAAAAAAACAGGAGGCTCAAAAAACAATGGATTCTAATTTGGGCGCATCGATCATTCGATGTCATAACAGTATCCGTCTTGTAGCCGACTGACAACCGAGGATAAAGTGCAAGCTAATTTTCCTCATTAACCAGACATTCCCCTCCGAGGAATTAGACTCAGAGAGTAAACGGCCCTTTTTCTGGTCTTCTCTCGTGTTCTTGTTGAGAATGTTGTGTTCTTTCATCGGAGGATGAGCCCTTGAGAGATGACTACCGACGTTATTTATCTTGGCGATGTGCACCCTTTCTCAAGATTGGGGGTGCATTCTGCTGTGTGCAAGCCGTGCAGATGAGTTTGTGGTTGGGGTCTGGCAGTTGAATTGAGTTGGAGTAGGGCGAGAGGAGGGAGGCTTTTTCACGATGCATCAGGTCTTGGCCCATTTACTCGCTATTCCCGCCTGATCCTCCCTTCTCCAAATGCCATTCCCTGAGGAGAACCCTACCACTTTCTCGCCCAGGCCCTTTTCTTGGAGAACAAGTTTAGGCTTGGCAGCTGTCATAACGAAGCGCTGCTGTATCCGTTTCTATGTCACGGTGATTTCATGATCGTAGTTCTCACTCTTGGCTCTTTGTTTATTCGAGCCAACGCTTTCTCTCCAGCTGCACAACTGCATAATGATCACCCTTCAAACGAGTGTCCCTCTGCATAACCGAGGACTGCACCGTGCTCTACATGTATGTATATCAACGGATAAGTCGGCGTCCGATAAAATGGGTCTTTTGCCTCTCTTTCGCAAAATCAGTGACGAAAGTGATGCTGCTCAGGCCCACCTTCGGCCATCGTCCAGAGGTTCTCTCCTCATTGTTTACCTCGAGGAGATTCTGGGGAAATAAATCGGGATCTTGGACCCCAGAGTCTGCCCCGGATTGTTTAATTCAAGTTTAAATCTCCAGATTCTTTGGTGATGTTCTTGCCTGTTTCTGGTTGAAGATTTTCTTGAGTGTAAGTTGGTGATGCTGTCATGGGCGTGCACCAACCTGATCAACTCACACCCCTGCTAGATTTCTCCAATTCTTAATGAATGTACCCCCTCACATCCCACGCCCTTGGCTTTTTTCCCTCTGTTGCATCTCGGCCGCAGCCGTCGGAGGAAAAAAAAAACATCAGCCTCCTTGGCTATGTGTGTGTGTGTGCCCCTGCCACTAAGCATCAACATTGCCGACCCTCCCACTTGAAAAAGACTTTGCATCATGGTCTATGACTAAATTCTTCAGCAAAATCACCACGTGCTCTAAAATGCTAATTTCTTGGAAAATATGGACCTGTTAGTGAGACCTTTGCTGGTTTGTAAGGCAGATCACCACTGCTAGGTGGGCGCTAGGTGGACATTCCGCGTGGCTCTCCACGTTTTGACCGTGAGGCGACTTGGTTGATCGCCCTGACTTTTGAGCGTAAAGAGCTTTGGGTTTTTACTTTAATATTGAGGTTTTAGGATATATGGGTTTCGGAGGGGAGTCTCCGGCTATTATGGTTGGTGCTTCAATCGTCTAAAGAGGCGGTTTGCTGTGAGGACTCATGTCAATGTTTGTCCGTAACAAACATCGCAAAGGCTGTCAACGTATCAATATTAAAGTTAGGTTGGCTATTGGGCAATGGCATTCGAAACAAGATGAAATGACATGTAATCGTGTATAGCTCAGGTCAGAGAGTTCACGATCTTGATGATTGATCAACTGATGATCTTCAGCTTCCAATCCATTCACAGGATCTCCGTCAAGCCTCTGCCGACATCAACTCCCGAACCTCTCTTCTTACCTGCAATCTTTAGTCAAATGTATTTCTCTCACAAATCATCTTCTCCGCAAAGTTGAGGGAAAACCCCAGCACCACCGGATCTCAGATGTACCTTATGCTAGGGCCAACATGCTGCATATCATGCTATGTAATCCGTAATACGCGCTTGTTCACACGCTGAAACGTCTGGAAGTCAAAGACCGACGGCATCTTTTCCGATTACTCTTTGGCCGTGCGAGCAGATCATTCAATTTTCTCCTCATGTCTTCCCCACAATGTGATTGTATTCCCCGCGGATTGTGTTGTTCTCCGGATTGTTGGGGTTTGGGTTTGGGTGTTTTTGATGTTAATGAAGGGTCCTTTGTTTGAAGGGGCAGCCAATTACAATAGCCAGAGGGGCAGCTCTCCTTTGCTTGTGGTTGTCTTTAGATTTTGCCGGAAATATATGTTTTTGTTGTCAGGAGAGGAAGAGATCATGAGGTGGACAATCCGGGCCGTTGTGCCTTGCCATATCACCCTCATCACGGACTCGCAGCCACAACCACGATAATAGATATGTTCTTATTAGACATTCATTGTCTATCTACAGCAACAAAATTGAACATAATGTTCATCTTTTGCCCAATTGATACATCTGATGCCCCCCCAAATCCGCAGCTGTTGTTGATCTTGCGCCCCCCATTCTAGACCCTTTCGACCCCAAAAAACCGACCCTGGCCAGACAGTTCTTCTCTCCACGCCCACGCCCTCGTCGTCGGGGCACTCCACCGTCACTCCACCTACGTACCCATATCACTCCACAGCACGTTCTCTGCGTGCCCTGTTCCTCCGTCTCCAGAACCTAATTTGATATCTCTCTTCAATTCCCGTGTTGAGTTTCTGCCCTGGTCTAGTCCTGCTTTATAAATCTGTCTTGTCTCCCGTTGTCACTTTCGATCTCGTTGTTTTTCTTGCTATTCATCTCACGCTTGGTCATTTATAGACCGTCATACTATTTCTTGTCGACAGTCGATACATCACTTATAGAACATCACTTGGACTTCAGCAGTCCGCACCAACACTCTTCGCAATGGCTCAACCAATGCCCGAATACCAACAACAATTCTCCAACGAGTCCCCTCACGACTCTGATAAGACTCTGGAGCGTCAGACAACTGCTGCCCATCAACAAGCTCATCCCCATCTCTATGCCCATCCATCAAATATCCATCCCGCTTTCGGTGGTGCCCTGCAGCCAGGTCTCTGGAAGCCTGTTGAGCACCGCAAGTTCGCCAACCCAGCTCCTCTAGGACTATGCGCTTTCGCCCTCACAACCTTTGTCCTATCATGCATCAACATGCACGTCCGTGGTGAATCTTCACCTGCTATTGCTATTCCTGTGGCCTTTGGCTATGGTGGTCTTGTTCAGCTTTGCGCTGGCATGTGGTATGTCATACTTCACGCTCAACTCATCTATTTGATCTAACATTTGTCCAGGGAAATGGCCGTCGGAAACACATTCGGTGCTACCGCCCTATCATCTTACGGAGGCTTCTGGATCGCCTACGGTCTTCTCCTAACACCAACATGGAACGTCCTCGGCGCCGATGGTCCTTACGAGGGTGATACTGGTTCCGTCATGGGCTTCTTCCTGACTGGCTGGTGGATCTTCACAACGCTTCTTCTCATCTGCACCCTCAAGTCTACCCTCGCCTTCTTCTCCCTCTTCTTCTTCCTCGACATCTGCTTCCTCTTGCTTGCATGCGAGAACTATGCTCACGACTTGGGCAACCACAGTGCTCAGCTTGCTCTTCAAAAGGCAGCTGGATTGTTTGGGTTCTTGGCTGCATTCATGGCTTGGTACAATGCCCTCGCCGGTCTCCAAGACAGCAGGTATGTTTCACCACCTCGCTATATAAAGGTATATATCACTAACAAGTTATTAGCAACTCCTTCTTCCAGGTTCCCGTCATCCACTTCCCCTGGTCCGATGAGGGTCGGGCACACCGTCACCACAAGGCCGAGCAAAACCTTGCTTAGACGTGCTTTGATGAAGATTTTGCATTTCACGCGTTACGACTTGGATTCTTATAAAATAGGGTGTATACGTTCCCAATTTCGGCGAACAGGTGGTTTGAGTCCGCTGCATTGAAGGAGTTTTAGAAGGTCACTCGCTGTACCGGCCAGCGATCGTTGGCTTTTGTATTTACAACCGCCGCTGAAGCATCGCGGCTCATTAGATGGTGGCTAGCATGTGACATAATAAGCTTGGTACTGTACATATGGAAAAAATGAGGAACCTCATGTTCAACGTCTCGAAGTTGATTGATTGCACCTGTAATCGATTCACCAGCGCTACGATGTTCTGAGATCAATGCAGGTAGTGGAGCGAACAGACGCCTGTGCCAGCTTCTGTAAACAGTTGCTAAATGGCAGACTATGCCTTGTGAGGCGCACTAGAATCTCGATCATAGTCTCAATCGTCATATGGACCATGGTTCCTGCAGGTTCATCGTACAGGCCACTTGATGACAGCTACAAGGCACAATGGGGAACTGTACTCATCTGAGACTGATCCTAGACCGATATGCTTTCTTTGTAATGATCTTCTTAACGTGATACGGAAAGTATCGTTTGTTGCCGTTGCATCGGTATTTCATCCTCCCGTCATCCCGAAGGTGGGGCCGCCCAGCTCCGGAAAACCGGGACCGACCGATCGGTACCACGACCGATAATCGGGAAAAAGCAAAAGCAATTATCAATCTTGAATCTACTAATCTCTAAACTTATTCACGTCTGCCGAGATCTTCGGCATATTACGACTACATCATGCGTCGTAACATCTCCAAACCCCTTTCCCCTTCTAGACCGGAGAAGCTTCATTCTCACGCATCGTACGATGTAACAGAATCACCTGATGAGCCGTGAGCCACGACCACAACAGTCCACCATGATCCAACACCTCACGCTGAGCAATCACAACGATCATTGCAGGCGCAATTGTATAAATCGCCGATACCGCCCATGAGTGCCGCCCCCGCAATAATAACCCAATGCCTCGCATCCTTCGCTGGACAATGAGCAGGCCGCAGATCCTGTTCCTTTCATGCATTGGCTTCGCAGTCGCACTTACTGCTATGCTCTACGGAAACATCATTAAAACTTCGACTGTAACTTCTGTTTTCTCAAAGACCATGTCCACGCGTCCCGTCGTCGTCGTCGGCTCCGGCCTCGCTGGTTTATCAGCATCGTATGAGGCTCTTCAGCGCGGGGCTCCATCGGTTCATCTTCTTGATCGCGCCCCTAAGCCTGGCGGTAACAGCATCAAGGCTTCGTCTGGTATTAACGGTGCGGGCACCAAGTTTCAGCGCGCTGCTGGCGTGGAGAGCGATACAGTTTTCTACAGCGACTCTGTCAGATCGGCTGGGTCACGGTTCCATCTCACACAACCTCCTGTCGATCGTGAGGCTCTCATCACAAAACTCACTACCGAGTCGGCAGCTGCAGTCAACTGGCTTGTTGATGAGATCGGTGTAGATCTCAGCGTCGTGGCACCACTTGGTGGCCACAGCGTTGCTCGAACTCACCGCGGCGCTGGAAAGACACCGCCCGGAGCCGCCATTATCATCGCTTTACTCAACAAACTCAAGGAGAATGAGAAGTTCTATATTACCAACCTTGCTGAAGTCAAGGCACTACTTAAGGAGGGAAACATCGTCAAAGGTGTCGAATACGAATTGGAAGGGAAGAGGCACAACCTTGAGGGATCAGTCTTATTCGCCAGTGGTGGCTTCGCTGGAGATGCCACAGGTCTTCTAGCACGTTATCGCCCTGACCTAAAGGGTATCCCTTCGACGAACGAGGAGAGGCCGGGGTCTCACGATATTCTCACCGCTGTTGGAGCTGAGCTATTAGATATGGACAGCGTGCAAATTCATCCAACAGGCTTCGTTGATCCCGCGACGCCCAACTCCATGCTCAAGTTTCTCGCGGCTGAGATGCTCCGTGGTGAAGGCGGTATTCTTCTTTCACCTGAGGGTTCTCGCTTTGTAAACGAGATGGATACTCGTGAGCATGTCAGCAACGCTATTATGAAGCTTCCAACTGCCACTGATGGCGACGGTGTCATCAAGCAATGGGATATTACTATTCTTCTTGACCCTGGTGCCTCTGCTGCATCGGCTAACCACATTGGCTTCTATGAATGGAAGGGCCTTCTCAAGAAGGTCAAGGTGCGCGATCTCAAGCCTGCTCAGATCGCTGCCCTGGATAAATATGCCAAGGCTGTCGCTGAGGGCACAGACGATGAGTTCGGCCGTAAGCAGCGTGGACGTTGGACACTCAAGGCCGGAGAGGAGAATCGGGATGAGGATATTTATATCGGCCGAGTAACGCCTATCACACATTTCACCATGGGAGGAGTCGCCATTGATCAGAAGGCCCGTGTATTGAAGAAGAGTGAGGACAAGCTTGTGCCTATTCCTGGCCTTTTTGCTGCTGGTGAGATTACAGGAGGTATTCATGGGGATAATCGCCTGGGAGGATCTTCCCTGCTGGAGTGTGTTGTGTATGGCAGGACGGCTGGTGCTGAAGTTGTTGGCTCGGCTCAGTGAGATGGCCCTGCTTTTACTGCATATTCGACTCACAGATCTGAGGTGCGATTATTAGAAGCTTAGTATATGATAATGAAGTTGATTCCCCTGTTAGATCAGTCCTAACGTGAATTCTCACATCATAAACCACGGTATTCCTTGCATATTTCAGCGTCCCCTGACTTGTAATTATCCAATGAGAACCTGGAATGGCTCAATTGTAACAAAACGACCCATCCAAGGCCCTACCGGGATTGTATGCAAGTAGTTGTCCACCAACGTCCCAACAGCCCTCACCGCAGCAATTCCCATCTTCATTATCTCGTATCACAAAACGTATTCTTCACTGAAAAGACAACATGGGCATGTATAACGGCCAGGAAGAGCACGATAACCTTGTATGGGACAAGAACGATGAAGATTTCGAGGCAGCACAGCAACAACTACGATTAAAGACCTTCTGTCGCAAAGTTGAAGGGTTCGTCCAACAGAAGTTTGGAAAACCAGTAACGCTCATTTCACCCTTGATAATTGGAGGCTTCAATATTCTTTACCGGGTACGAGTGGAAGATATGTCCCCAGATGTTATGGTACGAGTGCCATGCCCGAGCCTCGTTCAGTTTCCCGTCGAGAAAACAATGTATGAGGCGGCCACTGCTTCTTTTCTAGTGAGTCAGACTCAATTGCCAATTCCAAGCCCTTTGTTCTTCGGAAAAGACCCAGATGATGAGAGAGCCGCTATGGAACCCTTTGTACAGAGGAAGTTGGCTGAGTCCAAGGATAGGCTTATCGTCGAATGGGACGAGACTGAGGCACAGGAGCGTTTTTCTGAGCTCCTGTTCAACTAGTTGACACACACTACAAGTCCGGAAAGCTCACTGCTGGTAAAGGAACCATCCTCCGGGTGCCATAAGATTTAAGACTTTCCATGGCGGTAAGAGAATAAAAGCATACTAAGTCTATTATAAACTATCCTAAGATATCCTAATATTGTCTAAGCTTTTCTATCACTTAGTCTAGGGCTTTCGTCATAAGGCTCCTGCTCTTGGTATTCAACTCTGGGTTTACAGTGGATTTAATAGAACTCCATGCGAGGCAAAAGGTGGTAACACAACCAGCAACTTATCACAGTACAAAAGCTTATTGCAGGAAAGGTTCCATTGAAAGCTCGCTCTACTACATCTTAACCCAGTTATCGTATCCTTCGTCCTCTCGAAACTCTTTGTTAAGCAATGACATTTAGATACAAAAGATCCTTCACATACTTCATCACTCCAACTTGAGAGGATTCGCCTTGAAGAACTCCTCAGGAGTGACAAGCTTGCCTCTCGCCCCCTCAGCAGCCCAAGCAACTGATTTCTCTCCATCAGCACCATAGTAACCAAACTCCTGACCAGCTTTAAAGGCTTGCACATAGACATCCTTCAGAATGGGTAGTTTCTCAGCAAATTCCTCAGAGGAGATTTGCTTGTAAGTGATCTCCTTGCCGGTAACCTTGCTCTCAATAGCGACAAGCTCCTCTAGGCTGTAAAACCCAGCAGCTGCATCAAAGCCTACGCCTTCATACTTTTCAGGCTCGGCCAGAATTGCGCCGACGAAACTTCCGCAATTACTGCCGTTGTCGATCCACGGGATGCGAGTCTCGGGAGTGAAAGGGAGAGAGACAACCCAATTGCCATTCTCATCCTTCTGAGGAGCCCAGAGAGGAACTTGGATGATGTTCTCGAGGAAGAAGCCAAGACGGACAAAGGCGCTCTTGACGGGAAGTGTACGAATGTACTTCTCGCCCTCAGCCTTAGCATCAAATGGATGGTTGGCAGTGTACTTCCCGCCAGAGACATCTGTAGTGCTAGGAAGACTGCTAAAGATGATGTAATCAATACCAGCTTCAACAGCTGCATCAGCTGTCGTCTTGATGGCCTCGAACTCGGGCTTTAAATCGGTAGCAGTCCAAGCAGGAGTTGTCATGAAGAAGAGTGTGTGTGCTCCCTTCAGGGCAGTCTTGATAGAGGCAGGGTCAGCTAAGTCGCCCTGTACGACTTCAACACCCCGCTCTTTGAGCTTATTGGATTTCTCAGAGTTGACATCGCGGGTGATGGCGCGGATCTTGTATTGCTTTGACAGCTCTGGGTCGTTGAGGACGAAGTTTATGACAGCGCCGCCTTGTTTGCCAGTGGCGCCGATGACAGCGAGAGTCTTTGACATTTTGAAACTTGGTGATTGATGTCTAATTATGGTGAGTGCATAAGAAGTGAGATTGAAAGTGATTGTGGTGATGGAGTCTCAGCTGGCACTGCAGCCGTCTTATATCTTGCCAATACCTGAGATGCTGATCAATTGTACCACATTAACCCAAATTCCGCATATTATGAAACCAATGGCTACTATCCTATCAAAGTCCGCATCTTATTCTCCGAATTGAATCCTACAGAGAAAGCCTCCGGTCTTTGCCAAGTTTTTCGTTGGCAAAGACGCGGAAACAAGGGACCTCTGGAGATCTACAGGGCTTAGCGCACTCTTCTAGTGACTAATGTTACTCCAACAGCGTTAATCAACGTTACTTGATGTCACTTCTGCGCTAATGAATTCATCCGAAGAGCACTAAGCAATGCGGCTTCGCTGGAAAGATGCTCCGAGTCGATTAATCAGCCTCTATGACTAAGGAAGACTCCAAATCAGGAGGAGGAGATAAGCTGGTTAGAGAATTTATCCTAAGTAAGGCATCCTAAAGCATCCTAAAGTTTTATAAATTAAGGTGTACATAATCACTCTAAAGTATCCTAAATTCATAAGTCCTTTTATTACTTAGGACAACGCGATCGATTGATCTTATTTCATCAAGTAACCAGCTTTTATTTTATCCAAGCATGTATGCATTCGTGGTTGAGCAATATGTCCCACCAAAAACCGACATTAAAAACGAGTATTAGGGTAGTTGAATGCCCAATCAAACTTTTCTTTCCCAAAAACTGCCATCATGAATCCTGAATATGTCTTCCAAGCTCAGCAAAGTCCCCGACATCCTCACCCGTAAGATCCCAGTCCGGGTTATTATACATAGAATAGCAATGCTTATAGAAGTCATCAGTCGGAATATCCCCCATCATCATCTCCTGCTGTGAGCCCCCCTCTACGACTTCAGGCATAGGAACCCAGAGGTTAGAGAAGTTGTCCCATAAGTCTGTGTCGAGAGGCATGAAATCTTCTGGCGATGTTTGGCTTTGGTCTCCTGGGAGGAGCTCGCCACGGTGAAGGCCGCCGAAACCAGAGGGGGTTGCACCGTTGGTTTGTGCGACACCGTTGGTAGTTTGGCCTTCACCAGGTGGGCCTTGAGGAGACACGTTGACCACTTGTAGTGACTCGATCTTTTGTGCCATTACCTTCCATAGTCTCTTGACCTCTTGCAATCTCTCGCGAGCATACGTGTTTCCATGGTCAGCAAGGTGCTGTATTTCTTCCAATGCCTGGGTCAAGCCGGGCTTGGGGTTGATTTTCATACTCTCTTCACAGACTGAATCCAGGATCGCAGCGAGAATCATGATGAACGCAGCTGAGAAGGAGGCTTCGAAGTCGTAAAAGCCGAAGATTGCTTAAGCCGTGTTAGTAAAAGAATACCAAAAGTCCAAGGTCAACTTACCGATCATGTTGCGTTTTCTGAGCGTGGCGACAACCTTGAGCTGTCGCCTTGCAGCCTCAGCGCAAGTCCTCGATAGTCTTCCGAGAGGTGAAGCATGTAGCTGTTCTCCTGTGAGGCCATTTCCGCTGAGAATGAGTTTCGCGGCATGTAGCATGAGTGGTCGAATCGTAAGAATTGTTGCCTGTGCAATAGTCAGTACAGTTATTCTTTCTCTCCACTAACTTGCATACCTGGAAGAGCATCAGATGCAATGAAGCAGTCGTTCTCAAAGACTGGTCCCGACCCAAGTTATACACATCTGTAACTGCATCTGAAGGGATTTCTTGGGAGATCTGGTATAAGGATTTGACGATATCTTGGACGTGAGGAATAAAGGTAGATTCTGACTCGTCTTCAGGATTATAGAGCACTAATAAAGTGTCAGTTATAATGCAACAAACTTTTATAAATTCATGTAGACCCACCAGCCAAGATACGACCCGTGGCTCGGGCGATCCTGATGTTTGTGCACATCGGGCCAACAGGTGGGAAGCCAGGTGAATCAGTGGGAAGAGGGATGTTGATTGCCTCATCACCGATGCTCGGAGGGTTGCCTGTCGCTGCAGCCAAACGTCTAATTACACATATTCATTAGCCATCGTTCCGGAGGTCCATATTTTTATTCCCTCACCGTTCTTGCATGTAAATAGTCCACCAGAGACGGTTCATATGAACTCTCTCAGACTGCATCAAGTGCCTTGTTCCACATACTCTGTGATACTTCTGTGAAATTGCCAAGCGCATGGCGGTGCTAATCTACGAGCAAAGTCAGCCATTGTTCCAGAATTAGCCATGAGACAACTTACATAGAGATATGCCTCTTCCTTACGATTCATGTTGCCGAGATAGATGGCAAAGAGAGCAAAAATCTCAATACCAAGTTTTCCATTGAATCGCAAGTCTGACAACGTCGGAACGTTTCTATGGGCATACTCAAAGAGTCTGACCCCAGAAAAGTCGTCATTCCCCTCGGGGTTGGCGTCGAACAGGGTTCCAATAGCAATCATAAGAATCATCTCGAGAACCCACAGAGACTCCATCTGAGCAGGATCATCACGATTCTGGTAGAAAGCCCACATTTTATCAGAAAACTCACGAGCGTCAATATGATGCTGTGACTGGCCGATATAGAACAGAGCTGTATCTAACAACCGTTGAGCCTCATCTCTTGGGGGCAACTTTGGAAAGTCACTGCTGGAGAGACGCCATGGATGGCTGATAACCTCGTGACGTAAGTTTGCTTCAGGGCTGATCCAGGGTTTTGAAGTCGGCTCTGACTCGGGACGAGACGAGCCGAGTAAATCCTGGACTCGGGAGCCAAAAGTATGACTAGAGCTTAGGGAAGACCCAGCAAGGATAGCTGAATTATGAGCGTAAGATCAGGAAGCTTGGAGAGAAGTCAACTTACTTGCAGCTGGTGATGCTTGAGTGCCATCATAAGGAGGATATTTATGTTGAGCTAGGGGTGCGGAGAAACTTGTAGAAGGGCGGATGAAGCTGGAGGATCTTGATCTAACATGGAGAGGGTCTTGAGGGGAGGAGTGAGATGTTTGTGGGTTAGAATTGGAGTCTCTCCTTTGGCCGTTCTGTGTAGCAGAAACTGGGGGTTCTTAAGCTTCTCAGTATAGGTCGAATTATATCAGGATAAGAGGAGAGCCATACCAGATGCCCTAGGAGGTAGAGTTGAAGGCAGTCCATCGTAGCCATCTCTTTCATATCTAGCCAATTTGCTCTCAAGTTCCTCGATACGACTAACAAGTGACAAACATCAGCTGTAAGTCCTAATTGGGTTACGAAAGAACTTACTTGGCCATATACATGCGCTTATGTCCATGCTCGGGAACCCTGCAGTCCAATCCACGCTTGGTGCAGTACTGGCAAGGAGTAGTCCCCGAACACCGAACCTTTTTCTTCCTACATGTAAGACACCTACGAAGCTGTAAGTCACCAGAGCAAGACAAAAATAGTGGAGAACAAGATATTGACATACGCCAATGATGCTTTGCGTGCATCTTTTCCCCCATCGGAGGGCGCCGGACGCTTCCGAGCCATCGAGGCAGTTGAGTCGTCGGCCACGAGGGTCATTGAGAGGTTCTAGAAACGAGATGATCTGACTCTAGAGATAAGAAGCTTATGGAAGAATCGACCGAGAGTCTGGGACTGAATGGGCTGAAACGCCGAGGACGCGGGGACTTGAGCGTTGTTATTCTCTCGGGATGGTTCCGGAGTTTGAGTGCAAAACTTCTCCACACGATGATCCGATCACGTGAGGGACCAAACTCCATATTCCCCATGGAGTCGGGCTAGCTTCCGGCTTGAGATGATAATGATGGTCCACTAGAGAAGTCCAGTGGAAAAGATAAGCTGGGGATTTGGGTGGCAGCACGGCTTCGAGGCCGATGGATCAAGCCACCGGAAAACACCTTCTGTGAAGTTTTCCGGGGTACCCTTGTGAGTTCGATGTAGTAACTATTGATACGAGAACTCAACAGAGAATCTTATGATAAGATTAGGTTCAATATTGATGTGTAAACTGTCTAAATAATCCAATCCATCGTTGTGACCAATATGTTCAACTAAGGTGGTGGTCTAAGTGGTGAGTCAATAGTCTTCAAGGACGTTAAGTGAGGCAATGCTAGGACCCGACATCGGACGATATGACCGAGGCATCGGAGGTGCTTCCGACATCACGAAATACCTCATCAGCTTCATGATTGCCGAAGTGTTATGTTATCAAATATAATTGAATTTAGATATTTTCGAGATAAGGCTCACTCACGTAGACTTTGAGATACACTATATGCCAGGATATGACTCTATGTGAAAATGCTAAAATCAATAACTGCCGCCGAATCGCTACATATTAATACTATACAAATCCCAAAGGTATCCAAACTCATCAGACGTAAACATTTTTTGAATTATCACATATCCAGCCTCTGTCACATCCTTGGCTCACGAGGCTGTTGCATCATTGACGCCGCCATCTTCAGCCTATTCCTTGCCTCAGACAAAAGCTCCCAACGTGTGTTCGTCAATGCATCGTCAACAACACTCAACAAACCAATGATCTTATTTCTGTTTCCAACTACGCCAGCTTGGTTTTGGTGTAAGTGGAAGGCTTTGATAGAGTCGATGGTGGGCGGGATCATGATTTGCAGATATGTCCGAAGATCCTCATGGCGATCACGCTTCAACGCTTCGTAGTCCATATTCGATGACATGGGCGTCTGCTCAGGATGAGATCCTTGAGGAGTGTTGATAGTGCCTTGGGCAGAGGATGAGTGAACACTAGCCTCGGTCGCCATCGTCGGTATACCATAACTGCTGGAAGGGTATTGTAGATGATCTGGGAACGGCTCGATGTTTCCATCTTGCACATATCCATATGCCCATAATACCAGAGAAGCATAGTATAATGCCCAGGCCCTAACTAGCAGCTTGTCGCTCCCAGCATCGTACTTGGGATAAGTAGATGGGGAAAATGCTGATGGCATACCACTAGCATCCTTCGTCACGCCTCTCCTGGGCGCTTCTTGAAGAAGAATAAGCCGAATGAGCTGGAGCGCGTGATAAACTCCACCAATAGCTCCAGGCGAAGCAACCCATTCCTTGATCTTAGCTTCAGTTCTTCTCCAGTCCACAGAAGACACAGTGCGTCCAAGGATCTGAGGAACGCCTGCAAAGATGCAAAGCTCTGGCATACTGATGTATACGGTAATATGGCCCAGATGATAAAGCACTGTACCAAGTGTCTCCATGGCATCGCCATCATCACTTCCACCTCTGCTGCTCAAGCCTAGTCTCTGCCAATCAAAAGCAGCGTGCTTGACATGAGCAACACCATCATCGTAGTCCTTCTTCCACCAGTCAAATGCCCTTAGAAGCTTTGGACGCCATCGTTCTTGAACGCCAGGTATGGTGTCGGTCCCAAGTGTTGAACGGTCCAAATCTCTTTGATGCATTTGCCATGTCACGGATAGAAGTGCTGCAAGAAGTGCAATTCTTCCAAACGGGCTTGTTCTCACTCTTTGTCCGTTGAGCGTGCGTTGTAGTCCGTCAAGGAAAGTGATAGGCGTGACGCCGTTTGCGTGCAGACTTGACTCAACACAGCCGATTTCCGATGGTGAGTCTGAAGACCATAAGGTGTTGTCGCAAGGAAGAGGAAGCTTGATCTCATGGATGACCAGCGTCGGTGTATGGCCAAAAAGAGCGGCATGGGTAGCATCAATGATAAACGCAGCAAGGGCAGCTCGACGCGTGGCTTCTTGAGCAATCCAATGATCCCACCATTTTTCGGGTGAAGAATTGAACCCTGGTTTATTCGGTCCAGGGAAGAGTCTCGAAGATCCTATCTTAGGACTGCCCATTGGAGTTGGGACCCGAGAGGCATATGAAGATTGTTTTCCGGTAAGAGCACTTCCTCTACGCATCAGCGATAATGTCGTAGGGAAGTAAATATGAGCACGCTCATGAAGAACTCGAGTTGCGTTCATCTTCTCATATACCTCCAGAAGTAAGAGTGTCTGGATGACCCAGAGTTTCGCAGGTGGATGAGAGTCCGCATGCATGAAGACCTGCCAACGAAGGTTCCAGGAGACAAACGTGGTGAACTTTGAAATTTTGTCCACGGAATCTTCAGATGCTCCCTTTTTGTCCAGCATCGAGGCTCCCATGATAAGAACAGCCAGCAACAAAAAGTCATTGGCGGTTTCCGGGATGAATGTTGGGCGGTGAAGGATGGGCAGTTGGTCGTGGAAGTTGTCCCAGTATGAGTTGAGATAACGTTCCACGTTGACGTGGCTGAGAACATGATTCTCGGCATCAGTATCGCTGCCAAAAATCTCATCCTTGATATCTGCTGCTGATCTGCTTCCATGTAGACTGATCTCGTTGAATCGCTGCATCATATAATGAAGCAACGACTGCCTCTTGTGCTCTGAAAGACCGGTCTTTCCAAATTGTGATACATCGACCATTGGTGTAGCCATCGCCATTGGTTCAGACTGGAACCAAAGGCTGTTGATAGGTTCGACATAAGAACCGCCCATCAAGCCCGGTTGAGCCGTGTAATCCGTACATAGCTGGCCGAAATTGTTCGAGTATCCCGCCATGCCGAAGTTTCCTGGTATGAAATTATTGTAATTTGAGCCTAGTCCTTGACCAGTGAAGAGCCACGTCGTGAATTCATCTGTGCTAGATGGTGAGAGTCCGAAATGCTGCTCTTCCATGATTTGTTCATTGGACGTTGATAATCCATTAGGCATGGCATAAGATTGTGTGCGAGCGCGCTCCGGGCGAGTAGTCAGTTCAGGACTTGCCAGAGGCATGGACATGTCAGCAGGAGGCATCTGATCAATCCGGAACGACGGCAAAGTGCTTATAGCTTGCTTTTCTGGTGAAGATTCGCGACTTTCGAGTTGTCGTTGGTCAGCATAGTAGCCACTTGCGCTTCCTAGGTCATTTCGCTGGCCAGAGTCTTGTCGGGATAGCCCTCCATCAACCCCGAACTGTTTCGAGTTGTTGGGGTCAATTGCCGATGCATCCATGGACATCCGAGTTGTCGAAGCTTGTCGTTCGTTCGCTGGTGTCTCTCGCGCTTCATCTTGGGTGTCACTCCACGCTGAACCATCCTCACTGAACGAGTACCTCTCACTCCGCTGCCTCGGTAATTTAGAAAACTCCTTCTGGGGCCTCTGAGAAAGCCGACCATTTCCATACTGTTGCACCTGTCTCTCATGTCTCAATTTATGACGCGCATAGAGATCTTTCCTGACGAAAGTAAATGAGCAATCCGGATAGTCACAGTAGTAGATCTCTTTGGGGGAGTCTATAACGGCGTCAGTGGGGGATAATTGGTCCAATTGGATGATACTAACGATTGAGTTGATGCCGTTGAAGATGCTCGGCTCGGGAATATGTCCTCCCGCAACCTTCGTGGGTGCATTGGAACTCTTTGCACGAAGCCTTGCGGCGTTTCTGGCGCGGGGGTGATGAAGCCATCGCGGCTCGTGACCTGGCGTCGTGCCTCGGCTAGAAGTGCTTCTGATGATTCAGCAGGTCTTTGAATGATTCTCAAAGACTGCAAGAACGCCTCTACGCGTCGCTATATCGGTCACAACCAACAGACTCACGGTTGAAGCGGTATACAAACTCAAAGCCTTCAGGCCAAATTACCCTCCCAAATTCGAGATTATGGGGGTGAATGTGACCACGCCTCCTTCTTGCCTAGTCACCTGACTGACCAACCCATTCTCGGCTCATTTTTTTCTCGTGTTGCCATTACCCATTTGCCATCCCCGCGATTCCCCCGCCCCCAGGTCAGCCGAATGCGGGGGCAGGGGTTGGTATAGGGTAGGCTCTCTTTTTTCTTCCATCCTTGGAGTTTGGGGTGATGCAGGAAGGGTTCAGAGGGATCGGAAATTTGCGTGAGTGATAAGTGGCTTGTTATTGTGATGGTGCTTGCATGGCTAGTGCAGTTCGTTGCCTGCTGATTGCTGAAGAATTCCCTGCATTGGAGTTCATGCACATGAGAGGAGGAATAATTCATCGCGTCCAGCCTTAAGATTCCGGCTGCAGTAACGTTAATTACCTAGTCCTGGAAGGTCATGTGCGCGTCTCTGATTAAATCCGATTATATAACCACAGATCTGCAATGATCAATATCTGCAGTGGGTTTCTGACTGATCTCTGGATGCGAGACGTTGGGGCCCAACCCCTGTCAGTGTCTGAGATTCTGCTCTGGTACTGGACTGCGAGATGATCGGTGAAGATGAGATCTACATTCCCTTATCTCTACATAGTAGCATCGCGCATCACGTATACCTTCCGGATTGTCAAAAAACTCCGATGCATTGCATGCGACGGGCTTCCAATCTCACCTTGTGCACTGCGACCGGCACAGCCGGCCAATTTCTCCAAACCCTGCCTATATCCAGAGCCCATAATCCACAAGGGTTCAAAGATGCCCACAGACTCACTGTAGAATGTCATTCCACAATTTCGCCCATAAATTTTGCCGTACTAAGTCATGTCATGATCGATAACCTTAAAAGAAGAAAACGAGGTTCTAGGCGAGCTAAATAGATCAATTGAGGCTTGATCCATGGAACGAAACTGGCCACTGAGAGCGGAGAAGAGAAGCACCAAAAAAATAACATTCTGTCACTATCACGAAAATGCAACTTTGAGCCGGGCCCAACAAAAAATAAAACTGGAGTGGCGTTTCCCTGCAGCCACCGATCGCGCAAATGCACGTGGCCTCTCCCTTGCAAAGTCAATAAGCGATGTCGATGGACGGGCATTCCCAGTCAATCGAGACTTTGTTTCACGTTTATCGACCCATCAGACGCTTCTCCTCTTCTTCTTCTGTTCTGTGCGGAATTAACTCGAGGCACCTAAGAAAAAGAGGCTTCGGCCATGGCATGATTCTGAAGCGTAGCTCCCGAGAATACGCGTTGCGGACAATAGTTTGTGTCTTTCTCAAGGGAGGGAAATTTGCGCATTTCGCTTTGACCTTGAGTTATTACTCAATGCTTAGAAAGACCAGGATGGGATGTCAGCGCTTCTGAATCATATTTCCTTTGAGATATGTTTATCCGTGGAACAGCAATGATCTTCGATTCTCCACAAACAATGCAATGCCATCATGACAGAAGAGGAAAAGGGTTTAGCAAATCTGAGGCTCCCAATGATGATCAGTGCTCGCTTCGGTCGTAGTAAGGGGAGAAAGTAAGAAAACCAGTCCCAGGACCAGGGCCAGGGGTTTTGGTACCGTATTCCGGCGATCTAGCGATTGATATGTAAATGTTAGTGCGCTCGAGTCAACACACGGATGGCTCATTCGCAAAAGCAAGCACGACACGACAGAAAGCGCATTGTCAAATTGATACAAGCTTAAACTGCCGGTTGACTATTTGCACTAGAAGCTGCCTAGTAGCGGGCGCTCAATGGTCTCCACACGGCAGAGAGAGGCTACTGATTCTAGCTCAGAGTTGGGCGTCGACACTGGAGTTCTTGACTGATTCAGGACAGGTACGAGGAAGAAACTCTGACACTGGCTCGGTTGCAGGTGGCGTTGCAAGAGTTTATAGCGATACAGAATCTAATCGTACAGTGAGTAAAAGGTGGTGGAGATTTTCTCGGGGCTGCTAGTGAATTTTTTGCCCAAATTGGGACTTGACACCCGTTCCTCGGCTCTCCCATCAGCTTAATTTTAGTCTTGTCTTGGGTCTTATTAGCGGTAGTTCCGTCTGTGGGTTGTTCTAGGTCTCAGCCACCTACGAAAGCACCAGACGAACGGACAGGTCAGGCCAGGCATGGTTCCACAGAGACAAATCTGTTCACCTGCATGTCTCTTCTCAAACACGCGCGACAGAAGCTAATGCCAGGGGTTTCGAGGCGAGGTCTCTTGCCCCCTCCCGGAGGCGCTCCCCGTTCTGTTGAACCCCCGGAGAGGCTCCAAACCGAGGCAGGCATGCCCGCTGATCCCGCGAGTAGCATGGCTGCCCAAGTGTGCAGATCGTATGGACTCCGCTACGAGATGAGAGTTGAGCGACGGTGGATTTGGTGACACGCCGTACAAGGGCCGTAGGACAGAATTGGTCTGGTCCCGACAACTTGGGTTCTGTAGGTCCCGGTCCCTCGGTTCGTCGTAGATTTGTACAAAATTCCCATATATCTGCGACGAACTCCTTGCGGCCCGCATCTGCCGGATCCTGGATCCTTTCGTTTATCGTCAATCATTCTTGCTTTTCTCCTTGTGATTCCTTTTTCTTTTCCCCTTTATTCCCATATGATTTGAAGCAGGATAGAGCCTGGCTTCATCGACAGTCATGTCTGTCCCCAACAGAGGCCCTGAGCTTCAGGCCGTATGCTATACTCTTGCCGTTTCCTCAGTGCTAGCAGTCGCACTACGTATCTATGTTCGCGTGCGCTTGGTCAAAAACTTTGGGTTGGATGACTGGTTCATGTGTAGTGCTCTTGTAAGTCGCTCACCTCAACGACACCCCAACATCACGACGATACATCAATTGATCAGACTATCCATACTCAATATTTGACACAATAAATCTGTATACTCTAATGACAACATATACTGACTACATGGCTGCATAGATCACATTTCTCCTATTCGTCATGTCGGCCCTCCTTGGTGTGAAGCATGGCACAGGTCGACACAGAGACGACCTCGACCCTCATGACTTTCAGCAAGCAATGAAATGGTGGTGGTGGTGCTACTTATGGTTGGATACCTCCAGCCTAACCGTGTTCGCCATGCTAATCGTCCATGTAGGTACTGCCTCACGATGATATCTTCAAAGATCTCAATTGGCTACCTACTCCTCCGCATCACGACACGAAAACTCGACGTATGGATCCTCTACGGCGTCATGGCCGTTACTGTCTGCACCGGAGTCGTCTTCTTCTTCGTCACTCTCTTCCAATGCACGCCGATCTCGTACTTCTGGAACCAAGACCAACCCGGAAAATGCGTCAAGCCTGAGGTCATCATGGCCCTCACCTATCTGTACAGTGTGTTCAGTGTTATATCAGACTTCACTTGTGCTATTCTACCAATGTTCTTGGTGTTCAAGCTCAACATGGGAAGGAGGACGAAGCTGGCTCTGATTCCTATCATGGCTATGGCCTGCGTGTTGGTATACCCTCGTTATTACAAGAGACATTGGCTCACACTTTACAGGGCAAGCGCAGCTGTCGTCGTTCGATTCCCTTTCGTCAAAGATTTCAAGAACCCAGACTTCTTATGTAAGTCGCAACTCCAACTCCAAACAAGATGAATCACAACTGACAAACCCTAACAGGGGCAACAATCGACATCGCCATCTGGTCGACAACAGAACAGGGCCTGGCCGTCACGGCCGGGTCTTTGGCAACGCTGCGGCCTTTGCTTCGATTACTCGGCCGCAAGCTTGGCATAACGACATCGGGACGGTCTGAGTTGCGGGACACTGATCAGCCAATGGGCTCGGGGGGGTTCAGGCCTTCAAAGGGAACCAACGGCAGCGGCAATAAGCATCGCGATCTTTTTAGCCTCGCCACATTCGCAAGGGAGGACGACCTGGACGGCAACGGGCGAGACGGCCAGGCAGCTTACGCTGGGGAGCACCATTTCCAGAGTAGATCGTCTGCTGAGAAGGGAGTCTCGGCGTGGAGGTCGAGGGACAATGAGAGTGAGGAGGAGTTGACAGGACAGCTTGGGAGTGACAATTCGCGGATCGTCAAGGTGACAACCTTTGAGGTTTCTGAGAACAGGATTTGAAAATCGTACCAGCAACAGGAATAATAATGACGGCCTTGATATTTATAACGAATAATAATACTACTTGCTTATAATTTAGAGAAAATATGTTGTAGTAAAATGAGGATGAAGCTAAGTTATTTAAGTATTTGGGCTGACCTCCATACTCTCTTCTATGTGCTGTCCAAACTCAATCTACAATAGTGCCAGTGACGTCAAGTCAATCAGATTCGGGGACACGGGTAGCGAAGCTAAGCTACAGGGCAGCTCCAGCTTACAGCTGCTGCTCATAAGCTATACCAAGTTAAGCCGACTGATTTGCAACATCCATGACCTGGGCAAACCCTCATGCGTCTAAAATGCATCAAGATAAGCTCGCTTGTCCAAATAAACGCACCGCAACGTTTCACCATCACGATTGACCGCCATGTTTCGGCCCGCAACTGAGCTCAGAATCTTGTTTTCTACACATCAAGTCCAACCGCAATGGATCGTAACAGGCCAAGTTACAAGTCTCGGCCCCCAATGGAGAGAGAAACACACGAGCAGCACAGGTCGGATGCTGCAATATCACGTAGCAGGCGCTTGTAAATGCGTGTCGGAGCGGTTCATAACACCATATGCAGTTAGTACATGCAGTCTTGGCCAAGATGCGCTTCGCTTATCTGCACCCACGAGAGCGAGAGGATCTCCGAATTTGATAGCAAACATGATGGGCTTAAAGCCGGTTGAGCTGATCTCTTGCAAGTTGGGGTCCAAAACTGCCGTCTCTTTTCTCGACAGTTGGCTCAAGACCAGGAATGAAAATCAATTTGTGCCTCTTGGAGATATCAAAGTGGACTTTCTTATTAAAGTCACGTACCTATGCGAAGCATGATCTGTCAATCCAGTATGTCTGAAGACGTCCTTGGTGCCCACAAATCATGACGATTGAATGAATATGGGCCCGGCTCAGGTAAACGATATTAAAGAGATGAACCTACTCAACCAAGACTGAAAATACAATTGTTTTCTAAAATGAGCCGATTTGAGAAAAAGACTATTGGTAACTACACGCACAGACATATCCAACCATCACTTCTTCAGTGTCTTGCTACGAAGACCATAAGCTCGGGAGCCTGGAGCCTTTGACTTGTCGACTTTCTTACCCTTCACCTGCTTCCCTTTTGCCATGCTTTTCTTGACACCTTGGCCTGTTGCTCTAAGTGTCTCCCGCTTCTTGACATTATTGGCCACCGGAGTATGTTTGGCAAAGTCAAGCAGGTCATGTCGGGATGCTTGTGTCATATCAAGCTTTTTATATTGATTACTCAGCATGGGTAGATATGACCTTTGCTCCTCGTTCGGACGCCATGTGTCGCGAGGTCGGAGATCCTTTGTTGCTTTGGGGAGACGGTAGGCTTGGAGCCAGCAAGTCTTTCTCAGGCCTTTAGTTCCAGGCTTGGCATCAAGGAACTCGGCCTGGCCCATTTTCCAAGCCTCGATGACATATTCTTGGAAGCAATAAAAATCCCAAGCGGCCAAGCTCTGGAACGTCCAGCGTGGCTGCCAACATTTTCCCAAGCCCAATGGATCTGGGTCTGGACCAAAGGGGTGAGGGACAGTGGACGCCATGCTCAAGTCGATCAGCGTGCCGTTGACATACTGGCGATCAGATAGGTCCAGGACAAGTATCCCGTGCTTGTGGAGCTCATGGAGTCCCTCGAGCATACGAGGGAAATGGGAGACCTGAACCACCTGTTGATACAAATCATAGGTATACTCGTCATCGTATGTGGTGTGTCAGTCACCCCAGCCCGTTTATAGCCCGCTAATTTCAGGACGGAAACCAACGGTCAACGATTATGTATGTTTGTTTCATTGTAGATAATGGAATTTAACCTTATATATGTGCATTTGATTTGAGAGCCATTTCCCATTGCGTCAGCTTGAACCTTTACGCGAAAGACCTTGATCAGTGCAAGGTTATAACGTCTACCCGGAGTAACCTTTCGAGCATCACCAGGAGGGAAAGACGTAGAGAAATGGAGAGGAAATGGGGGCCTTTCGTTCATTCTAATATGGCCAATCAGATCAGTCCAGCCGCTATGTGATGCACGAACCCTTTTGAAGACTCATATTGGCATTATGGCAAGGCAAACAGATTACGTACGTTACAGGACCCTACCCTAATAACTCAAGATGAGCTGTCAAATAACTTGTTGGTGTAACCAACCAAACCCAGGTGTGCAGGTCTAGACTGCGTTCTTTCTCCTGAAGGCTGGAGCCAGCTGACGGCCTACTGCATTCTCTTGTTACGGTGACGAAGCCTTTTCCCTGAAGGGTTAATCTTCTTGGTATCCCTCCCTAACTCTGACGTGGAAGGGTCCTGGAACCAGGCTATTATTACGTATAAAACGACACCTTGGACTTGTAACACTACTTTTGACCGAACTCTACTCTCCGTCTTATTCCACGTTCATCGAGAACCATCTGAGCCATTCTGCCTAGTTTCCTTTTCTTTCTTTGGCTGTATTGGCGCTCCTCATAGTCAACAGAAGCGATACATTGATCAATATGGATCAGTCATCTATCCTCAGTCTCCTGTCCACCAGGAACACAACACTTACCAACAACACCAGAGTCCAGTAGCTACATTTACCTACCATGATTCCTATGGACCCTGAGAATATAACTCGTTAGAACGATTTCAATCTTATCAATATCAACAATGCCCACGGAGACTTGCTGAGCAAGCCTTCCAACATCATCCTAGGGCAAGGAGCCGACAAGCATTTCGGTAACCAGTCCGAGCTCCGGAACTACGCCTTCGATCCATTGATTTCCACATTGCGTCCGCTTGTGTCCGAGAGCGCGCGTGTGCTTGGCCAGAGACTCGGCTTCGCTCCCACCATTGACTGGTACCAGGATGTGCCTTTGGCTGGTCCGCAAGTCGTTGGAAATGCTCTCCGTCCTAGCTTGACGATTTGTGCTGCCACGACTCCTCGCACAAGCCTTGTCACTAGCATGGTCTACGTCTCAAGCGCCTGGTGTTCCACGGATATTGAAACCGATGGACGAGAATCTACGTGGCCTGTCCAGCACCTTGCGAAATACGCCCAGCACAGCGGGACTCGCTACATGCGATAACCGACACGGAAGTAGTCGTCATTCGCTTCCACTCGCTGGATGGGGGGGAACCTGGCGCCCAGTGGAACGCGATTCCACGTAGTGCATGCGGCGAAGGAACCCTAACGATCAACCTGGCCATATGGGCTCTCATCATGATGAGCATGAACTCAACACCGCTCGGTTGTCGAGTATACACGAACGATTCCCATAAATGCCTGGTCGGCGCACGATGGTTTCTATTGCAACCGTCTTTCGGGACGCCGCCTCCCGTATCTCCCAACGGGGGTTGTGGTCCTGGATCAGTAGATCTAAGACATGCTCCATGGCTCAGGTGCCGCTCTTGATGGGCTTCACGGTGTGAAACTTTCATGCTTTTAATTTCCTATGTTTGGTTCATTCTGTTTGGGATAGAATGGGGAAATGCAAGGGTCAGATTGTGCAGGAGATGAAGTGTCAGCATTGTCGTACAGACGGGATCAAGTAACAAGTTGATCAACATCAGTTCAGTTCAGTTCAGTTTCTTTCTTAATTGAGTTTTGGTTTTGGCCCGGCAATGATCCTGACTCCGAAATTCATTACAATTGCTTGCCTTTACGAAGTACACCTCAGATCCATCTCGGTTCTTTGACAAGAACACAAGCTTTAAGCGCACACTTGTAAGAATGGTTCGAGATATCTACCAACGTATCCGACCACTTCCATAGGAGTGGTTTATCGCTGATCCTGTTGTTGAGTTCCGTTCACCGGTGCGCCAGGCATGCCTCTCGAGCATATGACATACCTCTGCGGGTTTCAATCAAGGAACATGTGAGCTCTGACGCACGCCATAAGGCCTCCAACGGATCCGACCTGCAATTAACCGCGCCAGGTATACGGCTGAGCTGAAGACTCCAGATTGAGCGGTATATTTGGAGAGATAAGTGCTGCACAATGGATACTAGCCGCCCGCACGAATCTGCTCACCAAAGTAGGCAGGTACTCAATATTCTCAATTTCCAGTTGCCCGGATATCACCAAACAAGCCTCGTTTGAGGCCCGGTTAGCTCAATCGGTAGAGCGTGAGACTCTTAAATGAGTACACCATCTCAAGGTTGCGGGTTCGACCCCCGCATCGGGCTGTTCCTATACAAATGATACGATTGATCTCTTTTTGCGGTCCTTTTTGGTTCAACTGGAGATCTCAAAATGTGATACAGTAAAACTCCGTTTATTTTGTAGGTAGGCATGTCGTGTCACCTGTTGGCGTGAGGTCCATCATCCACTGCGACGGCTTCAATGTTCATCCACTCATACGTTCATTCATCAAAGTTATCATCAAATGCTGGTGTCGCCAGTCATTGCATCTTCCACTGCCACATACATTTGCTCACTGTATTGAATCATCGTGGTCCAAGCTCCAATACCTCACATAATAAACAAGAGGTCAGTATCTAAAAGTCCATGTTAGCAATTTGTTCAATAGGGACATCAGAGAAAAGACAGGCTTACCGATCGGATGGCTACTCGACAGTTGTGGCTTCTGGGTATACTTTGTCTCCAGAATGTCGCGAACACTGTTGAGCAATTCGACATAGCTCTGCTTAGGATTTGCCTTGATTGCTGAAATGAATGCCCACGACATGGCGCCAGTCGCCTGAGCATTAATAGTGGCGTCGGCTCTGCAAAGATGTTAGAATTGCCTCATGAATAAGTCAATTAACTCACGATGTCTGGTCATCTTTGCTTCCTGACCACATGATAACATCGGCAGGCGATGTTCGCGTGTCCTTGGTCTTCTCGTACGCATCGTCACCTCGGAAGGCGGTCTTTGCCAGGCCGAAAACAGAACCAGCAGCGCCCGCAATATCTCCACTAGAGTATGCTCTGAAGGCGTCAAAGAGGCCTGATGCAGCTTCCTTGGCTAGGTTGGGCTCTTTGAGAACACCCTTTGTTGAGTAGACGTATGGGAGATCCATGACCGTGGCTGAATGGCACGAGTCAAAAATGGCAGTGAGACGAACACCTTGTACCAAGGGCTTCACGACACGGAAATGAATCTCATCATCAATGATGGGACCAGCTTCGGTGTGGTCAACGGGGTAGATGCATTCGTCGTATCCGTCATCTTCATCGCCATCCAAGTCTTCGACCTGACCACCGTGACCTTGAAGAGCATGTTAGAAAGTTTGGTCCAAATGACTGCATGGACTCACCAGAGTAGTGGAGGAACAGGGCATCGTTGGGCTGTGCGTTTGACACAAGCCAGCCCATGGCGCGAATCATGTTTTCGCGGGTAGGAATCATGGCTGGGTTGGATTGATCATCGGTCAGAATGACCATGTCCTCTCTCTTGTAGCCATACCGCTCAACAAGGAAGGCCGACACGTTGTGTACATCATTGATGCAGCCTCGAAGCTCTCCCTCCTGGTTGAAGTAGTTGATGCCAATCAGAAGAGCCTTGCGACGACCGGTACAGTTGGAATACTGGAAAGTATAGCCTTCGGGAGCTCCGTGACCAAACTGTTGGGGCGTAGATGGAGGAGGTGGACCGGCTCGAGCGTGCTCAGCATAGTGGTGCTGGCCTTGTGGGAGGCGATAGCCGTATGCGTCAAGGCCGGGAGGAGGAGGGTATGACGGAGGAGGATATCTCTGACCTCCAGAATGGCCTCCAGAATAACCGCCGTATTCTTGCTGGGGAGGAGGAGGTCCAGGAGGAGGAGCGTATCCGTAACCGCCGCCTCCTCCTTGATATCCTTGACCTGGGTAGTAGGACATGTTGATCTGCTGTGTGAGAAGTGAACTGATGCTCCGGGGCCTGCAACAGTCGACGTGGAGAACTGAGAAAGAAGAAGATGCAAGAGGGAGCTCTAGAGGTTCGAGGCTTAGTCGCAGAGTAGAAACAAGCACGTATGGGTCAGCAATCAGAGCGCAGCCTCACTTCAGTCTCACAAAGGAATTGAGCTCGCAGCTGCAGTTGAGGTGCATTTGGAGGACGGGCGCTAATTGCGAGGCGGGGCAAAGTGCAAAGTGATGGAGGGGCAGAACCTAGCCCGGGAGAGGCGGGCCTGATTCACCAGCCCTGAACTCCCCTGAAAAGCCCCCTGGAAGCGACGGGAATGAACGCTCTGGAGGCCGCTGGAAAGAACCTCCCTCATGACACCAATGGATGGAACGCCAAGGGACCTGGATGGTCTTGGCGCTGCAAGAGCCCCTCCCCCTCACCGCAGCATCAGACGTGGATGTGTTGAGGACGAGCAGTGAATCATTCATGGATGTCACAAGGGAATAATAATGTGAGACGACATGAAACCCCTCATGATTTCGGGGACAGGAGAAGATCCATCACCAGCCACCGGATGTTATTGCCTTCACGATAAACATCACGGGCGGCCTCTCGCCTGTTGTGATGGTGACGCAGTATTGTATCGCCGTTGGGTGAATGTTTGCTTGTTGTTTGATATTACCGCTCTCTCATAGGGATACAGGCAGCATATCATGACTGCTTGCAGCTTTACTCCGCCACACTGGTGTTGCAACAACGTACCCCATATTCCTTCATGCCAAATACCCCTAGCTGCCCTGACTAAACCGATGGGAATGTGCGGACGTTGTAGTTTACGGAGTGAAGTCGAAGAAGGCAAGCTACTGAGGTAGGTAGGCTGCTAGGCTCCATGTTATGGGAATTCGAGGCGATTGTCCGTCAAACCAGACGAGGAATAAGTTGGATACTGCTTCAGTTGACTCCACGCCACTATCAATCATGTGGGGGCATTTCTCCGTGCCTTTTATGTCGCAATTGAACAATGCCAGCATGAAATTTTTTGAAAATCCTCGAGTTTGGTTCTTGGACATCATGCCCCAGCTTATCCGGTACGTTGACAAAACGAGGCTCGATAAAGCCAAACGTGAACGAAGCTTTCGTAAAAAGGTACCAAAGCTTAGAGCTGGTGACATTTGGCACCAGAGCGTTGCCCCGCCGGAACGGCCCGCAGGGGTCACTAGAGGTCCACTGATTGGCCACGTCGTAGCATTGTCACTGGCTGGTCCCCGAAAGCTTGAGGTTGGGTGTTGAATGGAGGGGTAAACGGGCTTTAAACGGGCCTGTGCGGCGGCTCTGAATAGTGAGGTGCCCTTAGCTGACTGCTTACGCCTGTGCCTTTCACGCGGTGCGATAGCATCATATCCGTGTCTCCCCCGTACCTGGATCAATCTCTGCCCTGCCTAACTGCAAGAGTGCCATTTTCACACAGTGGTTCATATTCACTGAGACATTTCCCTTTTGAGTAGTGACTCAGTGAGACCCTACGTTTCACCCCACCATCCATGCACTGTCGGCAGCTGCCAAGCATCTCTGCCGACTGTCGATAACTGCGCGGGTCGCACCTAAATAGGTCCTTACTCTTCACACCTTGCACCTCACACCTCAGGCCTTTCGCCATTATATAAACAGAACCCAGTCGCTCTTTTTTAATCCCTCCTCTCTCATCTACCTTACCTCTTTTCTTCTTTCCCTCACAACCCTTGATCCCCCAACACCGACTTTGCACGCCTTAGTACGAAGTCACTCATCATGTCTTTCTTCAAGAAGATCGCCAAGGAGTTCGAGAACCTTGGTATTGGCGACAAGGACGAGAAGAAGCAGGAATCTCAGCAAGGCTATCCCCAGGGTCAGGATAGTACGTTTCCCCCGCGCCAACATTTCCTCAAAACATCTGCTAACTCTTTAACCCCAGACAACCGAGCCTACGGTGACGGCGGCCAACAGTACGGCGCTCCTCCTCCTCAGCAATACAGCTCCCCTCCTCCTCAGCAATACAGCTCCCCTCCCCCTCAACAATACGGAGCTCCTCCTCCTCAGCAGTACGGAGCTCCTCCCCAGCAGTACGGTTCACCTGCTCCTCAGCAGCAATACGGCGCTCCTCCCCCTCAACCCGCCTATCAGCCTCCGTCCGATCGCCCTCCTCTGCCCCACGGTTGGACTGCTCAGTTCGACCAGAACCAGCAGCGATGGTACTATGTTGAGACAGCCACTGGCCGCACTCAGTGGGAGGCTCCTGGTCAGGCACCTCCCCCTCCTCCCCCGGATTCTCGTCCTCCTTACGAGTCTCAACCCTCTGACGGATCTCGTGGTTACCCCGGTGCTCCTGGTGGATATGGTTCTCCAGCTCCTGGCGGCTACGGTGGTGCTCCTGGCTATGGCGGCTACGCTTCTCCTCCCCCTGGTCAGGGTGGTTACGGATCTCCTGCTCCAGGCTATGGTGCCCCCTCGCCTTATGGCGCTCCTTCTCCCTATGGCGCTCCCTCTCCTTACGGAGCCCCCGGTCAATACGGAGCTCCCGCTGATGGTGATCGCGGCAACAACCCCTACGGTCAAGGCGAGAAGAAGAAGAGCGGCAGCTCTGGAATGCTTCTCGGTGCCGCAGGTGGTCTCGCCATTGGTGCTGTCGGCGGTGCCCTGATCGCCAACGAGCTTAACGACAGTGACAGTGATCACGAGCACTCCGCCGCCGCCGCCGCCGCTGCCCCAGCTGCTGCTCCCGCTCCTCAGGTTGTCAACAACTACTACGGAGCTCCTCCTGAGGACCCCTATGCCGCCGACCCTTACGCGCAAGATGGTCCTCCTGGTGTTCTTCCTCCTACCGATGCTGATGGTGACTCCGTCTCATCCAGCGACCGAGAAGATGTCCAAGAGGCCCGTGAAGAGTACGAAGAAGCACTGGCTGCAGCTAATGACTCAGATGCCAGCAGTAGTGATCACGAGAGACTCGAGGAGGCTCGCGAGGAGTACGAAGAAGAGTACGAGGAGGTCTATGAGGACTAAATGGTGAAAAACGAGCTATGAATAACGACATGTTTACGTCTAACTGTAACAGCATTGCTTTGGAGCCGTAAGGGCAAGGAAGAAGGTTGATGGATTTGTCTAACTTGTTGATACCTTAGTACACAGTACAATACCAGAGCACATTTCGTACTGCCTAACATGTGCATCGCATTTGTTTTGTGAAGTTTTGCCAGTTTCATACCCGCGCATGTGCGTTGGATACCAATGTCTTGCATTTCTGAGGCATATGCATGGGCATGTTGGACCACGTTAGAGATGCAGCAATTACAGGCTATTGCTGTAAGTAGAAGCCGCCTTCGCTTATCGGCACTGGGCCAAGAACTGCAGACCCTCCAGTGCAGGGCCTTTTTTGCTGTATAACGGTAAGACAGAGTCGTTCGAACAGCCACCAAACGTCGGTATTTTAGCATCAGGTATCCAATTATTATTATACAGTAAAATTGCCTTGAGGGAAGCCTCATGTGGAAAAGAGGTATTCCAGTCTCAACAGCAAGTATTTTGAGTCTTCCTCCACTACAGAACAGCAGCTCAAAAGAAAGACAAAGAGCGAATTTCCGAGGTCAAAGATGGATGAGTTGTCCGTCCCCACGCTTGGCATTACACGATAATGGCGGAGCGTACAGTGCACAGCCCCCTCGACATATTCTTGGCAACCGTAAGAGTATTATACGATTCGAGCTGTTTTTTTCCCCAGCGGGCGCTCGCTGGACGCTGTTCAAATTCTCACCATGTTGTAATGCAACGGTGAGAAGATCACTCGGCACAGATATTGCCGGGTTGACGAGCTTGTTGCGGTCAAGCTTTTGCAACCTTGGAAAATAAGCATTTATCAGAAAGCTTGTCGTTTTGCTTATTTGGTTATCTGGACCAGGCGGTTTACAAAGACTAGTGAGTGAGTGATGAGCTTGGCATTCATGTTGTGTTGTCTTGTGAGATGAGGGTCTACAGACTGGGGATATTATATGGATGATGGCCAAGACGGCGTAGGTAATCGCATTGAGTTAGACTTGATCCGTTAACGGAACAATAGCTTCTTTGCTTAGCCTTGATAAATCTCTCCATCTCACGTCCTGTTGTAAATGATCAGCCGCATGTTGACTGAGGTCATATCACGACGTTAAGCATTTGAGTATGGCCATCAAAACAATCGTTCAATCTCATTTCTCAATCCCAGGATATAAAAGTTAAGCCTAGCAATGCTGACTCTCGACGCAGGTCTCATTCGATCCATCGTGCAGTCCTCTGGGTATCACAAATTTCCTTCGTCAAGCCCTTCTATACAGCCCTTTCCGTCATGAGGAGGGAGCGGGGGATCACTTCTCGTTGTTCTTCTCGTCCAGGCATATGCACAATGCTGCCATGAGAGCCATATCGACACGGGGCGAAACGACGAGAGCATATGTTTGTTGGCCAAATAGCAAATCGCGGCCGCTAAGTCTGCGGTCGATACGGGCGACCACATTGCCTGTGGTCGTGTCAACGATGTTAGCGTTATAGTCGTGCCAACTACCATCCATCTGAAGAACCTCTGCTGAACCATCGATCGAATTGAAGGTAGCTGTGGCTTTGGAACCGAAGACTAAAATACATCAGAGAGATGCCACGACTATCACGGGGAAGACTCACGCCGGAAGCTGCTCTTCACTTCCATGATTTTCGTTCCTTGAGTGTCTTCCACAGCATACGTGGTATGGATATGGAAGTGCTCCCTGACGATGGAAAAGAGATGGTTGCCTCTCATGTCGTAGACCTTCTTGCGTCCAGAGATGCTCATCACCTGGCCCTCTACCTTAAGGATAGGTTGACCATTGGCATGGCGAATCTCAAAGTCATCGCCACTGAGAGACATGACCTTTTCTCTGAGGATAAGAGTTTCTGTCTGGGTGGTGATGTAAGCTGGGAAGATGCCGACCTGATGCGGCGCCAGCGCCATTGGAACTTGAGGGGGGGCTATTTGAACTTGAGGGAGCGCCATTGTTGCTGTTGAGGTAACAATGATGAATCAAGATGATGTTGTTGAGCTATATCAAGAGGAGGAGTTGAAGAGTGCTATGACGCAGAGGCAAGGTGCGTGTTTCATTGAAGGATCACCAAAGAGTAAGGTATTTATAAACGTTGTAACAGCGACAAGCGTCACATGGAAATGCCTTGAGCTGAGACAGAGATGTAGGTGCTACATCAAATGGCAGTCACACCTTGCCTTGCACTTGCCTACATAGTAGGGCTGATCACCGCTAAGGGGAACGGTCCCGGAGCAAGGCATATTCTAGCGAATAGCGCCTCAGATGGATGAATGCGGCAGTGAAGGATGCCATAAGGCTGATTAGGTCTTTGCCTGTCTCTCCAATCTACAAGTTTTCGTCGAGAATGACATTCAAAAGAAGTCTCTCTCCAACATGGACTCTTTCAAGAAACATTGTTATTCAAGGTAACGCACCCAATCTCCTTTCTCAACTGACGGCCCCCTAAGGCACCTACGTCATGAAGTTGACAATTGATTGAAGAACTTGTCCGTGGATAAACGGAAATGGAATTGATCACAGGAGGAATTCGTGGAGTAAGCTTTGAATTCGTCAATCCGCCCCTACGGAACCTTTCAGTCGTTATCGGCTCCCAATGTTTGTGTCACAATGCTTGGCTAAAAATACTCCGACTGGCATGAAGATTAGTGGGTTTTGCGGCTGTGCTTCGATCGCTGGTAGCACATGTTCATTGTTAGTCATGAATCCTTCTCCGTTACTGCAAGAGCTTCATGTAACAGGAGGCAACCAGACGAGTAATCCGATGATGAACTATAGAACCTCTCGCGCTGTAACTCATTCAAAACAGTCGAGTGTGCTATCGCCAACAACGTACGACAGACACATGGACAAACGGCTTTTGAAATAGCATAGAACTTCTATAATATATTGAGGCATATTCTTGATCCGCTAAGAAACGCGCATCTGCACCGATTTGAGGCCATAGGGCAGGCTTTACTGTTGTTCTTGTAAATCAACATGGCTAACCACCCTAGAGGCCGCCGATCGTCAAGCAGCGAAATGCTCGGACATAGCAGCACCAGACGCACGGAACAATCACGTGATTGTTTCAACAGTCTAATGGACAAACTCGGTCTGGTGGTCTAGTGGTATGATTCTCGCTTAGGGAAAACCCTATAGCATAGCTTGCGAGAGGTCCCGGGTTCAATCCCCGGCCAGACCCTTCTCTTTTGCTCTCCCTGCTCTCGATGTTTTTGTGACTTTGTTCTTTTTGCGCTGTTGCTCGACTTGATGGTATCACAGCTGAGTTGGGATGAAATACCCGGCCCCACTTGAGCCGAGCCAATTAGAATTGCGGGTATGAAGAGTTAACATGAAAGCCGTTGTAAACCGTTAGCAGACGGTTGAGTCAACAATGGATATAGCACAAAGGGTTCTGGAGAAGGCACGCTTTCTTATAGTCAGAAGGAAATAGAGTCAACCATTGTCTATCCTAATCTACCCAGAACTAATACAAGAAACAGATCTCGGGCGCGAGAAAAAAGTCAAGACACGCAATGGGCGTCATTCAACCCACGATCCATTCAGGATATTTACAGAGCGAACAGGGCAAGGAAGGCAAGGGCGACAGTGGAGACGCCGAGAGAAGCAGCACCGTTGGTGATAGTGCTGGGAGTCTCAGCAGGGGCAGAGCCAGACTCGGAGCTGGAGCCGGAACCAGAGCTGGAACCAGACTCAGAACCAGAGCCAGAGCTGGATCCAGAACCCTCTGAACCAGAGCCAGAGCCAGAGCCAGACTCAGAACCGGAGCCGGATCCAGAGGTAGGCTTAGAACCAGAGCCAGTAGCGGTGGCAGTGCCAGTAGCTTCCTCATCATCGCCAGAGCCGCTGGTGGCAGAGGCAGTAGAGGTGATGAAGGTAGCGGTGGAGTTAGAAGCGTGAGTGGGCTTGGAAGCACCGGACTCGGTCTTGGTCTTGGAGTGGACGGCAGAGCTGGTGGTCTCCTCATCGTCAACCTTGTCGCAAGAGAGATCGAAGAGAGGAGTGGTGGAGAGGTTATCAGTGATGGCGAACTTCATCTTGTTGTCGGGGTTGGAGTCGCGGAGAGTGTACCAGAAAGTGGGGGTCTTGTTGAAGAGGTACTTGCAGCCAACGTCGCGCCAGTACTTCTGAGCGTTCTTCACACTAGGAACAGCCTCATCCCAGTCGGGACCCTTGTAAGGCCAGCCAGTCTCAGTGACCCAGACAGGCTTGCCACCGGAGGCGGCGATGGTGGCCTCGTACGCCTTGTTGAAGAGCTTGGCAGCGTTGTCGATGCTGTTGCCCTTGTCGTTCTCATAGTAGGGGTACTCATCCACACCGATGAAATCGATGGCGTCGAGGACGGCCTTGTTGGTAGCGTTGCCCCAGACGTCCCAGGTGTCGACGTGGCCGACAGGGATCTTGCCAATGGGGGTACCCTTGAAAGCCTTCTTGAAGTCGTTGATGAAGTCAACGAGGACATCAGGCTGAACACCGACACCACCCTTGTTCTTAACGCCAGTAACGGAGTTACGGTAGAGATCCTCGCTACCAACGGAGACACCGATGACGAGGTCGGTCAGCTTGGAGCCGTACTTGTCGACAGCCTTCTTGAGGGCGCTGATCTCCTTGTCGATGTTGTCAGTGCCGGAAGTCCAGACACCGAGGAGGATCTCGGTCTTGGTGTCGATGGCAGCCTCGAAAGCCTCGATGGGGTCATCCTCGGAGTAGGCCTGGATGTTGGTGTAGAGTCGGACGGCGCTGAAGTCGCCGGGAGCGCTCTTCAGGTTCTGAGCAGTCTCGAACTCAGCCTGGAAGTCGGCCTTGAACTTGGCGGCACGGTTGGCGAGGGTGGCACCAGAGTTGAAACCGAGGTAGTTCTTGGCCTCAACGCCGAGGGCGAGGGCACCAGCAGCGAGGGTAGCGGAAACCTTCATGTTGGCGAATATAGATTATCGATTCTCGGGTAAGTGATCGATATGTGGTATAAGCAGGTTGGTATAACGTCGAGCAAGGTCACACCAGCCGGAAGCTAATTCTATTAAAGGAGCGTGAGTGTGATTATACGGAAATGGTAATCAAGAAATCAGCCGTTCTGGCAGTTAAAGAGAGTGACGAGGAAGTAAGAATGCCGAATCCAAAAAGAGAATTCAGACAACAAAAAGGAAATGATGGACGGATGGAAAAAAGATGGGAAGTTGATCAAAGAATGAGGAAAGGCGCTTTGTTTTGCTTTCGGAACGCGGTGAGATTAGGTAGGGGCGGTTGCAGCGGACGTGGAGCCGTCACGTGCCGGACAGGCACTAAGTTCCCGGTTTTTCAGGGGAAATGCTTACGACGCTGGTCCACTAGGTTATGGTTAACGTGCCGTGGGCCGCTAAGAATAGAAGGGCATTTCTTGGAGGTGGGTGCTCATTGGACGTTAACCCCAGCTTCTCCTGTTTCGTACCCAAGGAGCAATTTTGTAATGCGTGATCGTCGATAAAACAATCGAGATGAATGTTGCTATTCCTGAGAAATGAATATCATAGCGCCTTTTTTCGTATTACGAGATTTGATGCTACTGCATCGTTTATCTGTCAAGCCTCTTCCGCAATTCTCGAGACAGAGTTCCAACGGTGCCCTTATCTCAAGAATCTGATTCGTAGTGGCGTGATTTATGCAAGGAACAATGCAACCAATTCTTGAGAACGGATGGAAGCTAAAACAAATCCAGTGCATCAAAGTTTATCCTTGAGCCAATCTCCAATGCACTCAAGATACTGGGATTTAATTCCTTGGTAGCCAATCTCTGTATACGAAGCCAAGCATGGGATTTAATTTGATGTTTGAGGTATATAGAATGTGACAAGCTGTATTTCACCGCCTGGATCCCCAAGTTTCTTTGTTTCGATGTTTTTGAACTTCAACCTCAGACGTCTCTTTGATGCAAGAAGCAATTCTTTGTCGTGGCGAGCGAATTCCTTGGCACTTCAAGCGCTAAATTAGCTGAGGCTGCGGGTGACGATGGTGGGTTTAAAACTCCCCCCTTGAAGTGGAGAATACGACACTTGGGCTTGGCTGGCACGGCTTTGAGGCCGATCGATCCGTTCCTGAATTGGGATGGTTACAGACGAAGTCAACCAAGATGAAAGAGGCTCAATTGAGTTATACCTTGAATATACGGATACTAGCATACCTAACAGATATATGTCTTTGCTCTGTTTATGCTGATCGATATGCTGCCCTAACATTCACCATCTTACCACGGGTTGTTAAGATTAGGCGCTGATCCTGGATCTAATGTCTCACCAAGGCATTCCGCCATGACTTCGGTTGGGCTTTAGTCCAGCGTAGTTTCAGCCAAGCCTATCGAAGGGTTATCATCATCAAGAACAATAAATAATATTGTTGATCAAGCAAAAGGTATCGCTAAGTCATGACATGGCTCCATTCACAGATCGTCACGTCACATGAGGCCTCCCGACTGCAAACTCAGCACTCAATCTAGTGCTTCTCAGCTTCAGGCTTCTCGTGAGCCATAAAGACCTCATCCTCATTAATCTGGTACTTGGCAGACTTGCGTGCCGGGATACCCTTCTGGAACTGTTCAAATTCGTTAGCTGCGTTCTCGGTCCTCGTCTTCAGCTGCTTACCATGTAGTCCATCTCACCAAAGGTACGGTCCTTTGTTTCGAACATACGGAAATAGCCCCAAGTCAGAGTGAGAGTGGCAAGACCTGCCCAGAAGAAGGCCTGTAGCATGTTAGCGTTGCATTGACGCTCGTATCGATTGGGCTGGACTTACAGTCTTGCCCTTGAGGTTCCATGATCCTGGAGCCAACATCTCGGGCTGGATGAGACCTCCGCAAATGATGTTACCAACGTAATACGTTGAACGAGCCAACACAATTGTCTGTGTACGCAGACGAGTCGAACCCACCTCAGCAACGAGGGTGTAGATGATAGGACCGACAGACATGGAGTATGCTCCCAACCACACAACGCAGAGGATTGATTGCGCCCAAGCTAAGGACTGGGTCTGCTTGGGCAACGCCAGGAAGCCGATAAGCCAGAGAATTACGACAAGGAATGAGAAGCCAGAGAGCCAGATCGTTCGTCGACCGAACTTGTAGATGTAGAACCACGAGATGATGGTACCAATGAAGGCGATGCCAGTTCCCCCAAGAGCAATACCGTAAGAGGCAGAGGGACCAATACCAGTCTGTTGGAAGAAGAAAGATCCACTGTAGCAAAGGGCACCGCCGTTGGTGATCTGAGAGAGGAAACCCATGCAAGCGATCTCGGTTCGTCGAAGGTTACTACCTCGGAAACAGTCCCAGTAAGAAGTACCAGAACGCTCCTCAATCTCAAGCTTGTTTGTGTGGACCATAAGAGCAACGGCATTCTCGTAGTTGATGTTGTGCTCCGGTTCGGACAGTCGCTCGAGGGATACCTTGGCTTTCTCGAGCTGGTTCGTTCGGACAAGATGCCAGGGTGACTCGGGGGCCATATACGCTGCGATGGCGAGAGGAATAGGCCATACCCATTGGATCGCAAAGGGAATTCGGTAGCTCCACGGCGTAGGGTTGTCAACTAGACCTTTGAGTACACCAGCTGAGATGAACTGTCCAATGCACCAGCACAGGTTGACATAGGCAGTGAGATATCCTCGAATAGCAAGAGGAGTGACCTCAGCAGCGTAGGCGGGACCAGTTGTAGCGAAGATTCCCCAGGGAATGTTGCAGAGGAATTGACCAACGAGGAGGACCTCGATGTTGGGGGCGAAGAAGACGACAAAGATGAAGGCAGAGAGCCAAAAGAGGCCACTGATGAGAACCTTGCGGTGTCCCCATCGCGAAGTAGCCCAACCGTTTAGAAGAGCGCCAATGATGTTGGCGAGGGCACCGAGACAGTTGAAGCGCTGCTGCCAATTGGCTGAGATCTGATGTCCATTCGCTTTATCGAGATATTCGCCGTACTTCTCTCTGAATCGCGGGTAGCCGTAGAATGAACCAAGGAGGGTAACATCGTAGCCCTCCATGATGACAGTAGTCGAGATGACTGACGATGTCCTGTTAGCTATCTCAGCGTCAACAGTTCAAGGGTAAGAACCTACGGATGGACCAAAAAGCAGCTCGCTTGTAAGTCTTGAAACCCTGCCAAACGGTATAGCTATGCTCGTCGGCCGTGGCTTCAAGAGCCTCATTGGCGAGGGCTTTATCGTGAAGGTCTACATTCTTGAGATGATCAAGACCAGCATCGGTACTCTCAATATGGGGCTGGATCTCCCCGGACTGCTTTTCGGCTACCATGATGAACAGATTCGTCGCTTACCAGCAGCAGACTACTTGCAATGAGGTTTGAGAGGCTCATGATGGCCTTCACCGGGCATGGGCATGTTATATCGTCCATCATCAATAGTTTTCCTCATGCAGAGATGATCCTCGAGGCCGGGAAGCGGTTCACATCGCCGCAGAAATAGGATCGACGGCCCGTGTTAGTGAAGCTATCTCGTAGTTGAACTTCCCCGCCATTGGTGGAAGATCCTGCGGGGAAAGATGTTGGTGATGGAGATGGAGTGGTCAACATCGATCGTAAGTGGTCCGGATAATAGCTTGACCACTAAGATGCCTTTCTCCTCCCCAGCTTCTTCCTCGTAGAGAGGTGGGGAATCTGGGGTACTTCCTGGGGGAAGGTGGTGATCATCAGATGTCTTGGTCTAGAACCCTGTTTCTCTCTACGTCGGCCGACGGTTTTAGACAGGAATATACCAAGAACGCCAGCCAAAACGTCACTTCTGTCATTTATTATAGTCAATCCGGATAAATATGACTCGAGCAATCCTTCAGGAATAGCTTGAAGCTTCGTCTGCATCACAAGATGGCTGACACCCAGGAACAGGTCTTCCTCGGCTGCTACTGTACCACACCTGGACGATCACAAGCATCGCGTGATTCGTGAAGAAATTCCCAATGCTACGACACCCACTTATACGCGCTTATATGCGATTCGTCTTGTCTTAAGCTTGACCTATATGCCTTCAATTAAGGTACCACGATCATGAGGCTTATCTTCTGGAAGCGATCCAAATTTGACAATCCTCCCCCAAATGTGATTGGGGGTTTGTCGTAGTCTCATTCTTTGCTCTTTTATTCCCTATTTTCCGCCGGGTGCTAGTAAGCAGCCACTTTTCTACCTCCTCATCGATGCTTCACCATCTCCTGTGTCTTCCCATTTAACCATTTACACGGTTAGAACCGACTAAATCCATCTCTTAGCAGCCACAAGCTCCCCACGCTCTCAGACACAAGGATGAGGTGGTTGGGTTACACCTGGACATGGCAGTCAGGGCTTACACCCATTCACTCAATGCACGACTGCGGCACTCACCAACTCAGGCTAATTTGGCTTGGCAAATCTATCTTCAGCCCGAGCAAATCAAAAGTTCCTCACATCAGAATACACAATGCAGAGATGCAACTCGGTAGATCTTGACCCGAGACGGTGGAACCAAAGTTTGAAGGCAGCCATCGAACCACGCTTAATTGGCCATGATCCAAGGAAATAGACATCAGGTGAACTGTCACCCTGCAGTGCTTCTTGACTTGTTTTATGCATTCTGCTCCTTTGAGGGATTTGATCGGTTGACGGGTTACATTGCCGGCGGATCATTCTGCAAGTTTCCGAATAAGCTCGAGCTTCTACTGACAGACGTTGCCCCCCTCATTCGTATCGTTCCATGCCCTTGGCTGCACTGAATGAAGGTGAATAACCTTCACATCACTAGCCAAACTACTCAATCAAAAGAAAGAAACCTAGTTGAGACTGATGACCTCAACATTTCGAACTTGAAAAGTTGTCGCTATGCGTAGGAATCAGTACAGGCAGAGACATACCAAACTGACGGGAAACTTACGTGTTGTGGGACCAGGTGATCCAGAAGATCCTTCAGTCTGATAATTGACGATCCTGTATAGCTATGAGCCAGGGCACATCTCATCATATCATAAACGATATACTTACAGACGAAGACCTGCTCCGATATAGTCCCTTCCATATTGCGTAGTCTGCTCTACACCGTCGAGGAAGAACTTGACTCTCACATCATGACCGTTCTCATCACGCAATTCGGCACGGACAGAATGCCATTCCTCGGGATTAGGATAATCCCTATCAAGTGCGGCAACCTCATCAGAAGTATTGAATGTGTTGAAAGAAATCTTTCCAGAGCCTTTCCACTCTGCAATATCAATCTCAGGAGGCCATCCACTGGCGGCATTGAGCCAGAAAGCAGGCCAGGTTCCTCTGTCAACCGGAGCAATAAACTCAGCACTGATATCATAACCACCACCAGCAGAAACAGTGAATGTTGATTTAGCGTGAATTGCTCCAGAAAGATAGTGAATGGGATCTTCTTGGTCATCTCGTGGCTCAGCAGTTAGAGTGAGAACGCCATCAGTGACGGAGACGTGTTCCTCATCCATTCGGGCGCCGCCATTGTGCGTGGCTCCCCAAGGATACAGGTAATTCCAGTATGTTTCGAGGGAGTTGAACGAGTCTGAAGGAATTTCTGTCGTTGCGCGTCTTTCAATAGGTGGTCGCAGAGCAGAACATGATGCTCCGACGCCGTGGAGCGCAATGATAAGATTTTTGAACTGCATTTTCTCGGCGGATGAGAGCAGAACTGTTGAGAACCGGAGGATCCGAATTTAAGCATGTAATTAAATACTCGATGAGCTGCTATACCGCAGCCCTTTTAATGTCTGTGAAACAGGAGTAATGGAACCCTACCGGGAACTCCGGGATGTTGAAACAAGAACCTGCATTGACGATCACCGCGAAACGAAACGCATGGATAAACATTAAACGCACCAACAATATTTCTTCATATGGCGCCAGACTCAATATGATGATTCAATTATATAGGAAAGCCTGTCGGGATTCAAAGGTGTGCTTGATTCCTTGGAAGACAACCTTGAAAGAAAAGGCTGAATAGCTCCGCATGTGAAACAAAATTCAGAACTCAGTTACGCTGCGAACGATTTTCGAATAATTTCAGTCATGTTATTATAATAGAAACTTGGGTGTATGTATTATCATGAGGGCGACATTGGCATCACAATCGGACAATCGTTCTCCTGAGATTATATCAAGGCTGTGGCATTGGCCACATAAAATGTTTATGAAATCAAGAAGAGTTAGTTACGAATTCCTTATGAGCTGTGAAAACAGAAGGGAATGTAATCAAACAAGGGAGTTCACATAGTTCTCCAGGTTAGCATACCCATTTGATGCAACCTTCATACCATCCGAAGCGTCATTGGGATTAAGACCATTCTTCGTTTCCCACTCATCAGGAATACCATCACCATCTGAATCTTTGAGGGCAGCACCATTTGCAATCTCTCCAACGCCACCAAACTCCTTCTCATCAGAGATCTGCCCTCCCTTGGTTCCATAAGATTTGACCTGGTCGATAAGGGCAGTATCAACAGTATCTCTATGCAGCGAGTTTCCAACGCCTTTGAGGACTAGCTCGACGGCTGCCTGGGGCGTGAGGGCTGTAGGAGCCGGATAGTTGTATGGAGTCTTGACAAAATCAATGTCAGAGTAGCAACTGGCTTTCTCGCAAAGAGCAGCGCCATCAAGCTTGCCGTTGCGGTTGGAGTCGTAGAAGTTGTCCTTGACGTCTGAAACGTGATCAGCAACACAATCATCTGAGAGGGAAAAAGACTTACAAGCATGGAAGAAACTGTTGCCTCGAGTAAAGGCTGTGACGGTAGTATCCGGACCAGAGATGAAATAGTTGTTGATGATGTTAGCATAGCTGTCAGCTTGACTATCTCCAGCAATGTAACCGCCACCACCTCCCCAGTTATACACGACCTGTCCGACAGTGAGAAACTCATCCAGAAGTATCATCAGGATTACTCACATTGTTCTGAAAGTCGTTGACACCCTTGACCTTGGGGTTACGAGTCTTGTTATCAATATACAGATTGCGGAACAAGCTAACTCCACCATCTGTCTGCATCAAGCCACCACAAGAGTGTGAAACAAGACCTTGAGCAATGATGGTATTCTGAATAGTAACATTCGTGACGTCTCCATTGATAGAGAAAGTCTCGTCGCGGCCCCACGAGACGCTGACGTGGTCAAAGATGATGTTTTTACCGTCGGCAATACCGATGGCGTCTTTACCTGATGTTCCGCCTTTGCCCATACGGATGGTGATGTATCGCACAATGGAGTCATTGGCGTTGGAGAGAGACCAACCATTGCCGTAGACGACGATCCCCTGTAGATGGTTTAGTTAGTGTAACCCTAGAGGTTCTAGAGACTCACACCACCGGGAGCAGTTTGGCCAGCGATGTAGATGTTCTTAGACACGACGATGCGTTCAGAGATCTTGATAACTCCACCGACGTCAAAGACAACTATCCTGTTGGGCTTTGATACTGCGTCTCGAAGCGAGCCCGTTCCAGAGTCACTGTTCGATTTCATTAGACACCTCATATAAACAGGGAAAGAATCATCAGCGTACTTAAGGTTTGTCACTTTGTATACCTCACCTTGACGACCACCAACTGCATACCTACCAAAGCCCTCAGCTCCAGGGAATGCAAGTTGGGCTGCTTGCGCCACGGAACTGGCCGTCAAAGCGAGCAGCAAGGAAAATTTCATGTTGCTTGAGTATAAGAATCTTAAGTTGACGTGCTTCAGGTGCACCGGGTCTATCATCATTTATGTACAACAACCCCTAGTAGAACTTACATGGGGTTTCAAATATCCTCCAATGACAGCATTCGAGTCACGAAGAGGGAACCGAATTGCCTTGTTGGTAAAATTGCGGTGATGCAGCGATTGGTGGAATCTTACACAACTATTGCTGCAAATCCATTCCTATTTTGGTGAACTGCACTTTTGCAAGACTATGTACTGACATGTTAGGTTTGCACCATACCGTCAAGGCGGGTTCTGAGACTTAAAGATATAAAGTTACACAAAGAGAGAGACGTTTTGGCCCTGGAAGTCGAGTGTCATTCAAGGTAACTCAGTTGTCCTGTATATTCCATCCTTGCATACAGGTAGCCAAGGCACATGCCGGCCTTGAAAGTCAAGAAGCAGCACTTAGTGTTGATCAGAACTTTCCGAAGCCAAGCCCCTCATGATATCAAGTCATCGTGAATGTCAAGTCATCAAGCCTACTTGATGTACTCTGTGCTTTCAACAGCCTTAGCGGCCGTTCAAGTATTGCTCGAGCTTAGCGCGGGACGACCTGTCGAAAAGAAAAGGGAAAAGGTACAGACCGACAAAAGTAAATATATAGCGAGATAAATGATTGTCCAAATTCGTCTTCCGTCTCATGTCTTCAAAGGAGTAAATCTGATGACCAGCTTCTCGCCAATTGGTCTCGCCGTATAAGCATCTTCCTGCTCGATACCTTCATCATCTACAATGGACGTCTCAAAGTTGGCATAGATGAACGCCAAAATAAACTTCATCTCATTCATGGCAAAGTTGGAGCCGACACACATCCGTCCACCGCTTCCAAAAGCCCAGAAAACTCTCTGCATCTCGCGATGCTTCACTTCATCCTCTGGCGATTTCCGGGTTTTCTCTTCCACCCAACGCTCCGGGTTCCACTCCCCAGGTTCGGGGAATACTTCTTTGTCCCGGTGTAATGTATACGCCAGTGATGCGATCCTCACGTCGCCTGGAATATAATACCCTCCTATGCTACATCCATTTTTAGGTGTCTGGCGTGGTTGAGGTCCTGGAATAGGCGCGTGGAGACGCAGTGTCTCCGTGACAATAGCGTGTAAGAGTGATAGGGAATCGACTTTCTTAGGATCTGGCAAAGCCGACGTGTTCGTGATACCAGATGCAGCTTTTGGGTCAGTCATCAAAGACGGCTTAAGAGACTGGACCTCAGCATGAAGCTGTCGTTGAAGTTCTGGAGACTTTGAAATATGCCATGTTGCATAAGTGAGGGCAATTCCAGCAGTCTCCTGTCCAGCCAGAGAATGATCCATAACCTCAGACGCAATGGCTCGATCTCGTTGAAGAATGCTCGTGCTGTATAGGATGCTCTTTTCTCCATTGGTCTTGAACTCGCGATCTATCCCAGCAAGCAGTGAGTTGTAGACTACTGGCTCGTCCGAGCATTTAATGTCTTGACTGTTACCGGGGCTTTTTTTCGCCTTGGACGTCTTCCGGACATTCTCGCAGAGTTCCCAGTTCCAGTCGGAGAGTTTCTTGTTGGATTGATCAACCCATTGTGGATAGAGATTGAGCCACGGAATCCATCTTTTGCAAAAGTTTGTCAATTTTGGAACTTCTTGCGTCCAGAAAGGGTAGTTGGCCCGTGCAAGATACATGTCCTGCCAGTCACGGCGATAAGGCTCGTCAGCAATGAAGTTTGTAGCGTTAGAGAGACCAAATATGTAGGCAGTGATGAGATCCATGGCCGTTGCTAGATAAAGACCGAATACTTCGACATCATTGTAATCTGTAGATATCGGCTTGCGGGAAGATTCAAGAGACCCGTCAAGTGCGGGCAAGAGGCGGTTGACGAGTATCTCGGCCATTTGCAATTTACTCGCTTGAGATGATTGTATGTACGATTTGGAGTAAACGTTCGAAATCATCCTCTTTCTTAGGGAGTGAGGCTTTGAATTGCCAGTGGCAAACATGTTTGGAACCCTACAGCCATATTAATTCCACTGCCTCATAGTTCAGTATCACAAGTTGAAATTCTTACCCATAATTATCAAAGACGCTGTACCAGTGACCTTTCTCAAACCCCCCTTGATATATGGTTCGCATGCCTTCTAGACCGTCGACACTCACTTCATTTGGACCAATTCTAATCACCGGACCAAGTCTTTGGTGTGCACGATACAGTGATGTATTCTCTCGCCTCCACTTCCTTGCTGCTAATATCCAGAGAGGGCTAATATGGCATGTCCAGTGCGGTGCGGGTATACGAGATAGCGCGGAGAAAAAGACAGGATGGATGACGTATCTGTATATCAGCAAAACAGGCAGCAAGCCCAGAGCAGTAACCAAGATAAGGCCCATGTTCTTCTCTCGCGATATTGACGATGGATAAGCGTAGATATAGGAGTCGGTACAGAAATACTGAGGATTCTGAAATGTGAGGGGTTCATTAATAGTGCCATCGTCATGTGGCAGGTGGTGCAAATAGAGTTGGCAAGTATTCCCGGCGCGGGGTTTGATAAGACCTCGGAAGATACGAAGCAACCCATATCAATACAACTTGAGAAGCGCCATCCTAGAATGTTTATCTAGTGACATAACAAAGCCTGATCATGAGTGTTTGTATATATAAAGATGCGAGAAATTTCAAGCTAATAAATACCTACCTTATCTAGAATCTACCAGCACAGACCATATCTAACAAAGTGGTTGTCCGAAATTCATGTCACAAAACTCCGTCAGGCCCAAGATACTTCGATAAATGAATGGAATTATTGCAAACCTCCATTCTCAAACTACATACCTGAGACACTTATAATCAAAAGGCTCAAATCTTAGTACCTAGTTATTCAGAATCATGCCTGCTTAAAAAGGACTACGGGTGCCTATTCAGGAAAGTCAAGGTCAGTGGGTTGAAATATCCCTTTGTGGTATATGCACTGGAGAAGGAAGGAGCGAGTGTATTTTGGGCACCAGGGAGGTAGGCAGTCAAGGTGATTTGGATCTCTTTGACTGTTGCTTCTCTTCTCTTCTCTTCTCTTCATCATCATCATCACTCTTGAGAAAAGCATCATCAGCTTCACAATTTTTCAGGGATCACCATACCATTTCTAATTCTTTTCACTCTTCAAAAACCAGATCCTTCGGCTTCCAAAGCCCAACATGAATCAACTGCCGAACCATCCCAAAATTGGCTCCCTCCTGGGGAAGAGAAGACCCGTCATCAAGCTCTCCCCAAATTTCCGAAGCTTAGCTGGCGATGCCTGCGAAAGAACTCCGATGGACAAGTCCAAGATTCTTCCATGGTCCAAATTCACATTTAACAACATTGTGAATGCATACGGCGATGTTCTAGAACAGGCTGTAAGCAGCAAACCACCGGATGAGGTGCCAGAGATCGACTGCGAGAATCATTGCATGATGGTACAGATATGTTACAAGTCGTTCCACATACCCACCGCAATTAGTTCAGCCATCAGCTTGGGCAAATACATCCTCCGTCCTAGGCTCGGTACAGATACGAATCTGGCATGCGCTGAAGCGAGAGAATTGAGTAAGGAACTCCCTAAACACGCTCAGAAGTTGGATTTCGGCGACGAGGACCACGTTCAAGTCTTCTATGACCCAAACCAAAACAGCTGGCACCCCTTTCTTGCCACTAGCCTCACCGTACCCTCATGCACATGGGAGTCAGGCTCCCTCGTCACCGCAAATCGTGACAAACAACCCAAGCTTGGTCCTATCGAACAATTGGCTGCCTGTGCAAAAAAGACCAATACTTGTTTCTCGTTCATCTTGGGGGATAAAGATATTGTCGTCCTGCAATTCTTCAAGACGGAAACCGGGGGCATGGGAGTGTACTAGAAGGCTATTCCATGCGACACAGAGGGGGAGGACACACTGACAGCTAATTTGGCGATATGGACTCTGATCATGATGAGTCTGAAGATTGAAAAAAGTGTTCTCGTACCCAAAGAGAGTATAATTCATCTCGATCTCTGGAACGGGGTAGTTATGGAGCCACAGTCGGCGACAGCTCGTATTCACCCGTACTCTTATCGCGTATTGCCTGGGCTGCCGCCGGTAGAAATTTCCGCCGATTAAACACAATCACCAAACAAATTGAAGCAGACTTTGCGCTCTGAGGTCGGTAGGGGCAATACACGTATCGTGTACCAGCGCTAGCAAACAGTCTATCACATCAAAGGGAAAGCGCTTGGGTGAATGAACGTTATGGAGAAAGATCCATAGCATGATAGTCAACTTGTTACGTCTGTACTTAGTATAAGGGAAGCTGCATAAAATACAGCGTTCCAACTTTCTACTCTTTCTTCATAACCCTTTGGGTGTCTAGCATCAATTCGAAACTTGACCTTATTCCAATGAATCTTGTGGGGGGTGAATACTAGAAGCGCCGCTAAGGCTGTTGATATGAAAGACAATTATTATATAGGGCCCGACAACTTCACATTAATGATGATATTCCTCATGAGTTCTTAGCTCTAAAGTTTCTGATCAATACTAAGCACTGCTTCTTGACGTTCAAGGCTGGTATGTGTCTCAGATTAAGAACTAGGTTGCCTTACAAATCACTTTTAGCCTGACACGCTCGAAACCAGATATCGTTGCCAATACCTTGTATGTTGATGAAACATCAGCTTCCAGAGATGTTCATCCCTTACAAAACATTCACGTATCGCCACAAAAAATTCATACCGCTCACCAAGCCCGTGAGGCCAGTGTACAAAATCAGAATGCCATATCCACTTCCATAACCCCCAATAACCCTTCCCTGCCATGGTTGACCTCGAATGAGAGAACCACTCAATGGTCCAGAGATGATGTTTCCAACTCCTCTACCCACGCAGAGGTGTCCATGCACCATCACGGGGTCAATGTGCTCGTTTTCATCCTGAAACTTCTGCGTCACTTCTCTCATAATTCCTGGCCAGATCGAGGCCCAAGATCCTGCGAAGAGACCGTACATGACGCAGAAAACGTACAGGACAGGGAGAGATGCTGTAAGTCCCCAGACAAGTAGGACTGAAATACCCACGCCTACTGCCGATATGAGCATGCATGTCGTAACTGCAAGCTTATCGCTGAGCGATCCCATAACCATCAGACCGATTGTCGTAGCAATATTGACCAGAATAACTGTCAAAGCCGAGAGGATAGTTGAGGTGCCAAAGGTTGTTCGAGCATAAGTGGGCAGGTAGATCGTAGGGAGGAAGTAGCCTGTTGCCTCAACGACATTGACAAGTTGATGCAGAAGAAACACTCTGGATGTGACGAACCGCATATTGAGAGGCTTCCTGTGGATAGTGGCCGAAAGTGGTAGTCTGGGCTTGATGAAATATGCAATCGGAGCTGCAGTTCCAAATAGGATGCCCGCACATATTCTGACAGTGGTTTGGAAGCCATAGTTCTTGAGGAGCGTTTCGAGAATTAGAGGGAGTACAGCACCTCCAGCTCCAGCAGCACTCCAGACAATTCCATAAGCAAAGCCCTTACGACGAACGAACCACTCGTCGATATAGAGAGTACAAGGACAGTAAGCGAAGCAGCCTCCGATTCCAAAGAGTACTCCTTGTGTTGCTATGAGTTGAGGAACAGTTGTGCAAAAGGAACTCATGACCATGGCTAGGGATGTCACGAAGAGGCCTGCGTATGTGAACCAGCGGGCTTGACGAGGGTAGAAGCGGCATATAATGACAACGAAGGGTGCTCCAAGGTATAGCATGCCCTGGATCATGTTAGAGCCAGGGGGGATAAAGTGGGCAAGTATCTCACAGTTGTTGTGGTTCCAATAGCAGCGATGCTATTTGAACCCGCGAAAGGCTTATGGTGACTGTAGTATTCCTGAAAGACGCCAAATGAGAATCCGAAGCCTAATCGTCTTGTCAGCTCAAGTTTGTAAACCTTGTATAGACGAGGAAGATTACCAAATGTCACTGCTTCAACAACCCAACAAGCAGCTAAGAATAGATATGCTTTTCTCCCGCCATCAACAGGAGGCAGTGAGAACTCGGCATCGCTGGCTCGAGACTCGAAGCGTTGATCGAGGTTCTGTAACTGGACTGCGTTATCTGACACATTTCCATTGGGAGTAACGAGTTCGAGTGAGGTCTGTGACATTGAACAGTAGATCCCTTGAAGTTGATTTTGCAGTGAGAAGAAGGGAACCAAAAACAATGTTTGGAGAGAGTATTCGATATTTATACAACAACCAACAAAGTGCGCCTTCTATTAAACGTTACACTGCGCCTTTCGAACCTTGATGGTGCTTATTGAATTATCTCTATTAGCTTTCTGTTATTATTGTTCTTGTAGGGCGCGGAACGTAGGCGATATCGGCCGTGGGAAAAGATGGCTGACATCAAATGATACATCGGCTGCATTATCCGGTGGTGGTTTATCAATCCGAGTCACATGGATAAGCAGAATACGACCATTCCAGAGTTTGAGCTAATGCAAAGGGCTCGGGCTACTATTCTATAGGAAGGCGCTAACGTAATATTCTTATAAAATAGTCAAATTCGATGGTCAAATAGTTTCTAATTTGATAACGGCTGCAAGATCAATCGGATGCCTTGGTCTCCGAATTTGAAGGCCTTTCCTAATTTTGGAGGGGCTCAAGTCAGTACTCGGAGAACGGAGCGCCATATTAAGATTTATGGAGAGCAGTATGATGTTGTCTGTTCTGTATGAATCAAATTGAAAACCTTGGAGCTTCTAGAATTCTATAAAATGCGCCATATAGTCCAACAGGCAGGAAATCAAACCACGAACTCATTTAAGACACTTGTAATTCAGAACTCGGCTCTATACTCGTTCGCAACACCGAAAAGCCAACCTCAAGCATAACCTTGCTGCTGCTGCGGGTGCTGCTGCTGCCCAACCAAAGCCGAACTGCTCTCCATTCTATAACCCTCATAGACCTTGCTTTGATTCTTCTGTTTCTTTCTCAGGCCAAGATAAGGGAAGAAGAAGCAAGGATGGAGGATTGTAACAGCGCCGATAGAAATCAACATCATTGTTGCGTCGAACACGATGAATAGTGTTTCGTTTCGGAGAACATCTACTCCAATATCTGGGACAGTTTCGGCGATACTAAGTGCTAATTAGCCAGTGTAGGGAAAGGAGTGTCAATGGAATCTTACCGGTAGGCACATCGGATGATGATACAGGTATAAGCAATACCCAGGGCATAGACAAACCACTTGACTCTTTTTGCCTCCTTTAGCGTAGCCTCCTCTCGAGCAACAGGAACTGTCCCACGAGTTGGCATGCCGGTTGTGTACATATCAGTCGCGTTTCCCATCAACGGGTCTCGTTGTTTCATTGCCTGCTTTCGGCGCCGAGCGTAGAGAAGCATGAGCCCACCACAGCACAACATGTTGGCAACTTGAAAGGCGACACCACCAATAACAAGAGCCTCTCCAAGTTTCTGCGTCGTCTCTGATCCCTTGCCCATACTTTGCATAGCTGTGAGGCCACCTCCGATAATTTGGATGAAAATCGAGATAAAGTCTGTACCGACAAAAACTAGAGGATAAAGTCTGGGCTTGAGAAGAGACCATCTTGCCCCGTACCAAACAACGAGATGCTTGAACGTCACTGATATAGCAGCAGCGACGAGAGTAGGAGCTAGTAAGAGTGTAAGGTACTGCACGATAAAGACGTTCTGCTGCCATGGATTTCTTCCCAGCCCGAAGCGTCCAACATGGCCCGCGACTTCAAAGACTGTTCCGATGCCCAGCCATATCATGTACGACCACGTCTTAGCCCGGAACCCCTGGAATATCTGTGCGAGGAAGAGGAGTGCAAAAGCGATCGCGAAGAACCCTGAAGCTGGTTCAGAGAGATAGTCTTGGTAGATGGTGTATTCGACGGGGCAACGATCCGAGACTTTATCGCAGTCGTCGTAGTTTGGTGTCCATGTTTCGTTTTTATCACCCATTGTTGCGTAGATGTTAGATTAGGTCTCTGTGAGTACTGAGTAGTGAGAGATGGGTTAGAGTGTATTTAGAATCGGGGGACGAGCGGATTATATGCAAGTGAGACCACATCAAGACACTCATTAAACACAGCTCTCCGTAATCAATAGGACTATGTGACAACCCATCTGCAAGACACGGCCACTAAGGCATTCTTCTCCCAGCCACTCCGTCGTAGCTCGCAGATACAACCAAATTCGTTTAGATATGGGGGACTGACAGATAACCGACCAACAAGCACCTATCAAATCAACACTCCACGTGTATGAGCCCCATCTAGTCGTCAGCTTCGGGGAAAATAATGTGCTGAGATTTGCATAAACATAAGCATAAGCGCTTGGTGGGAGGATGTACTTGGAATTTCAGCCTTAAGCACAGCCTCTTACATCCATACAGAGCTGAGTTGTCGTAGATCCTTGTAGCGCCGTATAATCCCTTTTTGGGCAATAATACGAGCTTTCAGTGATATTTAAATTGCATTGGGTTTAAAATGCGATCGGTTTCACAAGGACCTTGACATCATGAACATCTTAAATTTTCGCGCTTGAAGTCTGAACTACATGAACAACAGCCAAGATCTCACAGTAACCTGGGCATTTTATTGTTCTCTTCTAGATTCCATCGGTTCAATGTATTGAATTTGGATTCTAGTATGCTAAATCGTAGTTGTGGATCTATTCGAGTAGCTACTACAAGAAAAGCAGTCCTTCAAACAAACTCTAGTTGCGAATATCTTCAATTCACTCATGATCAAATTCTCAAAGATTCTTGGCACTCGACTCCCGAATAAGGCCATTACGCGAGCAGTTGCTTGGGCCTTTTATCCAAGACACGGCATGATTGAAGCCCAGGCACCGCCAATTTCCAGTGGCAGTGCAAAAGGAATTAGTGACGAGAGCCAAGGCCAAAAGATGGAGTTTCAACCCTTGGCCTAGCGTCATGTTGATCAACATCCCCTGACCAGCCAAGACCACAGCCATAAAACATTAGATTACGCGGCGGCGCCCAAAAAAACACCTGATCCTTCTCATCTGCAGCTTACCTACACATCCATACTGATTCAGCCATGTCGAGTCCAATATGTCCTATGCCACTGGGCGAAATCGTCAGGGATATGCTGGGGAAAGAGAAGGAGACGAATCCGGTTAAGAGACTTTATGATGATGCTTTTAAAGCGGATATCGGGAGGTGGATAGCTTCATGTGCTGTTATTGGGCTTTCGGCGGGGATAATATCTAAACATCCGGGACATAATTTGCTTGCTGCATCAGCGTACAACCTTGCAGTCGTAGGTTCACTCACCTGTATATATATATATAAGCTTGCTGACCAGACTCAGGGAGCTCTACATTTCTTTGCTTTCAAGATACCAGTCAGGCCACAAGGTCTCAGCAATCCAAGACCGCCAATATGGTATGTTTCGATTCTGGCCCTTTCAACTGTAATGTGGCTTGCCGCTCTTACCGTCATATTTGTCCTTCGGGAGGATATAGATGCGTACAACGAGTCAAGTCTCGGCAAGCGAAGGACGGGCTTTGTTGGTGACATATCTACTGGAACAGTAGCGATGCTTGACAACCTTAGCATTGCTTGTGGCTGTTTTGGCATTTGTGCATTGTAAGTAGCCCCCTTACTGGCTCTCAACTTTTATTTAACAATTTATAGTTTGTTTTGTGTATATCAGTGGTTCATTGTTCATTATCTTTACTCGACAAGATTCAAGAAGACTGAAATGCGAGAGGGATATAGGAAGATCAAGAAGATCGAACCTCCCAAGGATGGCCCATCAACAGCTGTTTAGAATTGATACCCGATGCCCAAATATTTACGAGCTGGCTTAACTGTTTCAATATAGACTACTTGACTTCTGCTTGCGAATGTCGATAGGCAGTTGCCATAAGGGCTGCATCTGACTTAATTTCCAGTCACTCCGACTTTCCATCATTTTCAGTGATTGCAAAGACTATAGCCAAGCGTCTCCGGTATGTTATTTTGTCTAAGGGTCTTAATATTGGATGTAATGTCACTCAGTGCTTTGTTGCTTACAATCATTATATTGCACTTAGAATCAATTGGTAGAGCCACAACTAACTAGGTTACCAACCAAGAAGAAACCGGAAATTAATTATTTATATTATGTCACTGAAAACTTGCTGTGATAGTTTACTATCCATGTTGTGAACCGTGGCGCCGGCGGGCCTGTGTTGGTGGCCTCATGAGAGTTAAGACCAATCAATGACTGCAGCACAATTATCAACGGAGTTTTTTGTGATCGGGAGAGCCTTACCGCTGCGTTATATGGTATGGTATGGTCTTTATGCTGGAGGCCGACCTCGTTGTTGGCAAACACCAATGGTTACTGCCACTTCTGCCTGTTGCTTGTTGGTCCAGCCGGTGAATGGGCAAAAACTGTAACAAAGGAAATAGGCCTCCGGACATATGCAAGATGAGAGTCTTCTTTAACGGTATAAATCCCTTTGCTTTTGGTAGGAAATCACTCTCAATTCTACTCAAACTGTCGTTAATCAGTAGCGAATCTCCAGCCTCCAACATGTCCTCCGACGCTGACGCATCAAGCTCTAGCCCTGGCGAACATGCTACCTCTATGCAAGGTGATCAAGCAAAGACACAACCAACCATGAAAGCCGGCACTGAAGTTCCAGAGCCTGAGAGATTTGCTCAAGAAACTATCCGCGATTATCTCTTGGAGAACGTCGAGGAGTTTCACTGTCTCCATGAGTTGAGAAGAAAGGTATGTCTGTGACAAAGATACTGAGCAAGGAGAACTGTTTAATGAGAAAGATAGGGCTGGGAGACAAGTGGAGGTGACACTCACTTCAAGAAACAACGAGCAGCCGCAGATAGATGCAACGCGAACAGTGCCCAGTTCTTGTACACCATGATGAAGACGATCGCAAAAGACCTCGATAAGGCAACTGGTGCTCTGAACCTGTCTAGGGTCGAACAGCCGGCTTTGCTGGACATGTGTGTAGCCCCAGGTGGCTTCGTTGACGTAGCCTTGACCAAGACACCTGGTTGTCACATCAGAGCCATGAGTTTACCCGTTGAGCAAGGTGGACACGACATCAAGATGCTCGATGCACAAGTGAACGTGGAGTTTCGCGACATCACAACGCTGGCATCCGATATGGGTGTCACCAAAAACGATGTTCCGTTGAACTTTCCAGGACCATATGACTTCTTATTCGAAAAGGTCTTGGGCGATAATGAGAAGTTTGATCTCGTCTTCTGTGATGGTCATGTCCTGCGTACTCACCCCCGTGCAGAATGGCGAGAGCCCCGAGAAGCGACTCGTCTAACCCTTACACAGACCGCCCTCGGCCTCGAACATCTGAACAACTGTGGTACAATGGTGATCTTGATGCACAAGCTCGACAGTTGGCGAAGCTTCGACTTGATCCACCAGTTCAGCAAAATGGCAACCGTCAAACTGTACAAGCACTACAGGTACCACAAGATCAGATCTTCATTTTATCTTGTCGCAAAGAATATCCAAGTTGACAGTGCATTTGCGAAGGAGATGGTTGCGATGTGGAAGCAGAGATACAAGATTGCAACGTTTGGTACTGATGAAGAGTACGCTGAGATGCATCGAGTCACTAGAGAGACTGCGCTGGTAGAGCTTGAGAAGTTTGGGGAGAAGTATGTTGCTATGGGAAAGAAGATTTGGAAGACTCAGGCTGATGGGCTGGAGAATACGCCCTTTTTGAAGAAACACACGAAGGAGCAGGGCAAGCGCAGGGCAACGGAATGAGGTGACGATGGGAGATGGGGGTAATACGGGAAACATATTATGTAAATCGATCAGTAAGACCTCAATCTTTTGAGCCCTCATCGGAAGTGTCATAGAAGAGGCTTCACGCCAGGACAAGTAGAGGCTCTCGTTGCAGTTCCGGCTGCATGTGCAAGCAAGGGTGCTAAACAAGACTACCATAACAGTACGACCAGATAAGATAATCTAATAAATGACCAAAGACCTCGGATCCTCAGGATGATCAGTAGCTGACTAGTCCTGCGTCTCTAACACCGGAGGCAAAGATCAGCAAAACGACTCCGACTTCGCCCTCGTAGAGCTTTCAGCGCAGTTACTTAAACACAACTCTCATCCTCATACATCTATTAAATCAAATATCATTTCTATTGTATAATTGAAATGGCCGAATATAGACATTATGCAACACCCCATCCCGAATGGGTCGATGTACGCTAAGTCATGCGTAAACTTCATGATATTTTTACTGACCCCATCAGTTCCCAAACAATCTCCCCCCAGGCACAAAACCAATCTTGGGCATGACCAGAGACCATGATCCGATTATTCCACAGGAAGGTCTCGATATTTACGAAATATATGTCCCTGTGCGCGATAATACGCCTATTACACTGCGCATCTACCGTCAAGCTGCTAACCACCATGCGCTTCCTCTATTTCTCTACATGCACGGAGGTGGGTATGTCACAGGTGGTCTTGAAACAGACGATGCAACATGTCGAGTACTCGCGTTAGAGATTCCTGTCGTTGTTGCAAGTGTTGAGTATCGACTTGCTCCTGAGCATAAGTTCCCCGTTGGCTTTGAAGATTCCTTTGACGTCGTCCGCTGGGTAAGGTACAGTGCTGCCAAACTACCACCCGCTAACATTATATGCAGGCTGCATCGTCAGAGGGCCAGAGGAAACTTAACACAGACTTGTCCAAGTGCTTTATTCTCGGTGGCACGTCTGCTGGCGCCAACTTCACTGCCGGAATCTCGCACCTGGCTTGTGATGAGGGCCTCTCTCCAAGAATCACCGGTGTCGTGTTTCTCGCCGGGAGCTTCTGTCACCCAGACATGAGACCGAAGAAGTATCTGGATCGTATTCTGAGCGTTGATGAGATCAATGATGCACCTGGCCTCACGCGAAAGTCAATTGACTACTTCGCAGGTACAATACATTCTGGCAATGCTCTTCACTCAATACTGATCATGCAACAGAACTATATGGTGCTCCCCCAACAGACAAGCGACTGTCCCCTCTTCTATTCGATTCCCATGCTGGTATAGCAAAGAAAGCATACTTTGCAATCTGCGGTTGGGATCCGCGACGGGATGAAGCTATTCTTCTCGATCAACTGCTCCAAGAAGTCGGGCTGCCAACCAAGTCACACATCTACTCAGGGTTACCTCATGGCTTCTGGACGACTTGCCCTGACTTGCCTGTTTCCAAGAAGTGGCTGCAGGATCTCCTTCAGGGTGTGCACTGGTTATTAGAGTAGAGGTAAGCCGAAAGTATAACGGGGGTGACGGTGGGCAAAAGACGAAACATACTCAATTTGTTCCAAATCAGCTAATCAGTACCATCATACATTCTGCCCTTCCTTTGCCTTCTAGTGTACCCTTTGGCAATTCCCAAAATCAAGCCCAATATGCTTTTCCACAATTTCCGAAACAAAAATCATGATATCCTACATTTTCAGCTTCTCCATCTCCTCAGAGAGAATACCCTCCTCTACAACCTTGACCTTAACCTTCATTCCCCAAGGCTCATCATCTCCAATCCAGTTCTTCTTCTTTCCAATCTTTTCCACATTACTCGCCGCATTCTTGACAGCCTCTTTTGTTCTTGCTGGGTCATCGTGTGTCTTCTGTACCGAGATTGTGAGCAGAAGACCTTCCTTATTCTTCTTCTTGCCCAAAGTGTACGACCACTGAGAAGTGAACACCACGCGTGGCTTCGACTTGTGGATCTTACCGGCTGGGTAGAGCGCGGTGATGAGTTGTCCGACCCTGCCGAGGTATGATGCCCACCAGACTTCCTCAGGCGTGAGCATGTCACGAAGTGACTCACGGAACTCTAGCTCACGAGGAGGAAGTTCACCGTCATATCTGGACTCGAGCATCAAGGCCAACCTTGCTCGATCTTGGTGCGAAACACCATGGATCGCAGACATGTTTCCGACACTGGTTGAGTACAGCGCCGTCGTCGAGGCCGTCTCCTTACTCATGAACATGTGGAGATACATCGCATTGGCGAAGGAGTCAACAACAGGCTCGCCGAACTCCTCTGGGAACTCCTTCTTCTTAGAAGGTTTCGGGATTGCGTTCTTGAGCAATTGCTGAATGAGATGTCGCGAACCCGGGGCAAAGTAGCCTGTGGCAACCTCTAGGGGAGACTGAGCTCGAATAGATGGTGAAAGCTGGCGGAAGAGAAAGCCTTCTCTTACACCACCTTGACAAAAGTGTGCCTCTTTGATTCCTCCAGGAATTGATTCTGAAAGAACATTGACAAGGAACGCGACCGCGGGAACCTGGGATCTTCGACGATCAGAAACACGGAAAATGTCTTTCGCGGCATGAGCGACATGCTTGAGAGCCTCAGTGTCCTCAAACTGTTTGCGCTTGGCAGTGTATCCATTGATAATGGAAATGGGATAGTAGCTGCCATCCGTCTGATTCAGGTACAGGAGCAAATATCCCCACCCCCTGAAACCACCTCCGGAGAGATAAATACGGTACCCGCCTTCCTTCTCAGCCTTCTCGGTCATCTCGGCGGGGATCTGCAGATTGTTGTATGCGTCCTTGAAGTTGGCGATCATTTCCTTCTCAAAAGCCTTGACAGCTGCATCGGCTTCATCCTTCTTCTTACCGTCACGAAGATCGTGGAGCTTCTTCGTCAAAGCAGCAGCTCCATATGGGAAACTGAAGCTGCCTTTGGGACTCATGCGAACCTGACCGCCCGAGCTGAGCATCCAGGTAATCTGGGTGCTGCCACCGCCAAGGTCCATTACCAGGCCCTCCATGTCAGAGAAGCCACTGGCGATACCTAGGGCACCAATCTGGCCCTCTTCCTCTTTAGGTAGAAGCTCAACTGTTAGATCAGTTTTGTCTTTGATAGCAGCCAAGAACTGCTTCGAATTGAGGGCAGCGCGGGTGGCTTCGGTCGCGATAACATGGATATTCTCCTTCTTGCACTGAAAGTCCTCGCAAATAACAACGAACCGACTCAAGACTGAAACGACAGACTCGATGACATCGTCAGGGATGGGAATCTGATCTCCAGTCTCGGGATCATATTGAGAGTCGTACAGAGAAATGGAGGCGCGATATTGGTAAACGGTAGGAAGCATACGAGCCAATGGGCTCGAAAGGTCGGAAATTGAGAGACGAATTCCATTGCTGGTGATGGCATCACTTGTCAGTTTCTTTGTTGCAGTCGATGGATTGTCTCTATTTTCTCACCTGCCCATGTCAACAACACCGACTAGCTTACCCGCATGGCCCTGCCACGGGGGATGACCGCCCTGAAGATGCGCATACGGCGGCTGCGCATCCTCATCGTCGCTGCTCTCATGGCCAAACTCGGCGATTGGGTCGATAACTTCAAAGTCGGAGAAATCCATCGCGGGCTGTCTTTGTTGTGGAGGTGAAGATGCCCGTTTGTCGTTGATGACGTTGGCAGGTGCAGAGCTCCCCGGTATTTAAGGTGGTCGGTGCCTCTATTTCAGGGAGCTTCCCGTCCTCAGAAGGAAAGCTAACGCCCTGCGGCGGGTTTCAGCTGTGATGGGACTGCCCTGACGTACGCCAACCTTAAATGAGCTTGTCCGGAAATCGAACCAGTTACGGTTGAGCACAAGCTACGTGATTGAATCAAGTCATTGGCCAGGGTAGAGATAAGCACGAGATCGAAGACCTTATCTTGACGGATTGAGATCTCGACTGTCATTCAATCTAACTTCTCTATAAACGGTGAGGCAACAAGGCTAATAGGCACAAGAATAAGCCTCAAATCAACAATTTACTTCAATTGCCAACTGTGAACAAGATCAATTGCTGAAAAGCAGCAGTGAACTATCACCATCTACAACAGGTCCAGCCATCTCCATTCCCAGCCCATAAAGGTCAGAAAGACTTATGGTATTTATCCTACGTCACAAAATATTTAGTTAAGTTTATCCTAAACTTAGGATTTCCTTTGACTAGTTTATTTAAACCCCTGTTTACCGTGGGTTCCATTCCTTTAGTTCCCCAAGGGCAGCAAAACTTCAATGAAGAGCGTTCAGCTGTTCCTTCAAAAGCGTTATCTTATGAATGTCGACGGAGGCGCCGAGCTGTTTCAACAACGTATCTATGTTTGCATATCGTAGAGGGCTCATGCCCTGCAGCAAGCGCTTTGACGACATCGTCAGTGTAGGTCATGAACGATTCGAGGCAGCTGCGGATGACAAGCAGAATACGACGAAAGTCGGCGGAGGATACCGACGTATCGTCGGTAGCGAGCGCTTGTTGATGCGAGGATTTTGGAGTGCATTCGCTGGACAGTCGAGAGTACCGAACGAGAGCCTTCACCTGGTCCAAAACCACCTCTGAGTGAAATTCGGCTGATGTAATTTCATCGAGGCAGGCTCTCAAGACAAACCGAAGGGCGTGGCGTGGGAGCTGATCTCCCTTGTCTTGTCCTGGGTCTCGTTGTCGACGACTGTGCATAGAGCTGTATGCACGGCAGAAACAAGGGCCGGAGTTAGCTACCTTAAGACAGGATCGATGTTCTGAAAGGGAAATGGGTCAATAATAGTCAACTGTTGGTGTTTACAACAGATCATCCCGTGGCTTCTTGAACGAGTTAGATTGCTACTTCATCGGCGATTGATGTGACAAATTCGAAGAATGCATTCTCACCAGAAGTTTGTGTCTCGATAGTATCCTTCTGGCCTGGTCTGTCCAACTCGTATAGCATGGCTTTAATCTCCCAGGCTTCTCAAATCTCATCTTGAGTGTTTCCCATATGAGGCGGATCTTGTTCTGTAGGTCCTCTGGCTTGGTCAGGACCAGCCCATGATCAGTGGCAGTCTTGATAGTCTGGTCCTCGGCCACAATCTTTGGCACTCGATGGGGTTGTTTTGCCTTTGGAAACGGGTTTTCTGACCTTGTCGCCATCGTGTTTGACTCTCTGGTTCTCACTCCCGTCATTCAAACCTCAACTTGAATGTTTCCCAGATGAGGTGGCATTTTTCCACAGTTTCTCCAGCTCATAAGACAGCCAGTAAGCGGTGCTCAGCTTCATCAACTCGTCCCCGTGCTGGACCACGACTCGTCACGGTTGCGAGGGGCGACAACATATGGCCCTTCCTTCTGGAATCCTGAGATATGTCAGTTGCGGTTCATCTGTGCCACTGACACAATTGCTTCCTCGAGGAGAGGGGTCCAATACGCAAAGTGAATGCGTGGTCCTTTCCCATAGGATAGTGGTGTTTTTCTTCTCTGTAGCCGAAGAGTTGCCAGGTGTTGTGGCAGTCCACCAGCTGCAGGTGGCGCCTGGTCCAGAACAAGGGGTATGTCTGAAAGTCGTAATTCTCAACACTTAAAGCGTGGAGGGACTTGTTGATTATCTGTGCCCTGTTGATCCTGCTGTTGGGTCGATGTGCTTGGCTCTCTGTTACTTGTTCGCGTGGGTAGTGATACTCCCAGAATTCAGGATAAAAGAACGCTTGCTCTGCTGGGATTCGACGATGATAAAGACGTCCAGGATCAAATTGTCATCCCACGAAATAATTCGCTTGATTGAGAACGTGTTTTTAGGTTGGATTGAAGACGCACATGACGCCTGAGCCGCGGCCATTGACACATCGAGCGGTCTGCCGTTGCATCTTCACCTTGGGCTGAATCCTCTTCCCGTTCGCGAGAGAACTTGTCGGGCTACCTTCCAAACCCGATACCGACTTCAATATAGTCATTGGCAACCATGACGTTTTTGATAAGCTCATCCCCGGCTGGGAGATTGGGATACAGTGCTAGGTCTGGTTTGTCGGTAGTGCAGGTATATACGTTTATTGTAGTCAGGTTTCATTCGACTTGGCTGAGAGTATATACGTCTATCAAAAAGCTCTGTCTTGATTATTTATATATAAGAATATCTCAAGGCAAAGAGAGCTAGTAAGTAATTATGAAAAAGGAGAAGGATGAAGGTTTCAAAAGCAGGAGAGTAGTAACATATTTATACCTGAAAGCACAGGCAGAAGTGCATTGCAAACACACTGCATACCACAAACTTTGAACCATGAAAACTCTAACATTTGAGAAAAAAACAATCAACAATGAAAGCTCACTCAAAGATACAAATTACTCAGAGCGCGTCTGGTGTCTACTTATCTTTATGTGTGTCTAAGAATTACTCAGCGTGCAGCTATGTTTGCTACCATCGGCAGAAATGGCTTCTTGTTGCAGCTTGTTTGGTATGCATAATAAAACAATTTGTTTCGTTTGAGCAATAGATAAATTATTGATATGGATCAATATTGAGCAAGCATCATGCAAGGTCACTTGATTTGACTGTGATTCACTGTCATCAGGTGTCGGGCATCATGAAGGTATAAACATGCTCGGACTACCTCGTTTGCTGTTTGGAATTTTCCTTCCTCCTCATTATCATTTACTCCTTCTTCAACTCAAATAGACTTTTGTGACGGCAAGCAAGAGAAAAACTTGTCAAACAGTGTCAGTGATTGATCTGAGGTCGTTTTCAAGTCACCTACTTCAGTCATGACAACCAACCCGTGGCCCACGAGCTCGTTGCTTCTCATGATTCAGTTCAACTTTTGTTTAGAGAGTCTATACCTCTTTCTATCTTTTTGTTCTTGTTCAACTTACTCCACCTTCTGGATTCCCATCTCTCTCCTTTCTATCGACGATTCGCAGACATCGCCAACTTCTTGTCATTCTTCACAAACAGGTCAGCATCTGCTCGTTGGTGCGCCTGTACAACGTGCATTCTAACAATGTTCATATGGAGTTTTCTAAATTTGTAGTCAGAGCCCGACATCATCGGCGTGAAGTGCATAATGGTTAAAGACACGAGCGGCAATATCAATGCCATTATCACTCGCATGCACGCGCTATCGACCAAAACGCAGACTTTGGACCGAGGGTCGAAGACTGGCCCGCATCTCTTCACCGATGTCATGGAGAGTGGCTAAGGCGTCGTTGTGCCTCGAGGGGTGTCTGGATTGTCGACACAACGTGACGTCGACATGGCAGATACTGCACATGGTCCTGAAGACGGAGATGACGACTACCCAATGCGACCATAGATACCGTCGAGGAAGACGAAGACGAAGACGATGAAAATGTTGAAGGGTTCGATGAAGACAACATCGTCGCTAACCTGAACACCCTTCATGGCTGCATAGTAAGTTCATCTCATGGCACCAAGCTTAACTCGGCGACTAACTGAGAGTTCGTGATAGATCGCCAAACATGTTGCGCCGCACATAGGTTACATACCCGGCCTCAAGCCTGGTAACATCCTCTTCGAACACCGGCGACAAGCAGTGGGAGCCGCTATGCAGTCACCTGCTGGCCCATTCAAGGGCATGATACTGGGGGATCCCCTAGGGCTCCGCAAGACCCTGGTAACGCTCGCGGTGGCTGCTTTGTCCTGGAATCCTGGAGATATCTCCTCACTCATCGTTGCACCTCTTTCATGTTGTAACCAGTGTGGATGGCTGGGATTGATGCTTTCTTTGATGGAGTAAGACTAGCCGCAAGGCGGACAAATATCAGGCAAGGGTATCGGTCATTGTCATGAAAAGTGTGAGACACGGCTATCAGCCTGCTATTTGCCTTTTAGGAGAATCCGTTTCCCCTTTCGACCTGCGGAAATACTGGGTCGCGATTACATCCTATTCATATCTTACTGCGGAGGTGAACCGTGCCGCAAGGTTCCAGGATGCCATCAAAGACTACAATGTCGTGCTGGCGACCCTCTTCCCAAAGAGACCGAGTTGTTCCCCCGTTCTGGCAGCCTGGGGTCAGAGCCACGGAAGCCGATCGGAAAATCCATGATCCTCGACGAGGCTCATGTTATCAAGAACCGCAACACCCGCACATTTGCTGCCGTCACTGCACTCCGCGAGCAATTCGAAGGTTGTCTAACCTTAACAGGAACGCCTTTAGACAACACATGGGAGGACGGTTATGCCCCGCTGAGTCTACTGAAGGGGCACCCTATTACCAGCTTCAAAATATTCCAGAAGATCTTTAAAAGTTAGGGGAAAGCCCCTCAGCATCCCATGGGGAAGTACATGATCCGCCACATCCAGATACTCGACGCAGCCAGCTTCTTGAACCCAATATCCAATGTCACTTTCCGCCCAGGACTGACATTGTGCGACACTTCGCTCTCGACTCGGACGACAGACAAAAGGCCAATCACGCTTTCATGGATTACAAGCAACTCATCTTGTCGAGGAGGAGAAAGAAATCACGAAGCAAGAAGGCGTGTGGCAAGGCCCCTTCGACGCAACAAGAAAGACGATGCTGCAGGTTGTGCGCACCTCATCAAAGCTCAACAATACGCATATCATCCTATGTTGGTGCAGCTTCAGGTTGCTCATAAAGGTCTCACGGAGTACATGAGACAGGAGGACATCGACGACGCTCCTCCTGGCGACACTGACGCCCAAGCTCTCGCGCAGGTTTCTGAGCGGTGTCAGCTGCTAGAGCAGGGGCGTAACTCACTTTCACGACGTGTTAGGGTGGTACTTGATACCATATGACAGCATTTTGATGGTGAGGTGGTGTTGGAATTGTCGTGTTGGCCACATAACTTTCGTGAGTGCAATTGCCACGATGTCTAGGAACCAAACGCTTTCATCAGCAATAATGAATGAGTCGTCTAGGCGCACATCAAGAAGGTAACCCAAGCTGCGCCGTCACCTGCCCTGCCTGCCAGTCGGGGTACTGATGGTCCAAGACTCAACTTGCAGTTTGCAAGTGTTGGCATTTGATGTGGACGATGGTGGAAGAAGGCATGGGAGGAGCAAGCAGCTGGACGAGTCCATCTACGAAGAGAGCAGAAGCCAGTCTTCATTTATGACCTCAGAGCTCGGACTGTGCCTTTGGGAAGTACAAGATGGAGGTACAAGGCAAGAAGAACAAGATCAACACCTGTATCCTTTCCGCCATCACTAGAGATCGAAGCCTCATCAATGTGGCACTTTACTGCTTGGACTGGAGCAAGTGGCGGACTAGGAGCGAGGGTCTGGGTGAGCCATAGAGCTCATAAGAAGCTTGCTATCAATATGGTACGATTACGCGGGACAAAGGATAATAGTGGTAAAGTTTTAGGGTATCTGATCCTAAGGAAGGCCTAAAGTATGACAACTTTCTCAAAGGTTAGAGAATTCATCTCACATTATGATCCTGATTTGACCATGCCGTCGTAATTATCTACAGAATTGTATTTAGAGCATAGTCACTCATAGCCTTCAGTTCGACTTTTCATGAGACATTGCTTCGTCGTCCGGCTTGCTAGTTCGTTCATTTTATTTACCGTATAGCCTATATACACCTTTACTTACCTGTAATGGACTCGAAGAAGTGAGAGAGAACCTGTAGCGACCTGCGCCATGAGGCCCCTCTATCGTCTAGGTGACCCAAGCCTAGACCAGCAATGCTTCTCTACCCAGTCAAACATCATGTCATGTAAACCCTCATGCTCCTCAACAACAGGTGACGCATCAGCATAAGGATCCTCCTCCACAACTTGAGCGATCCTCTCCGCCGTACCAGGAGGAACAACTTCCTGCAGCTCCAGATCCCAGAGCACACTAACGACCCATCGTTGACAAAATCCACCTGGAATTCTTCTAGCAGAAGCCTTTACCTTTCGTGCATGTCGCGCTGAGATTTCAGCGACGTAATACCAGTGGTCGACGTCCCAGCTTTTTAGTCGTCCACTTTCGATCACAACTTCCCAGGGCCTGCGTTTCGTGGGACCACCCAAGGAATGGTAACATGTTGCGTACTCGGCGTCTCGATCGGTGAGCATGAGAATCCAGTGGCTGGGACAACCTTCCATAGGCTCTATGCAAACGCCGATGGTTAGCTGTAGAACGTCGGAATAAGATCCGCGACGGCCAGAGAGTCTTCGGAGAGACATTTCCTGTTTTGTGTCATAGGGGGGATGAGGCTCGGTCGACGAGTGTATGGTTGGTGAGTAATATCGTCGATCGGATGAGATTGATCTGAGGATGACGAGAGACAAGAAGTGCAGTGAATGAGGGTTCAGTTTAAATATTCCTGTAGTTGTTTGACAGATTTTCTTTATCTTGAACAATGATAATGCATCCTCGAACACTCGAGATCACTGAACAGATGAGGTTGTCCAGCCTTGTTCCTTGTCCCTGCACTCATTTTGAATCTGAACACTCACCAAATACTTACTAGCAACTTGTCTCTGGTTTGTATATCATTACTTGTGTTTCATTTCTTTGCAGCGAACACAGAGGCCCGGAAAGGACTTGGACATATAGTGGCGATGTCCTCGAAATACAGCATTTTAGGTACAGTGCCCATTATCTCGGCATGGTTGTCTTCAGCGACTGATCACTGGACTTCCTTTGCCCTTTTTTTATCGTTCCGATAATCCAGATGACTTGAGGGGTGGTCAAATGAAACTTCATTTCAGCATCGCCAGATTGTGTCTGTGATTAAGCCTCGCGAGAATTACTTGACAGCAGTGTTGTGTTGCACAAACTCACCGGTCAGATCATTTACATGAAGCGACATCAAATAGCCTTTATTTTGCAATAATAAGCAATTTTCTTTGACTAAATGATGTTATTCCCGACTAAGCACTCGTGCTCAATAAAGGGCGTCTTGACAATCCACTAGTTTTCTCTTTTCTTTAGACAGAGTGGGCACAAACTCAATCTCATTCAACCACAACAACCAACATAAAAATGCCGTCCAAAATTCTCATTCTTGACGGTGGTCTCGGTACCTCTCTCGAGTCCAAGTACTCTATCACTTTCTCCCGTTCAACGCCGCTCTGGTCGTCTCATTTGCTTGTTTCTGACCAATCCACCCTCCAATCATGTCAGAGCGATTTCGGAGCTGTCCCAGTTGACGTGCTCCTCACGGCGACATATCAGGTTTCCCTTCATGGTTTCGCCGACACTCGCACTGATGATTTCCCTGAGGGTATTCCTCGTGAAACTGTTCCGCGGTTTTTGGATGATGCTGTCAACATCGCTCAGCGTGCTGTGGGGGATAAGGGTTGTGTCGCTCTGAGCATTGGACCTTATGGAGCTTGCATGATTCCAGGTCAGGAGTATAGCGGGAAGTACGATGCTGAGCACGACTCCCTGGCTGATTTGGAGGCATGGCACCGTGAGCGCTTGGGGGTCTTCGCTGAGGTTTCTGATATACAGAAGCGAGTAGGCTATGTTGCCCTTGAGACTATTCCCCGCGTTGACGAGATCATCGCCATGCGCAAAGCTCTCGCCGCCACACCAACACTATCTGATCTCCCTTACTGGACGGCATGTCTGTCACCTGAGAAAGACCTCAAAATGCCTGACGGCAACTCCATCGAAGCCGCCGTGGAGGCCATGCTGGATCCTGAAGTCTCAACCAAGTTGCCATGGGGTATCGGTATCAACTGCACCAAGGTCGACAAGCTTGACCAGCTACTCCAAATCTTCGAACGCACTGTAGCCGGTATGGTCGAGAAGGGCAAGATTACTGAGTGGCCCGCACTGGTGCTGTATCCTGATGGTACAAATGGAGAGGTTTACAACACAACAACACAAAAGTGGGAGATGCCAGACGGTGTTGAGGCTCATAGGCGCTCATCTTGGGAACACCAACTCGAGACAGTCGTGAAGGCTACGGAGGATAGAGGGAATTGGCCTGCCATCTTGGTCGGTGGATGCTGTAGGGCTGGAAGCGAAGATATCAAGAAACTTCGCGATTGTCTCGTGAAGTAGAAGCTTCCATCAATACCAAAATCACAATGCTATGAAACAAAATTAAGACAGATTGCATGTCTAACAAAACAAGATATGAAAGACGTCAACTACAAAGAGGCTACGGCAGGCAAGAAAAGTAGGGATTTCTATCCTAAGTGATAAAAGGATTTAGGTAAACTTAGGCAAAGTTAGTATAGACTTAGGATGCCTTTAGATTGGCTATTTTCACCGCCCCCTAAGAAGCGGCTATGACCATCAGAGCGTCAAACGATATACATGACAGACCCTTGTGCGTGAACTGGTAGAGGCAAACAGGCACAGATAGCACAGTTTTGCATTTTCGTCTGAACTTTTGGATTCTCTTACCCCTCACTAATAATATTTGCTCCGATTTCTACTTCTTCTTCATGTTTACACCTGACCCTTCGTTAACCCGGGTCTTCGTTCTCTTCACACGGCCGCTTCAAGCAGTGCGAAATATCTCACTTGGTCTAGTCTTCTCCAATCGTACGAAGTCTTATCTTCCTTTTTCGTTCTCAGTATCTGACATTTATCGCAAACGTATAGGCCCGTCATTTTGCAGAAAAGAGAAGGCGTGAACCCTAAACTCCGCACCCGAAAAGCATCAAAACGGTAGACATGGATCTCCATCACAGCGTAAGTGCTCTCGACTATCTTAATCCGATGAGACTTCTCTAATATTATTATGTAGCCGCCTCGGAAGAGATCCAAGTCCTTCCATGCTACTTCTCGGGTCATCGCCCAGTTCGCTCATCCAGTGCATGCGGAAACTGTCCCCATGGATATCGATCGCCCAGAACATGCAACTCAAGATTCTACTACTTTAGTGGATTCTTCTGGCGTTACTGCAGCAAACTCGGGTATTCTGCATCATGAGGAGAGCCACATCTCGCCCGAGGAACGCAGGGTCAAGGCCTACACTCGTTCGATCGTGCCGGCTCCTAACACCCAAGACACTGCCACAAATGACATATTCGCTTACCACATGCCTAAGTTGTACGATGTTTCTTTTTTTTATTATGTAAAGGGAATGGAAAAGGGCACGAACCAGCCCGCCTTTGCTCGAACTGCATCGAAAACGCTTTTTGTGTTCATTTGCAGCGAGTCCGTTGAAGAATTATCACTTTATTGTGCCACGTACTTCTCCCTCGACAAATCACAGATACCCCAGCTTTGCGCGAGAGCTGTTATGCTCTTGGAAGAAGCCAGATACTTCAAAGAAAGTGCGCTCAACAGTTGGGAGATGATGGAGTATGCTCATGGTGGCACCACCTCCGTGGAATTCCATGTGTACTTCTAGGTGAGGGAACTGGTTGAACTCACGGACAAGATGAAACTTGAGATACAAATGTATCTTCCCTGGAGAGACTTCATCACGCTTGCAGAGGTAACGGCTCCTTTGCGAAATGCTGGCTTCGAACTGTCGGTCACTTTTGACGAGGAGCAGTGGGCGGAGATACCTTCGCAGTATCGAGACTTCCACAAGGCTCTGACCATCAAGGCTATCACTGGTGCTGAGCTGGACGCCGCCAATCTTCGTTTCCAGCAAGACATGCCACAGTTTATTGCGGATGACTTGACTGCTCACGGTACCCGTGGATTTCGTCCCAACAAAAGGCGATGGCATTCTTCCCTTGCCTAATACATCCTAAGGGTATCATAAAATATCCTAGGTATATCATAAGTCTATCGTCAGGATATCGGCTCGCGACCGGGGGGATGATTTGGGCGGCATACGAGTGCTTTGCATGGCGAGTCTGGCAGAGTAGTTACAAGGAAATTTTACCTGCCATTTCAGGTGCAATAAAAAAAAGCTACTTCAGTTAACTCCATGCTATGATGCTATTCATGTATCCGAATCTCTGTGTGACTTGCTTTGTATCCAACCTCAACTACCCAAGCTTCTTTCACGGCCAGTATCCCAACTTACTGATATCAGCACTTAACTCTCGTCCCTGCATCATCTCAGCCATAACCTTTGCCGTTCCCAATGACAAGCTGATCCCCCATGGCCCGTGTCCTGTCGCTACATAGACACCACCATCGCTCCCTTTCCGTGTCCTGTAGCCTTGTCGTAGATCTACATCCTCTATCCGCGTGATATAGGGTGTTCCTCGTTCTGAAACAGGCCTAAAGCATAAGCCTGTCCGTAAAACCTCCAATTCATCACCATCGGTTCTAATAATTTGCTTTGCCAGATTCTTCAACTTCTCAAGTGGCGCATCCATGGGCTTCGCACTTGTTGCTAACGGTGGTAGTCGGAGAGATGCGTTCACGCCACCGAGCCAGATATGTCCATTTGGTCGAGCATAAATCTCAGGTGAGAAGTCATCCATGCTTGTATATACAGAGTGGTACGTATCCCCGATATCTGCGGGATTCCGTACAACGAGTGAGTGCCCTGCGAGCGGTACGACAGGTATGTTGATGGATGATCCGGGAAACATGGACTCCAAAACACTCGGCGTCCATGCCCCAGTACAGACAAGTATTCGCGTAGCTGGGATATGTGTCTCTGAGGAGCAGTCTGTGTAACCAATACGGACATATGATAACTCATCATGGCAGTCGGCGCCTACATTTAGAACAACGGCAGGGTTATGTATCCGTACACCCGCTGCTCGACACCTTTCCAGGAGAAACTGACATAGTTTTAGAGGGTCTCTATGAATATTATTTGTTAGAACATATCGGTCCCGAATGACAGTGACTTACAGAACAGCTGTCCCTTCACCATTATCAACCAAGCTGAGAGCATCACCCTTGATACGCCTCAACCAAGGCGGGCTATTCCTGTCTTTAACCTCTCCTCTCTCTTCTATCACATCCGCACGACTTCCTCCCTCACGTAGCCAATCCTGACCTGTCGAACCCTTGGGTCTCCTTCTCGGTAGCTCATAGTTCACAGTCACCGACTTGGCATACAACCATTTCTCCCTCCCATCAAACTGCTTTGCCAATTTCTCATGCTCATCAAAACTCAGTGGTCCCAAAGACGCAAGATCTTCATGGAACCAGTCCCTCGCGAGAAATCCACCAGCGAAGCCAGATGCCGAGGCGAATAGCGTTGCCGACGAGTCAACAAGGTGGATGCTTGAGCCCGGTTGATGTTCCGAGAGGTAATAAGCTGTCGCGATGCCGATTATGCCACCTCCAACAATCACCGTCGAGGCCATTGGGATCAAGTATTAAGATTAGAGATCTATTGTATAATTGATAAAACGGAACAAGATCTCTGCTGATGCAGGCGGGCTATTACCAAGAAAGAACCGATGACGTGAGTGACGACGATACAGGGTAGGCTGGATTGAAGCTCCAAAATTGACCCCACCATCACTCATCACCAAGAAACCCCCACTCTCTTGAGCTTCAAAAAGGTGCCAAGTTACAGGTACTCACCGAACACTAACAATATCAGTCACACAGCAGATTCCTCAACATGAGCTCCAAAGTATTCATTATCACTGGTGCCAGTAAGGGCATTGGCGCTGCCATTACCCGTTACCTGCTTAACCAATCCCACAAGGTCGTTATTACGGCTCGATCATCTGAACCATTGGAGGGGTTGAAGAAATCGCATCCTGAACAGGTCCAATTCATTGCTGGAGATATTGTCGAACCTCAGGTGTGTGACACAATCAAAAACTTTTGTGAGTTACGAGACTGATATAGGCTGTCTAGCTGCCTTCAAAGCTGGTTGACCTTGCTGTATCCTCGTTCGGCAAGGTTGATGGTCTGGTTATCAATCATGGCATGTTGGCGCCCAAGAAGTTTGCAGACACCACACTTGAAGAGTGGAGGAAGATTTATGACATCAACGTCTTCAGCGGTATTGCCTTGGTAAGGAGTTCCTGTTTCAGGCCTTCTACGAGTTCTTGAACAACACTGACAAAACTAGGCGCAAGCTGCGATCGCAGAGTTACGCAAGTCCAAAGGCTGCATTGTCTGGGTGTCGTCAGGAGCAGCAGCTAAGCAGTATGCTGCCTGGTCAAGTTACGGTTCATCAAAGGCTGTCTACAATTCTGTCTCGGCTCACATTGCGCTCGAAGAGCCTGACATCACAAGTGTCGCCATTGCACCAGGTCGAGTTGACACTGAGATGCAAGGCGTGCTGAGATCGGAAGGCCAATCGTCCATGAACAAGGCGCAATACGATTCCTTCGTTGAAGCCAAAGAAAAGGGCATCTTGCTCAAGCCCGAACAGCCAGGAAATGTTATGGCCAAGTTTGTCGCAGACCCGCTCAAAGAGCTGAGCGGCAAATTCTTCTCGTACGTCTTACACAACATACTACGACATAAAAGACTAACGACTGTGCAGATGGAACTCACCAGAGGTCGAGGCATACCAAGAATAGGATCAAGCTTAGGGATGTTGGAAACAAGAACCTGGATATCTCAAGCAATGTTAGCTTTATGTCTTTGCAGATGGTGTAAATAGATAAAAGATAGAAAGACAAATGCAAGTCAGTCGAAAGATGAAAAGCTCTTAGTTTGCTCCACATGGACATTCGGATTTAGCATGGAATGTAAGTTTCTTCATCATAGCATTTGATGTTGCGAGTAATAAGAAATAAAAGTTTGTTCTTACCTGATGCTGACTTGTCGCATGCAACCGAGTCCAAAGACGTGATGTTCGAAGCAGCTGCCTTGTCGCATGTTAGTCCAACGCTCCAACATGTTGTCCAAAGCAAGCGTGCAGTCGAATGCGCTCAGGCTATCGTTTTTATCCGTCATGAGAGTCGGTATTTGATAGTACCAGATAGCAAAGTGCATCACGGCGTATCGGAGGGGTGTAAAGATGCTGAAGGGAGTCTTACAGCATGGGTCAGAGAGTGCAGCCTAAACTTTGACCTGGTTAGCCCTTGTTCGGGTTGGATGGTTCAAACTTTGAAACAAAGATGATTGGGATCAATCAGTTCTGTCCATTTGGCACAGGACGAAGTCAATCAGCACAGGAGGCTTGTCGAACCTCCTCAGCCTGGGGCGACAGCATATCTCTTCATGCGAGGTGGTGGAGGGAGAACAAAGAGAGACTTACCCAAAGAATTGGCGGCTGCAATCGAGTGAAAGCCACGCACAAAGCGAGTACTTTCGAGGTATAGCAAGATGGCAGACGCTATTGGCGCCGCCTTGACAAAATCGTTGCTCGATCTGAGCGTTGTGGCATGTTTGTAGAGAATGGAGAGAGAAAAGGAATGTGTTGATGAAGAAATAGGAAATTTTCAAAAGATGGAAGTTCTGAAATAGCTGTATAACTGGTCCGTGCACGACAAAAAAGACGCGCCCCGTGTGGCTGGAAATGGAGACAGCCTGGAGCAAACCTCCAATTACAGTCCAGTTACAGCAGCCTTGGGACCTGAGGCTCCTCCACTGGTGCTCGAGGCACTGCCATGAATGAATTCCACTGAGCAAATGAAATTCCAGGTGGAGACTTGGCTACAAGCGCGGCGCAAAAAAAAACAGCAGCAGCTCTTCAGATACAAAAGAGGCTTGCCCCACCACTCATGGGCCTGAGTAACCATCCCATCCGTCTGTCTCCTTCTCAGCCTGACAAGCAAAAGTGAAGCTCATCATCAAGATCCAATATAAAACAACAGCACTCAAACAAAAGTGAAACATACAGGCTTCTCAACGGATACATACATCATTAGAAGATCTCGTTTCTCTTCTCTTCTCTTTTTTATTACATTTTTTGTTTGCTGGGATTTTTTGTCTTCGCGTTGCACTCGGCCAGCCACCGTCTCTGAATAACCGCGTCTTTGGTGTATACTCGTTTATATCTCCAAAATACGCAGTCAACCACAAACACCTTTCATCACCACGCTGATTCGCGGATTTTTGCTTCTTCAAGATGTCTGATCACGAGTTTGGAGGCAAGTATTTTCTTTCTTCTCATTTGTTCGTTTGTTCTTGTGTTTCTTGCTTGTCTCGTTTATACGCACCTTACGTCTTAGTTCTCAACTCGTGATGACCATCACGACAATGCATCACTGTCGGGTGGAACTCACAGTGTTGTGAATAACATTCGTTCAACTTTTACTTATATTAATCTATACCGAGAAGTTTCTCATCATGTTCAATCTCTTGAAACCCTTTTCATCACTATCGACACTTTACAAACATACCACACTTTCGTATCTACTTTTCATCTCAAACTTCAGTGTCTATCTCAAATACTCTACCCATATCATATTTCTTTTTACAGCTTGTCTCTCGCGATGCCTTTGCCAGCATCAACCAGGTACTGGCTCAAATACGACAGTGGAACGCTTGGTCTGCTTTTCGTGTCTGCTTCAAGAGCCTTGGCTAACAATTTTGTCTTATAGCTAACGACGATTTGTCGCTCCCGAAAGGTATGTCACAGTGCTCCTCCTATTAGAAAAAACCATTCACTAACTTAGTTGCAGCTACTGTTCAAAAGATTGTATCTGAAATTCTTCCCCCATCGGCAGGCGTGGCGTTCGCTAAAGAGGCTCGCGACCTCTTGATCGAATGTTGTGTCGAGTTCATTACCCTTATTTCATCAGAGGCGAACGAGATTTCTGAGAAGGAAGCAAAGAAGACTATCGCCTGCGATCATATCACGAAAGCTCTCGAGCAACTAGGCTTCACTGACATGGTCCCTGCTGTTCTCGAGGCAGCCGCTGAGCACAAAGAAGTCCAAAAGGTAAACCCACAATTTCCCCTCTGCATATTTGGCAAAGACTAACAATGACCAGGGTCGAGAGAAGAAGGCAGACAAGTTTGCCAACAGTGGCATGTCCATGGAGGAACTCGCTCGTCTACAGGAAGAGCAGTTCGCCGCTGCTCGAGAGCGTCACGGTTAGGGAAAGCGGCCAGGACTGGATCACGGCAAATGGTGGAAACGGGCGTAAGGGAACTTTTAGCATTGCTAGGCGTTGGTGTGCAGAATTGGACTGGGATTGGACTGGGCCTGACATTTGTCATGGGAAGCGGGCGGATCGGCTTGCTCGTTATCACTTTCGCTTATAGACCTTTGACGAGGCGTTTGTCGTCAGGGAGGGATTGTCTGAATTTCATCGTCTTCAACTTTAAACCTTGAATGTTTTCAAGCCTTGACAGCGGGTGCCTCGCGATGGACCAGTTATGATGAGCTGCTATGGAGGCCATGCAGGCCATGAACAACAGCCGTAGCATAATTATTGCAATAGGGATTAAAGTTACGGAGAGTCAGGCATACCGGGATTGTGCAAAGTGTCTGGAATTATACATATTTTGTCCAGCCCATTCTGAACTCTTCTTGTGCGGGCCTTAACAGGCTTTAGGTTTCTATGTGAAGTGCATGCAGCAGCCTTGGCGTTTATTCAGATGACTGCGTCGATGATGACGTGATGTTAACATGAGCATCCTATCATAAAATCGTATTAGCAATGACATCTTGTCCAGGCTGCGACTCATTTCTTTGTTGCCTTGAAGCATGTATCTCACTTATATCCTTATCGATAAGACTACAAGTAAAAAATGATGTAAATCAGAATATCCCCCACCTTGACGCCCGCCTACTCCCACCCTGCATTCTGCATGCATGCGCAATCAGCATCGCTAGAGGAAGCAGCATTATTTTTGCTTTCATTGCCGCCAAAATAGGTCGAAGACGCAAAAACAAGAATAAGCCTGGACCGCGTGGCCCTCGCTGGTTTAATCGCAAAATGGGCCAGGAAGAGTCCTCTATGAGTTATGGCGGCCCGCCCGTAACACTCACTGAGCGGAGCCTTGATGCTGTCGCCGAGTATATCAAGACGGGTCGGAGCAAGCGAATTGTTGTCTTGACTGGCGCTGGTATCTCCACTGCTGCTGGAAGTGAGTAATTGGACTGGCGTCAAACTAAAAACATATCTAATAAAGCTATCAGTCCCCGACTTTCGATCGCCCGGAACAGGTCTTTATGCCAACCTTGCCCGCCTCAATCTGCCTTACGCCGAAGCCGTATTCGACATCTCTTACTTTCGCAATCACCCCGAGCCCTTCTATGTTCTAGCGAACGAACTATATCCAGGGAAATTCTCTCCGACCGTCTCGCATGCCTTCATCGCCCTCCTCGCCCGCAAGGGTCTTCTCCAGATGCTCTTCACGCAGAACATCGATTGCCTTGAGCGCGTAGCTGGAGTACCTTCGGACAAGATTATTGAAGCCCATGGAAGCTTTGCGACACAGCGCTGCATCGAGTGCAAGGAGGAATACCCGGATGAGAAGATGAAGGAGCACGTCTTTGGAGGCAAGGTTCCTCATTGCGACAAGGAGGGGTGCAAGGGACTTGTCAAGCCAGATATTGTCTTCTTTGGCGAGGCTCTGCCCAAGGCATTCGACAACAATACGTATCAAGTAGCCATGGCCGACCTAGTTTTGATCGTGGGTACCAGTCTCACCGTTTACCCCTTCGCTGCTCTCCCAGGCATGGCGCAAGAGGGCAAGCCCCGTGTGCTTTTCAACATGGAAAAGGTGGGCCAAATTGGAACCCGATCTGATGATGTGATGGAGCTCGGCGATTGCGATGCCGGTATTCGCAAGCTTGCTAATGCGCTTGGTTGGCGAGACGAGCTTGAGAAGCTCTGGAGACAGACCGTGGGCGATGCTGAGGCAGATCGACAGCTCGGCGGTAGAGAGAAGGATGATGTACAGGATGAGGTTGAGCGCTTGGCCGCCGAAGTTGGTGCTGTCGTTATTGACGAGAGTGACGAAGGCGTGCCATTGGAAAAAGAGCCCACGAAGCACAAGGATGGTCCCACTGTTTCGGAAAAGTCAAAGGACGACGACAAGCAACGAGAACCAGAAACAGCTACAGCTACTACAGATCTGGAAATTGATACCAAGGAGACGCCCAAGACTCAACAACCTAAACTAGATCGAGCCCAAGTTGAGCAGCTCGAAGCCGAAGCAAGCAAGACAGAGTCTTTAGTCACAGAGCCGCCTAAGCCACAAACCCCCGAAGAAGAGCCACCAAAGGCAGAGACATCAAAGGCAGAGCCTACAAAAGAAGGAACTGTACCAGCAGCTCTCAGCAACGAGGAGAAGTAGTTACTCATTAAGTACTATGAGTACAGGTGGGGCGTTCCGACACTTCAAGGTGTACGAAAATGGGGTCGGTGTAAAAGGTTGCAACTTCCTGCTCATTATACACTGATGGTAGATGATTAGATGAGTTTCTTTATGTTGATCACGATGAAATGCAATAGGGTACGGTTACATAGATAGTCCACATTGACTAGATCAATGCGAGAGTCAGTCTAATGAAAGAATTGGTTTATCATTACCATGCTACTAAGTTCCATGTTACTTGACATATGCTGTAGCTTTTGCTATAGAGTATCCGTATATAGGAGAATATACCTTGAATCAGACTGGCCCTGATCTCATATCACATCATGCTCATCATACAGACTGACACCAACTTTACGAAATAATGACAAGGAACGAAGAGAAGACACCCCAGGATCACATTTGCTTACAGTCCACTGTCGATCTGTGCCGGGATATTTGAAAGTGTCCAGTGTCCCCACTGCCGACACGTCTCAGCCACCACGTTCGGTACACGTAGTTTCTTGACTTGATCTGGATTTGTGAGAAACTGCGTGAGAAATCCTGCCGAGACGTGCCACGCGATGTGACAATGGAACGGCCATACACCTATGAGCAAATGCGTGTCAGCACGATGCAACCATGACCGCAGAAAGGGGTGATTATCATAAGGCTGAGTGAGTCAGGGGAGGCAAACGTACCCGGGTTTTCTCCGGCATCGAACTGTATTACAAGATGACCATTGCCCCGAATCTGAACGACATCGCGACGCTGTGGATTGTGTCTGTTTATGATTGTTCCATCCCAGGAACCTGGCCCCTCATGTAGGACGTACATGTTGAAGCCGTGTAAGTGCATTGGATGTCTAAGCAGAATTCATTGTCAGTAACTGTAAGGAGCCGCATCCATTTTGCTGAGTACTCACGCCACGGGAGTCTTGTTATTGACAACCACCCTTACACTCTTTGCCTTTCCAGTATTTATCACATTCCATTCAGGCTCGAATGTGTGATTGCCAAGCTTGCTGAGGAGCAGAGTTGGACTATTGTAGTTTATCCTTGCAGCCACTCCTCCCAGTGTCCAAAGCGTGACATTGCTTGCGTTTTTGAATGAGCTAATATCAAGCTCAATAGTCTTGTCAGCTGGAGGTAAAGGCAGCTTCATCACAGGCTTTGTTATACTCAAATCATCATTGGCGCAAGTCCCTGGATCGGGGATGTCCCAAGCCTGTGATCTGGGTGCTTTTTTCTGATTTGTATTATCGTAGTAAATTGCCGCAAGAGCAGCTGGGGCACGACCCAGACTACAGATGGCAGAAATGTTGCTGCGCATCCAGTATGAGTCCAATTTGCCATCAGCTCTGACCAGTACATCTGTGCGTTGGCCAACTCCAAGAGTTACAACTTTGGTATCATACGGCTGTACTGGAACAAAGTCATTCGCAATGACCTTCATTGTGTGACCATCAATAGAAAATCGTTGTATGGCTTCAGCGCTTGGGTTGATGAGGCGTAAGCGGTGGACTTTACCGCGCTTGAAACGAAATTTGGAGATACCAGCATTGCTTTTGCAGGGCGTCTTGTCTCCCGGTGCCACACTGGAGCAGTTGAAGTTCATCTTTCCGTTGATAAGATTGCTGTCAGAAAGAACAACCCCATTGCCGCCGGGTTTCATTATCTCCTCAACAAGGTCGAAATACTCTTTGTGGTACCAATCACTCAACATAACAGGCCCAATATCGATGTCGTAGTCTTTCTTTTCTCGTGGTCCATATATGACCAATGGACCGAATAAACCAGCAGCAACTTGGGCGGAATAATGAGAGTGGTACCAACTTGTTCCATACAGGTCGGCCAGAAACTGATAAGTGAAACTCTTTTTAGGTGGGATCGGGCATTGGGTTACACCCGGAACGCCATCTTCCCAGGGCATTCCCTTCTGAAGGATACCATGCCAATGCAAAGAAACACCCTCATCGTCCATGTCGTTATGAACAGTGACTTGGATGGTGTCACCCCAGTTTGCTTCAATCAGAGGCGCAGGAAATTGCCCGTTCACGAGGATTGTGGACAGCTCATAGCCGTCGGGGGCGATCATCCCCCGACTGACAGTGAAGTCGTACCTCCTAATGACTCCAGTATTTGGTTGGTCCTGATAGTAATTGGTTTGGGAATTCATGGTACTCCAAGGATAGCCATTAGGAGTAGGGTTATCAGCGAGGAAAGTTGGCAGGTCAGGTGCATCAAACGTGCCGTACGAGGACTCTCTATGAATAGATCAGTTCATATATACAGATATTCGGCAGCATAGTGCCTTACCCATTAGTCTGCAACTGGGACAATTGTCCCAGGTCCCCGAGATTGAATGGACTGCTGTTGGTATTACCCATATTGCACAGAGGGCTTGAATAGCGAGGAGTCTCTATGGAGGTAGGGTGCTGAGATGTGCCATCTTCTCACAGGAACCAACACTGGTCTATATAGCCAAGAGGGGCGTGTTGATGAGCTCAGTCCATCGACAGCCACTGCAGAAGGAACCACTATCTTAGGACAAGGCATGTGCCGAAGACCCGCGGGATCAAGCCTCATCTGCGAGAAATGGGCGATCGCATACGGGTCAACCTTGACTACTCTCGGTTATCATGGACTAAGCCTGCATGGCTGAGTCCCATATCCATAAGAGGTGTTGTAGTCATATTGAGGACCAGAGTTTGGTGAGAGAGGACGACATGGCGAGGCCTTACATGCACCAGGACAGCTGCAAGCCATGATGACGGTCAGCACACCAAAAAGTGCAATTCGTAAAAGTATATTGCCCTATCAGAGAGAAGACGTCAAACTTCACCGGCCCATGATGTGAGGATGTTGTGGTAGGGATATTGGGTGTGCCTGGTGTGCCTGGTGTGGCGGAATTACCGCCGTCTTAGTTGCCTCAGCCTTAGACAATGGATGCGGAAAATAGACACGAGATCTCCACTGGGTCGTACATCTTGAACATCCGTATCTCGACTTGCCGTGTTATGGTTAAGCATTTTTGATGATTTGCAACTGGGGTATACCCAGATCGTAGCCCGTCCCGCCCAACAGATGCAATGATCCTAGACAGCTGAACAGGCGTTTCAGGCAGACCGTTTTTCTGAGTAGTCAGGTACGTAAAAGAAACGTAGTGGGTCCAATTGAGCTTAAGCAGTAAGTAATTCGAGCAGAAATACGAAAAGATTGCCCGCAAAAGTTGCTGATATTGGCGTTGGTACCAAGCGTGATAAGCTAGTGCCAGTTCACGAGACAAGCGTCAGAAAATACAGTTCAGACATTGGTTGATGCCCTGAAGGCAACCGCCTCTCCAACTATTTCTGACTGTATGTAGAAGGGCAAGCATCGATCGTGTAGATTTAACCTTGTCTTGAGTTTGCTCAGTCATGATTGGCGACTGCACGATGCAGCCCAACAACAGCAAGCTCCAACAATTCAAAAGCGTGTGAGCCGGGGGGTTCCTCATTTGGTAATTGGTGCCATAAAAGCGCCAATTGCGATCGACTGATCAATAATCTCGTAATGTCGAGAGATAGCAATCCAGACGTCAAAGAGCCTAGCAAAGTCAGCATGTCAGCTTCAAAGGCATGTGATCATGCTTTCAAATGGACCGCATAACAACGATTCAACTCGATGTAACAGCACAATCACTGACACACAACCCAAGAAATATGACATCAATGCACGATGTTGTTCAATATGCATAAGTTGTGAGACTTAGAGTTCGCTCTCAGCTGTCCTCTAAAAAGCAATTCCCTCAGACCACTGGACCGATCACCAATAGCGAAGAAGCATGGCGCCAGTTGTGCAAAAGCAGGGTTGACTTCCTACTGCATATGCAAAAAAGAGGATGCGATAATAAGCTATTGAACGCCATTGACTAAATTGCATGAGCCAAAGCGGTTAGCTTATGGAAAGTTTAAGCGTCAAGAACTTCCAGCTGCTCGACAACATCGAGCGTGGTTGTTGTTGTCACCTCGTATCAGCAGCTGTGGGATAGGCCAACATGCTGGGTCGCGTAAGGGTAGTGGTGTGTCGATCATGTCTGTAAGGAAATGTAACCTGGACGGCTAAGGGCTTATGTTGAACGCCACACCTCTCTCGCCGCCTCTCAAAGATTGTTGTGTAATCTTTTAAATGCAGTCACATATAATCGGGTCACTTGAACCCGGAAAACGCAGCGGTCTGCAAGGTCTGACAGCATAACAAAAAACCCTCGCATCGTGAGACCAACAGACATCTCTGACTGGTCTGATGCACTGTATCGATGGTGGGCCTGAGACTTGACAATAGATTGGTCCATTTCGAAATAATTTTGATATGTATTTTACAGATTGCGGCCATCAGATGCCAGACTGTACAGGGTGGAAGTCGAAGTCGACTGGGTATTGCTCTCGTCTCGTATGATATGCTGCTCTCATGATTTCCTCCACGCGGGGTTGGCCATCAACATTATAGGCCGACGTTGAGCTCGCATGTACATTTCGTGAAGTTTGGGGTCGGCGTCGGATCGAATGACGCTACCAATGGACATGAAGAAGCTATAGGGCCGTGGTTAGCACTCGTGTAAGTCGTTGGGGCTCGTGTCAGAAATACCCAAAAGTTGCTCCGGAGCCAAGCATGTATTGACCGAGGGTTCTCATAATGCCGTTAGGGCCGGCTCCGTATCGGAAAATGTTGACAGTTCCTGGTCATCATTAGTTATGACCTCAGAGCTGAGGCAGCGCACCCAGTTGCAGACGAACCAAAGACAAAACCCATGATGACACCAACAGCTATGCCATGTCAGTATCTTTCACAGCGAACAAGAGCTTAACAAGGAGTAGGTCGTACTTCCACCCATCATGGCACCCATCTTGACTGTGAACTCGTTAGCCAACACCCAATGCCATGAGAATGATATCAGCCTACGTTTATCCACGTTGGAGGGGCCATGCTGGCCAGCATTGATAGGAGCGACGGGAGGCATTGCGAGCGTGGTAGGTCTCTATGCAAGGTTTGTGAGTTGTTGCGTGTGCTGAACTATCGATCGTGGTCGGCGAACTTTGTTGAAATGGCGCAGCGCAAAGTATAGCAATTGCTGATGAAGCTCTCTTCATACGACGACTTTCCTCGAACCCGAATGACCTCTCGAGGTTTACTCTCATTGGCTAAATGGCTAAAGTGGAATCAGGGTTCGGAGAAAGGTCGGTGCGGGACTTGAGGCACGGATCATTGTCCCGTACAGTGCGGGACAAAAAGGTGACATATCTTTACTGTGAAGAAATTGTCACGTGGTCCCTCTCGTGGGTCAAGATATGGCTCCACTAGGCGGTTCCGACTCGCAAGAGGGATTTGATGGTTTGTGGTTTTTTCAGGCAATTATCTTTCACTTACAAGACAATCTCTGACGCTCAAGCCTTTGTTTCTTGTGGTGCTGGGGTTATGCTAGCAGTGAGCACATGCCAGAGTCTTTGGGCGTGTGCTCCACTGTGCTCTGTACTCCGTGTGCCTGAGCTGAGAGTTGTCGACCGGGGGCTCCAAATTTGAACACGCCAACACGCCAAGCAGCGCTTAGCGAGACCTCCCCCATACTGTCACTGTTACGGCAACCTCTCATCAACTCATTCACGGCCCTGAAGCCTTCTGAACTATCGTCTCTTGCGACGTGAAACCATATTCCGACATCGCGATATCCTCGTGCTTGGTGAGTGAAGCACCCATCTTGGCTGTCGCTGGCCCGACTCGCCTCTTGACCTCCTGTCCCTGGTCCGAAGGGGTCATCGCCGATCGCCTCAATTCTTCATTACCAAAACCTGTTCCCAGCCACGAGCTCATGATTTTTCTTGTCCACCAGCAACGTCAAGCCACCTTAAAGTATTCGAAATTCAATCGCATTTCATCAAAACTACAACGTTTTTCTTCGATCCCGCCATCATAAATCCATTCAGCCTCCGACCTGCCGGTGGAGTGACATCAGCCTCTTAGGCGCGCGAGCCGCACACGTCTTACTTCCATATCCGGCATCTTTATATCTTCGACGCTGCGTTTATCGGCCGCAACACGCTGAGCATCAATTATCCTCATGACTGCAGTCGCAAATCCACAAAACTTCTCCACGTCAAGACCAGCATGGGGTCCGATTAACGGGAACCATCAAATGAATTCGGAAGAAGTTCGAGGTGGTATTGGCATGTTCGCGCCCCGCAAGACCCTTACTCGATCCAACTCATCGTCGTCTGTTTCTTCGACATCTTCGAACTCTTCTGCTACCACAGTTGCCTCGAACGGTTCCCACGCTAATGGCGGCACTCCATTGTCTTCAACTTCAGATTTGACCCAATGGTCGGCTAACGGCGCACCTCGAAAACGGCCCCAACCGAAAGCCCCCTGGCCGCCAGGAAAAGGGGAATTTCAACAACAGGACATGTCTAGACTGCCCGCTGGCAGAGGTCAAGGCATGATTACGGCCCATGGGCCTGTACAGGCCGGCCCTGGCCAGGTTCAGATGACGTCTCAAGGAATGATGCGGCCCATGAGTGCCGAACAAGTTCCTCCTGGCCAACCGGTTCTATATCTATTATCACTCAACGGTACCTTTGAACGAAAAACAATCGCTGTTCCTTTTGCCCCCGAAAGCCTCCGTATAGGCCGACAAACAAACCAAAAGACCATCCCGACCCCAACCAACGGTTTCTTCGACAGTAAAGTGCTGTCCAGACAACACGCTGAAATTTATGCGGAACGCAATGGCAAAATTTATATACGAGATGTCAAGTCCTCGAACGGAACGTTTGTCAACGGTACTCGTCTATCACAAGAAAATCGCGAATCCGAGCCGCATGAACTGCAGACTTCCGATCATCTTGAGCTTGGCATCGACATTGTCAGCGAAGATCAGAAAACAGTCGTCCACCACAAAGTGGCTGCCAAGGTCGAGCATGCTGGCTTTCTTAGCGCGTCGAGCAATGTCATGGATATGAACTTTGGCGACCTCGACCCAGCTAATGGCGCTATGATGATGCCTTCAGGGCCTATGCAGCTGCGAGGCCGCACAAACAGTAATGCGTCTATGGCCAGCAACGGTCGCATGATGCCCAATGGCGCTGGTGTTATGAACATGCAAGCCAATGGAATGCCACAGCAAAGACCTTTCTTTCTTGCCCCTGTTGCTACTGATCAAATATTAAAACGGCTTGCGGTACGTCATACTCGAATCCGTTGCGATGATTAGGCTAATTTTTTCAGAACGAAATGCGCAATGCTCGACTTCAAGCACAGGATCTGGGCCGCACTAATCAGTTCGTCCACACACTATTGTCCAAAGACGACCTCAAGGACCTTGAGAAGCCCGAAGGCCTTGAACCCTCTAAACCTCAATCAATTGTAAATGGGATGGGGACGCCATTCCGTGCCGACCCCAAAGCACGGTTTTCTGATCCTCCTGCTCCCCCTCCCCAACAGCCTCTTCCCGAGAAGCCTGATGTGCCTTCACTTAAGCGTGGCCCAACTGAGCGACCGAAGTCTGGTCCTCCTAACTCACCTATCCGGCCTGATAATCTCAGCCAGATTGTTCAACTTACCGAGGCTCTCAACAACGCTAAGCGAGATATCGACTCACAAACAGCACGGATGCGGGAATTGGAAGAAATGCTGCAGAAGGAGAGGTGTGCACGAGAGGAAGCAGAAGAGCTCGCCAAGCGCTTGGAAGAGTCCGCGACTGTGCATATGAACGGGTCAGCTGTACCTGGAAGCGTAGCCTCGGAAGAGGTGTCTGAAGCCACAGAAGACAAGTCTGTCCCTGAAGCTCCTGAACCAGAGGCTAATGACGAGACCCCTGCTGTCGATACTGCACAAGAGACAGCCGCTGCCCTTCAAAGTCGAATTGACATGATGGAGAGTCAGATGCGGGATATGAAAGAGCAGATGGAAGAGTGGAAGCAGCGATGTGAGACTGTAGAGTCAGAGAGAGATGCTGATAGGAAGACGCTCGCCGAGATGGTCGTTCAGCTCCGTGCTGAGGAAGCACTTCGAGAAGCAGCCGAGAAGAAAGCTCGATCGAGGTCGAGGAAGCGAGACGCTGATGCCGATGGTGCTGTTGTTGGCGAGTCTAATGCTGACTCTGGGGTTTCTAAAAGCGCCACTGGAGAAGCAGAGGCCGTCGACCCCGCTACTGCTGATGAAGCGTTGGACGCACCGACGTTGTCTCGGGCCAGCACGATCACACCAGCAACCCAAAAGGGTGTCGTGCGTGGACAGGACCAGCGCCTCCAAGCCGCGCTACCTTATGCCTCAATGCTTGGCGTTGTACTATTTGGCATGGGGTTGATGGCATATATCAACGGATGGCAGGCCGAGCCTCCCCGCCCTGAGCGATGAACTGTGGGTGTACAAAGTGGATGAACTACATGAGGAGGAAGATGGGGGGGTAAAATGATGGGGCAGTTGTAAAAAGGGGATCACGACATTATTATATCTTCTTCGTCTTTGGGGGGGGGGATTGTAACTTTTCATGAGCGGTATTCATAATGCATGATGCGGCCTGTCGATTTGGCCCATCAACGATGAGACGATACGAGACCAGACATGGACATAACCGAACCGAAACACATTTCATTTGTCACCCACCCGTATTATATATCAACTTCTTTTGTACCAACGGCTAGGACATAACAACATGGCATATTAGACCCTTGGAAAGGGTAAACAGCCTGGTTTGAGTCAGGCTTGAGGATACGGCGTTATCATTCCGTTTCTTTTGTGTATTCTTTTTCTTATGGGAGTGCATTCTTAGGAATAGCGTATGTTGAAGCGAGCAGTGGGCTGCTGACACTATAAGTCATTTTGCATATTTAATTTACCTGCCTGAATAGCTGGTCTAATAAGTCTGATGAGTTCTAGAACATGTGTTTGAGGGGCTGAAGGTATTTGCGTCATAGGAATGAGGGCGCATGTTGGCAACTAATCAGGACTGGTTCATCTGTTGCTCAGCATAACTTAGACCAACACAAGCACAGAGTCAAACACGTCATAATACATTGTGAAGTGCTTCCTTTAGGCCTTCAGTGATAAGTCGTTAACTCCAGCCTTCGCACTCGGTTTCATCCTTCTGAGGGTTGCTCCACCACATTCCCGGCGCTAACCAGTTTTCGTATTCAGGTCGTGATGCTATTGGATGTGGTATAGTTGAAGCTGGTGAGACTATCAGAGTCCATAAACGAGGGAGTCAAAAGCAGTATAAAAGAACCAGGTATTTCCAGTCAATATTAAGACTTGGAGCCATCTGTTTTATCAGCTTGTCAACAATGGTTTCTCTCTCCCAAGTCCAACAAACCAACGCCTCGGCTGCTTCAAAGCTCCCAGCTGGCCTCGTCGCCATCTTCGCTGGTGCGACAGCAGGTATTGGCGAAACAGCTCTCAAAGCATTTGCCAAATATACTACACGACCCAAGATCTATTACATCGGTCGTTCTCAAGAAGCGGGTGATGGATTACAAAGTGAGCTGGAGGAGTTGAATCCCGAAGGAGAATACATCTTCATCAAGAAGGACATGAGCTTGTTGAAGAACGTAGATGAGGTTTGTCGGGATATCAAAAGCAAGGAGACAGTCTTGAATGTTTTGTTCTTAAGTCAGGGGACACTAAGAATTGGCGTTGGTAAGTTTCCTATAAAGCCATCTGATCATTACTTTACGTATACTGATAGACTTAGATACCGAAGAAGGACTGCCTCTGGTCACCGGCCTAACTATCTACTCTCGCAACCGTCTCGCAGTCAATCTCCTCCCACTTCTAAAGAAGGCACCGTCTCTTCGTCGTGTAATAAGCGTCATGGCTGGTACACACGAAGGTAAGCTCTTCTCCGACGACATAGCAGCTCGCAACATCCCCTTCACTAGCATTCACAACTCCCGAGGACATATGTGCTCAGCCTTAACTCTGTCCCTGGAAGCACTGGCCCGTCAAGCACCAGAAGTTTCCTTCATCCACAACTTCCCTGGCTCTGTTGATACAAACCTAATCCGCAGTGGAGACGGTTTCATGATGCAGGTTATGAAGTATTGGTTCAAGGTCAGCATGACTGTTAGGAGACAGTGGTTACCTAAGGAGGAGTGTGGAGAGAGACATGCGTGGTTGTGTTTGACTGGGAGATATCCTGGTAAAGAGGGTAGTGAGAACGGTATCAAAGAGGAAGAAGTTGCTGTTGGTACTGATGGGAATAAGGGAAGTGGTGTCTATAGCGTTGATTGGGATGGTGAGAGTGCTTCGGGTGAAGTTGTCAAGCTGCTTGATGGTTTCAAGAGGGAAGGTCTTGTGGAAAAGGTCTGGAAAGATCAGGAGAGAGAATTTATCAGAATTACTGGTACAACTTCTATCTAGGTTATCAAAGAGTTGGTCAATTGTTGTTAGTATCAGGATCCTATTGAGTTGACGAGTTCAACATTCTCTTTACAACCATGCAACTTTGATGATTGACCTCGGCAGTGCTCAAGATGACATTACAAAATTCACCAATGAATAGCTTCCAATGACCTCTCAAGAATTAACCTTACCTGACAAGGATTACTATGCCGCCATCACCAGTTAAACTTTGATATCAATGCACAGGCCCGACACTTCGGCTTCATCGGGAGTCAAAGTCATATGACAATGAGACACCAAAAAAGACCCGTTCTAAATGCCACTCTTTCGGAGACATTTAGTACCGACTCCCCGAGATCTACCGTCTTGACTGTATACTATCTATTTTCTGGCTCAGACAACGGAGGATGCTGAGACTTGGGGGCTGTGCTGATATGACAGTAGCATGACGGTGGTTGTGGTGACAGACACGCGTCGCTCTAGTGGTGCGCACGACTAAGAACTGGGGGCTAATGCACAACTCCAAGTGATTCAAGTGATATGATAACAGATTCTCGTTCATGTTTGTTTGTTGTTATCAATAGATTTATGTATGTACAGATATGGAATGGAGACATCGTCTGTAGCTACACTTCATTCTGATCGTTATCGTTAGTGCTGCTCTCACTCCTAAACGCCCAAGGCCTGCGGATATTGTGTATGCCACCATGCTCGCCATTAAATCACCACCACCAAACTCTCACACCCCCACTATGATGCCGTCTCGATAGATGATCCCTTTCTCTTAATCTCTTTTTCAGGGTCAACTCCAAGTTCCCACTCCTCTCTCTCCCGCTTCATGTCTCTCTTACACCACTTGATGGTGATGATACCCCAAACAGCGGCCCACAAGAATGGAACCGCCCACGCAACACCATAAGCGCCGGTTGCCGGAACTTGTGGAATGACGGATATGACGGTAAGGGGGACGGCGAGTACTAGCGCCGGGATGGACCAGAACCAGGATTGTTTGTAGACCATCTCTCGGAAACGTGGGCTAGCTTTGTATCGAGCTGCTAATGCTTCCCGATACGGCCGGCCACCAAGGGCATTAACCGCGATAACATCCTCGATGAAGTAGTAAACACCTGGTAAGACCTGCATAGAATTAGCGTATGGCAACTGCTAGTTTTTTTATTTTCTCAACATACCTTTTCTCCCTTCGCAGTTGAGCTGATGCGGAAAGGAGCTGGCCAGTTCATCTGGTGGTAAAGCGTAATAAGGAACAGAACACCACCATAGCAGTAAAGAATAGCTGGAGCAGGCATGCATAGCACTCTCAACCAAACATTATGAGGTGCACTGCCAATGATGAACAAAGCAGTAACCACAAAAATAGTAAGGGTGGAAGAGTACGTCAGCATATCGAAGCACCACCGGTGATTCGTTCCTAGCGGTCGGTAGAACCTATCCACCTTGATCAATCGGAGGGTGCGGATGGCGAATTCCAAGTACGTGGGACCACCCCAGATTGTAGTAACTACCGCAAAGATGATCCATCCTTCAACGTCCCCTGCATATTTGAGTCCGTAGTATAGAGCTATCGGGACCGCGGATGCGTCGACAAAGACCAGGAATGCGAAGATGAAGAGTCGCCAGCGCTTCCAGCCATGATGCCATGTAAACGGGAGCTGCGGTAGCAGATGGGGGTTTTCGTCGTAGTACTCTAATAATGTTGTAGCTCGTCGTCGATATTCTTTTTGAGTAGCGGCTCGAGAATCGTAGTACGCGTCTGCTTGGGGTCGCTGGGCATAGGACAGGCTTCTTCGAGGCGCATCTGAACTCCTTCTTGGAGCATCCGAGTTCCGTCGAGCACCCTCAGATGTTCGCCGAGCACCTTCAGATGTCCGTCGAGGTAATTCTGCAAACGCTGAGTCGAGGGGCTCTCGCGGTGAGATTGGTGAAGTTGCTTCCTCTGGAAGGTTGAATCGCACACGATCAGTCGAGGATTGATGAGACTGCGAGGGACGAGAGATCACGGGAGCTTCAGGAACATCTGTCGACGAGAGGGCCGAGTCGGACACTGGCGCAAGGCTGCCCCTACGCACCTCAGGCATTGTTGTATAGTTGGTGATGTGGTGTGGTATGTTGCCGTGGTGTTGGTGACGATGGCAGTGATGAGAGGAGGAAGAGGAAATGGCCAAGCCGAGAATGAGGTGAGGTAAACTGGAGATTAAGCTAAACCAGACCAGACCAGATAACTTGGTCCTAAGGAGAAACTGGAAAAAATGTGTGGAGGATCGATCATAAGGAGAAAAGGGCCCATTTCAGTGGCAAAGTTTAGTTTTTAAGCTAATCGTGTGAGGCGGGCGGGTTGCCATGATACTTATTTAGAGGTCCAAGGTAGCATGATCCTGATGAGACGGACGGGGGGCGGACCCAACGATAAAAGGGTCTGACGTGCGGGTGCAACGGTAAAGCAGCTAGCAACTAAAGAATCAGCTATCCCAACTCCATCGTTATCATCCATCAGGGGTGGTCATGTAATGCGGTGTAACCGCTAATAATTATAGCGGTTTACAGCTGTGATTTGCGAATGAAGTCCTTGAGCCGTCGGACTTTTTTCCCCTGTGGGCCAAGGAAACCAGCCGCAGCCAAGAGTTCTGTCAGTGCCCGCCAAGCGACGTCATTGTCGGGATGCATGTGGGGCCGCATCCGGCAATGAAGTCACCGATCGTCCCGCTTACATATAGTACATCCACGGATGACATGATCCTTCATGGCCCAAATTTAGAGCCAAGAAGAGGGACTTATCTTGTGAGGCACATAAGGTAAGCTTGACGAATATGTTTAAATTTATTCCCGTCCGCATGCATCTCGGAATCCATCAATCACATAATCGGACCCTGATAGCCTAAACATGATAGAAGAAGACTAATCTCACCATAATTACATCCCAAAGTATGCCTAAACTTGACAAATATTTACACTAAGAATGTGACGAATTTTAAACTATCATAGGTCTATCTTGCATACAGACGCTTCGGGAAAAAAGAGAAGTAAGGTTACTATACTATACAAGAGGGTATATATCTCAAACACGATCCCCCATCGAGATCTGCTCACCCCTGCCTGACCATTACATCAGACACTCGACTCATTCGATTCATTCTTGGAAAGCGCCTTGTACTTTCCCGGCTTGACGTTGGATCCTCTACCCTGAGCAAAACAGTTATTCGTCTCAGGCCACTCATTCGGGCGGAGATAATAAGGATCTCTCTTCTTCATCGACAACATCCCGATGAAGTCAAACGGATCTGCGATAAACATCACCCAGTGCCGTTTATGGATCCATCCTGGTCCCATGCGTTCTGTCTTGCCATCAAAGTCGAGGTATTGACGTTGGTCGTGAGGTAGATATCGCCCAGGGTGGATAATGTTCAGCCAGTACGTATAAAGAGCGACAGGAATGGCTTCCAGAACATAAAAGGGCCATTCGCGTTTCATAAGTGCGTTGCTGTTGTCTTCTCCGCTAGAGAGAATGTCCCTGAGCTCAAACGTCTCGACGGCGCGGAAGACGCAGCGGATGAGGATGAGTATCGAGGTGCCGTAGAGCATGATGAACAGAGTTCGTACGTTCGAAGGCAACATATCGGCCTTGGAACATCGCCTGTGAAGAACTCCGACCATGGCAATGAAGCCGATCTCGATTGTCCCTTGGAGAATAACCGCGATGGCCATGAAGGTTGCACCAGATGTTAGGCGGTCCTCATCCTGTCGACCATTACCGGCTGCCATCCATGAGGCACCAATGGCAGTCAGAACCTCAACAAGAGAACCCAAGAAGACAAAGATGTACACAATTCGGTTCGGGTTGATGATGGAGTGCATTGGCAGATAGTGCATTAGGCGGCCAAGAGTGTTGTATTCGGCAGCTGAGTATACCGGAGGAGCGAGGTAGATGAAGATGCTCGAGATCATGTATAAGGGAAGACTGTCGGGTTTCCGTACTGAGATAGCTCTCACTGCCCATCCGATGCAGAAGAACAGACCGGCGTAGAACATGAAGAATGTAACTCGCCAGAATTTGTATCGGCTATCTCAAATCAGTATTTGTGTGGGCTTATCCATCCTAGACGATGACTTACGTGTTCTGAATATAATGTCCTATGAGTGATATTCCTATTATCACAGAAGCAATAATGGGAAGGATCTTGTTGGCATCATAGCCATAGAGATTGTCTTTTGTTGGATTTGCCATGGTGTATTGGTGTCAAGTCCGGTGTAAGTACAACAGTGTTTTGTAGACTGTGGCTCAAACATGGCTTACTTTCCAAGGTAGACAACATCGTCTTTATATAAACATGTACGAGGATCAATCACTCTCGTCATCGTCCCTATCTCTCAATCTGCCCTGCATCTCCATCTGTAACAAGGCGCAGCCACAGCCGTCGAGTGTAAGCTAGCAGCCCTACAGCGCTGGGTAGCGACAGATTGAGTTAGACTTGGCGATTGTGCCTGTCAATGTGGATCCTTGGCAATTTGCTTATTGGTCTGACTCTTCAAACTGAATCCATTGATCCTTCACGGCTGAATCTCTGGTGTCTGTCTATTCGCTGGTCTTTCTAATCTATAGCGATGGGTAGGTACTGCTTCTGGTCTAGTTCTGGCTGTGTTGGCTGTATCCAGGTAGATGTAGCGCTTTGGCGCATGAGTTCAGCATTGACGGTTTGAGCACAATCTCGGATATCTCGAACCCGTCATCTATAAGGTTGTCTTTTTCGTAAAGGAGGATCAATTCAGGTTTAGCGGCATATATAACCTCAGCTGGCTCTTTTAGTTGCGGCGTATTGCATGTAACAAGGCGTACTGTATTACCTCGACCTCGACTATCTAAACCACTATTTGCAGCACCTACCTACCCCAGACCAATGAGTAACCTCAGAACCAGATAACATTACAGCTCCTCTATATAAATCAACTAAGAAAGATTGAATCAAAACGTGCAGTGCATTTTTATCCCCCATAACCTTTTATCG